GGGGGGGGGGGGTCGTTCTAGTTTTTCCCAAAATAGGTGAGGTGCCGCCATTACTCAATTCCAGCCAAAACACGATTTGCAGTTAGGTTTAGGCTGCTTATGCCCTTACTAAAAATTCTAAAAAGCAGAATTATTATTTAGGGTATAAAACGGTGATTTAGCCACTTATATTCCTTGCGACTTGTGGTTTTGGTAGAGGTATAATTGATTTTGATTTTATGGATTTTTGGATTGATTTTTTGATGGGGTGGAGTGCTGACTAATCCTGGCTTTTAGTGTGTTTCTACCGCCTAATGAAATCGAGTTATCGCTGGAAATTGAGGTTTGGCTGCACCTCGCCTATTTTTAAGGAAACTAGGCGGAAAGCCTCGCGGATTACGCTTTCTTTTGACAAAAACCTGCTGACACTCTCGGCCACGAGGCCGAGGACCAATATGCGTATTGGTTTTCGTATTTCTATTTTTATCTGCACGCTTCTTCAGGGTCATGGGTCGCGAGTGAAACTGGTGGCTGGAGAGCTGAAATGATTCAAATGAAGAACTCAGCCCCGGCTAGCACGGGCGCACGCAATCCTTTCTGTTATTTAAAAAGTTGGCGGCCACGGAAAGAAATTTCTTACTCACTTCTACAACCTCATTTTTCACAATACCCTCTACGTAAGGATTCTTAGTCAGGATTCCGGCAGACATCATGATGGCGACGGCTGGTATTAATCCCGAATTGGCAGCAACTATACAATATGGAGTGGACGTGGGCCGATTCAGCACGACTTCGAAAGTGACGTTGGTTGAAGTCTCGTTACCTGATCTCATATGTTTGTCAACTTGCTCCTTGGCATTTTAGCCAACTATTGACTAGATGCTAGCCGAAGAACCAGATTTTGATGACGAAAGTTTATTGCGGAGACTCGAGGTATGAATATGACGATTATTGTTTGGAGTGAGGGTCTTAGTTAAGAAGTTATTCTTAGACTATAAGAAATGAGACACCAGGCACGGCTGTAAGAATACGGAACTTGTAGGTAATTTCTTGAGGATAGTGATAAGTTTGGAGTTTTGTATATGCTTGTATCTTCTAACTCAGAGCTTCTAGTTTTATCCCATGGGCTGTCCATGACAAGCAGCTAGCAATCACTTCTGCTAGCCTCCTCCAGATATGCACCATAATCCGTGTTCCTGTGCTCTTTATCGAGGGACTACTACAATATGATTACTGGGTCAGGCCTGGAAATGGCTTATTCTTTCCTCGAGATGAAAACGGGGGATACTTAAAATTAGGTTTGTCCTTTCCGAATCCAGATTACTCCTTGCACAAGTTAACATCGGAGTGCTTAATCAGATCTCTTCTATCGGTGTCCTTCCTCTGGAGGTGGTCGGGCGTATATCTTCACAACATATGACTTTGCAAAGAAGCTTACAACAAATCTCTGTTTTAATGTCCAGCCAAATCAAATGCTTCTAGTCGAAAAGCCTGGAATTAGACTTGTACGGTCTTCTAGTGAAGAGCTATTGACAATTCATATACGCCTGGCATCGCAGATCCTACAAAGTCTCAATAAAGAAGCTTCTAACTTCAGAGTCCTCTTACTACAGGACGTAAGCATAAGGAAAATAAATTTCGGATGTAATACCTTCTGACTCCCGAACAGGAAAACAGGCAATTTAGTGCCGATCCCAAGGCCAAATCCGAAAATCTTCACAGGATTACCCAGCAACACAGGATTGCCCAGCAACTCCATATCGCTGTGGAAAATTTTATAGACTTGGAAGAGCTAATAAAATTCCTCATTGGGGCGAGCGAAAAAGTCAGACTTGCCATCGACCCGACTCCGGCGGCGGGAACCACAAATGAAGCTGATATGCTGTCATACCTGTTGTCCAAGGTCCACTATTCTAAGCGCTGGGTCTCAAACTATCGGGACCGAGCTAACATTCGCATCAATTTGGTTAGTTATGCATTAGCTTCGATTTAGAACTAGAGGTCTTTGACGGGACTTGCTAACAACTGCAGGCTTTTCACCTCTCTACTCAAACAGATAACAACGTCAACCTCCGCCACGCAAGACTGGCAAGGCGCGATACAAAGCTGAACACGTTGATCGCAACCCTCGCACGGAGAGACAGTACGGACATGCGAGTGATCACTTGGATAACCCTTGTCTTTCTCCCTGGGACATTCACGGCGGTAAGACCAAGCTCATAGAAACGGATGAGTGTGAATATAGAATCTGACTATCGATAGACACTCTTTAGTACAAGCTTCTTTAATTTCCAACTAGACAACAACGGTTCGCACGTATCAAGATGGATCGCGCTCTACTGTGGAGTTACAGTCTTCCTCACTGCAGCGGTCTTCGCCATTCGCTCTTTACTCTTCCGCAGCAAGACGAAGCTAAAGGTCGATGACATAGACAAACTGCTTCAGGAGACCAAGAAATTCGTGAAAGAAGATGATGATGACGAAAAGGAAGAGCTCAACGAATATATTTGAGCGCCCAGGATTGGGTTTTAGCGGAGAATGGATTCCGATAGCTCTGTTTCTTGTTTCATCAGTATCGAATGCTAATTGCTATTTCACAACCAAAAAATCTTTTCACGCGTGCGCTGTAACCTCAACCCTTTATTATATAAAGGAAATATAGGGAAAAGCTCAGGTAGGAAAGAAGCAAGCTAATTTTAGATCAGGCAGGGTAAATATTTGGGATCCCTTGCTAGGGGAAGAGGGACCATTCGGGGCCCTCGTTAAAACCTGATGATTTCTAGCAACCATGTGGATAGAGTGAGCAGGCCTGAGCAAACCTGAGCCGAGCCTAAGTGTTGCAATGTTTTGGAGGTTGACGACTTGATTTTTCAGCTTACGCGGGGTAAGCACTCTATATATACATCTGGTATATAAACTACAGTGTACCAGCGTACACTCAGTTCCAACACTAAGCAAAGGCGGCGCTGGTCACGTGAGAGAGAGAGTTGGGAAGAGCAAACATTCGTGTCAGGAAAGAGAATAACCCGGATTCCCCGCGACGAGCTGGGCGGTAACGCCTTCTACTTTACAACGAGAACACAAGATATTAATCACTAACTAGACAAATGCATTCAAACTTATTCATCTACACGAAAGAGCGCCAACGACATGGCGTCGGCTAGCATCGCACGGCCTGGGCGTTGAGTGACGCTGAGTAACCTGACCAAAGATGCTTCGCCAGAGGATGACGATCGCGGCCGTTTTGGCGTTTCATTATCCGTTGGCACCGTCAGATTGATCTGGTCGAAGCGAACTGGAGATGGCGATCGTGCCGCATTGCTTCGTTGTAGCGTCGGTTCTAAATGACTGGGCGAGGGAGATCGCGGTCCGGGAGGAGGAGACAACGGTATAGGAGAAACACCACGTGGTGCTTCGAAGCGAGACGAAGAGGGCGACCGAGATCGATTGGCTGTCCCCTTGCTCGGCCCGTCTTGTATCAAAGCGAATAGTTGTTGGAGCCACTTGTTCTTCTCTTCGGGTTTCATCGATCGAATAGGGAGGACCTCTGCTCCACCCATCTCCCTTGTCGGCCATGGAAAGCTGACAGCCATCTCCTTGAGAGTTAACGATGTGAGCTGTCGTAAGACGATGCGTAGCTGTGGCTCAATGTTCGCGATGGGTTCAAAGGGCCAGTCCGCCCGTTCCTGAAGGCGATCCGCGATCTGCATCATCGCACCAACCAACCACTCAATGGCGACATTGTCCGGGACAGTATACGCTTTGCTCAACAGCCAGCCCAGCGTTTCCGGTGTTCCCGATTGGTTGAGGATTGGGATGCTGCGTTTATCATGCTCACGTCCCTGAAGTTTGAGGATGAAGTCGTTGTACTCCTTCATCGCCGCCAGTGGCAGGCCGATAAATCGGCCACTATTGAGCGCATGGACGATTTCATCCCCCAAAGCGATTCCGGACTTGATACCGCTGTTCAGTCCTCTGCCAGGCCAGAAGTGAACTGTCATTGCAGCATCGCCAGCCACGGCAACGAGTGCGTGTGGACGATTAATACCCTGGACATCTCCCTGAGGAAGATGTTGGACACCCTCCCTGACAGCCTGCACCACGATTGGGATCCGCACGACATTGATAACTTCGCTTTCCTTGAAGCCAAACAGCTTCAAACCGTCTTCAATCGACTTCCAGAGCAGGCTCTCTCTATCCTCGGATGGCGCGAAAACCTGGCTTTCTTTGAAGCCGGCTGGCACTTTCCCATCAAGTCGTAAGCAACCGGGGTTCCCAAAAGTGACAGGCTGACCGTCAACAGAGACCATCTTGTGCCACTCCTCCTCTGTGAGTTGCATGTTAAGGTAGCCCCTGCCGTCAAAATTACTTGCGTTGAGGAGATAGCGAGTTTGCCCGAGAGTCAGAAACATATTCAAGGGCTGAGACCAGGGCAATCCCTCAGGGCGATCGAAAGCCAGACCGAGCGCATAACTCCTCCCTCGCTCTTTCTCATAGCCCTCGAAGTACGACTTTCGAACCCAGGAAGCAGCACCATCAGCGCCAAGCAACACGTGGAAGTCGCCAACTTTGGAGAGGCTATCTCTCTCTACCCCTTCCGGGTGCAGATGGATGAGGCCGCGGAACTCCTCAGCTTGACACCGTTTGAGGAGACGGTCCTCGACTTTTCGAATCTGGATGTTGGCAGAGCCGGGCCAAACGTTCTCTGGGCGTCCCTCGAAGAGGGCTTCTCGCGTTGCTATGCTCATCAAGGTCGTGACAGAATCTTGCAATGTCACAACTTGGTCGCGTCGCCTCGCGGTGGGAGGATAGTCGATGTAGGTGCCATTGGGACCGGTTTTCGCTACCCAGCGCCTTTCATACATATGGACCTCGACCTTTCCCGCACCCTTTTCGGCCAACGAGATGGCAGAAGATAGGGCCGTCGGGCCACCGCCGGCGATTGCGACCTTCAGATGTGCTGCAGGGTACTTGTAGACAATCGGGTCCCTCGGGAGTGAGTCTAGATTTCTCGCCATGGCGGGGTCGAAGAAGAAATCAAGGACAACTTTGGTTCGGTCGGAGAACATGACTTCTGAAACCCGGGCCTTGATGAGTAAAAAGCGCATACATTGCAGCAGAGGAGTCGCTGCGAAGGTGGCATGGCGGTTTGCGAATATCCTCGTCTGAACTGCAAAAGCCAATGCTGGGACTGTCCGATTGTGCTGATTCGACGCAATTGCTAAGAGCTCGATCTGTATCATGGGGTCTTTGCTCGTGTTGCCGAACCGGATCATGAAGAAGCGAGCCCTCTCAAGATCTGTCTTGCGAGCATCTGCTAACTCCCACTCATCCTCGAACGACTTTGGAAATAAGATGTCGTCGAGTGCAGGGGCTACCGATTGGCTCCTGCTTCGCCTGTGGAACACCGCTGGGGAAAGAGATCTGCCGCGCATGATGGTGATGGCTGTCTAGAAATTTCGCGAAGGACTACGAGAGGACTCTAGGGAAAACGATCGAGTCTTCCAGGTTGGTAGTTATACTGCAGCAAAAGGCGGCAGAATTGGCGAGGCAGTGTTTTGGCATCTAAAAAGAAAATGAAAGGTCAACAATTAGCGATTTATAATCGCCAGGTACGGGGGGTGGCTGAAGTGTCTCGCGTTTTGTTCGCGCCTGCGAGCGAGACAAAAAGGGGCCACAAGCGATCCTTCACCGGCAACCCCCAGCCAATGAACGCCGTGGCTTGCGGCTAGTGCTGACTTCACGTGAAGCCAAGAACTTATTTTAGAGTCTCGCGGCAAGCTTTCCCGCTTGTACTGTAAATTACGGTTGGCGAGACCTAAAATAAACTCTTGGGCAGCAATGCGGTCAAGGCGGCTGCGGCGGCACGCATGCGGCCTCAGCGAACAGAATTGCAAGGCTATCCCTAAAACGAGGTACGACGAATGGGTGCTATTCTTGGACTAGCTTCCTTTCGAATCAGGGGTTTCTTTTTCGTCAAGAATATGGAATCCTCCGGCCCCACGGCACTCCGAGCTCACAATGTCAAATCTATTCTTTTTCAACCAAAGATAGAGACGTATGAGAATAGGCTTTGCTCAGTAACCTCGAGTATGCTCGCGCTTATTCTATTTTCTACGATTCTTATCCCTTCGTCCGGTAAGACATTGCCACATCAGCGGCCGCATATGAATATCCCTAATTCGGCAGGAACATAATCCGAATCAGGGATATTTATGTGCGGCCGCTAGTGTGGCAATGTCTCACCGGACGAAGGGATTAGGGTATGTAAAAAACCGTATTTTATAAGTAAGACGGTTTTAATGCATGTTTTATATGTTTTTACGAGCCATAAAACACGGTTTTAATAAAAAAAAACCTACAGATCACATGATATTCACGTGAAAACTGGCCTAATTTGGCTAGCTACATAAATTTTGCTGCGAGATTTTCTCGGGCTTCTCCTTGACCAAGCCTTCTAATTTCCACCACTATTAATCCAACCACTCAACCACGCATCTATCATGACTCGAACGATCGGCGAAAAGAGAAGAAGTATGAAGCAGAAGACGAAGATTAGGCTGGTTTTCCACTATATAGCTATCATGTGACCCTTTGTTTTAAAACACCGAAATTATAAAATACCGTTTTTTATACGTAATAAAACGTACGACACAAAACGGTTTTTTAGGAGCGACATACCCTAGAACGGATAGTTATCTATTAGTTATAGTATATTCGAAGCCAATGAAGCTCCATTAGCTGCTTGGAACAGCACTAGAAGTAGCTTAGGAAGGCTACTGATTTGAGATCAACGTATCTACCCATTTAAATGTAGCGAGACAGGGGAGTCCAGGGCTGGCACATACCGGAAAGTCAACGGCACGAGTTTTTCATTGGCCTTCACTCCCTGTCTGTGGCTGGCTCGCTACATCTAAATGGGTACATTTGTTGTAGTTCAGACCCTCTATTCTGGGGTACATTGTCGCTACCGAGGCTTGCAGATCTGCCCTCAGTTGACGAGTCCTAACAACCCTGCAAAATTCCCGGCTACAACCACAGCGCCCCCGGTGGTTGCCCTGCCAGATTGGGGGCGTAAACCTAAAATTAAGCGGTTGCAGTGCCCAATCGCTTACGAGCCCGGCCTCAAAACTCCGCGTTTTTAGACTTTAATGCCGATCGTCCCCTATGTACTCTCCCCCCCTAAATAAATGTAACAGTGGGTCCAAGTGCAGGGGGTTTTTGGTATGGCGACTGGACCGTGCCAGGCTGGTTTTGCGGGGACCCACTGTTACATTTAATTAGGGGGGGGGGGAGAGTATAATCGTTCGGCGTTTCCCACCTACAATTCGCCTAGCACGCCTTGTAGGTGAGGAATAGCGATACGCACAGAACAGCGATACGCAAATCTGAGATTTGGTGGGAATCTCTCCTTTACTCCCTTTGAAGTCTCACAACGCAGCGTAATAAAATAGTGTCTAAGTATTGGGAATTGATCCCAAGGTGTAGGCCCTTTAGCTTAGTAAATTTTAAAACTAAAAAATTAAGGCATTGTTGTGATGCAAATCTGCCCGATTTGACCATACAAATTTTGGTGCGATTTGCGTATCGCTATCCCTCACCTACAAGGCGTGCTAGGCGAATTGTAGGTGGGAAACGCCGAACGATTAAATGCAATCGGCATTCGATGCATTTTATAGTTTTATAGAGTACGTCGTATTTGCCCAAATAACTCCATATGTGTTTCCAATTGAGACCTCTGATCTGAATTAAAATGAGAATCCCTCCATCTTTGGTCATTTGAAGCTTGGATTAACATCTTTGCAATAACTGCTCTTGGTACTCAGTCGCACATATTGCTCTGAGTATTAGAGACACATAAATTTACCTACGCTGCAGTATCTCTCACTCATTTTGCGTCTGACCACCTCTTAATCTTCTGCATGGACATGATTCAACAACTTTCAACGGAAATCGACCTGCGCTATCAAAAATGTAAATCAGCCAACACACCCTTAGAAGCAATATGTAGGATTCATGTTGAATCACGTCACAATTTGTCCTCAGCATCTCAAGCATAAATTTCATCAAAAGTCGTCGACTCAAACTCCTTCAACTGTCGTCAGAACTCTCTACCCAGTAATATCATGCTAGAAGAAATAAAACTTGGCTTTCTGTCACGATAAGGTGATGTTGCAGTGGTGGTAAAGAGCTTGAATTGAGCTGAAGGCTGTGTGCCGGGCTAAAAGCACTGGCTACACGCTAAGTCACGTGCAGTGGCACCACGTGACTGGTGCCACGTAACACTTTCCCTGAGATCAGTGTGGGCAAAAACTACTCAAGCTACTCAAGCTACTCTAGAGTAGTCTTGAGTAGAGTAGAGTAGAGTTTGAGTAGCATAATATGGTACTTGAGTAGAGTAGAGTAGAGTACTACTCTAGAGTAACTCAAGAGTAGTCACGTGCAAGTCACGAAAATATAATAAATCAATATTTATTTAATTATTAACAAATAAATAAGATATATATTAAGCAGCACTATATAATTTAAGCTAGAGCTTATATAAGGATACTTAAATACCACTTTTCTTCTATAAAAACCAGATTTCCCTCCTCGAAATCTTTCTTTTCTTGCTTTTTTTCTTCTCCTTTTACTTCTTCTAATTCGTCTTTAAATAACCCCCAGCTTTTTAAGTAAGATATTATCTTAATAGTACTCTTATTAAGTCTATTATATAATTTAAATAATAAGAGTACCTTGAAAGAAGAGTTTGCCCTTAATAGCTGAGGAAGCCTAAGAATATATTAAGGTTCTACCTTGCTTACTAAGCCTTGCCACTACTTGATTGGGCAGTGCAGTGGCGCTAGACTCGGGCCACCCCGGAGCCTTACCTAATTAGGCTAGCGTGTCACGTGTAACATCACGTGTAGTATCACGTGCATACTACTCAACTACTCTAGAATATTCTAGAGTAGTTGAGTAGAGTATTGAGTAGAGTATGAGTAGTGAGAAATTTATTTGAGTAGAATATAAGTAGGGCCCACTACTCTACTCTACTCTACTCATTTCCCACACTGCCTGAGATTCACTGGACGATATTGAGAGTGTGCTGAAGAACGTTTCCATCGCACAAAAGCTGATTCTTCTCCATTGTTCCGACCCAAATATTGAATAAGCACACATTGATCTAAATTATTTAATTATTTCAATTGTACATTTGAGAACCAAATGTGTAGCCTAGTCCAGGAAGCGACCATCTACCCCTTCTACGGCAACGAAGAGCTAGTGGGCTCGCCTCGACTTGTGTTTTGCAACGGGAACGCATACCATGACCCACGTTGGGCCAAACAATGTTCTAAGGAGTCAGGTGGTTTGGAGATGAGATACACAGTGATGACATGTGACAGGTGTGACCGGTAAGCACTTTCACCGCTGAAGACACAAAAGACGATATGGCTAACTTCCCACACGGACTACCCCCGGGATGGTAATAGTATTGCGGAGAAGAGTGAGAGCTGGTGAGCTAGCTCCACTATTCATATCATCGCCAGGAACACAGCTAGAATTAGTACGTTCCTTTCTCAGAAAATTGCTACAGGACCGTCCGTGATGCTCTCCTTCCAAAACCGACCAAAACATGGGTGCACTCAATGTGTCTCCGCCCATTCCCGGTACCACTCCAAACACTCCTTATTCATAACACTCGCTCCAACTTTGATATTCATCCCGCACAGAATCTGCTTAATCGCAATTTCGACCCTATATTCGTTAGCCCTCTTCCTCTCCCCACGAACCTCTCAAAAGAAAATCGAACTCACTTCTTCCCATTCCCCGTAACCGGAATCTCAAAACACTCATCAATGACGCCCGGAACATGTCTCGCACTCAACTCCTTCCTTATCACACCACTAATCTCCTTTCTCAACCCCTCATCACAAACCATCCCCTCCTCCATCTTCAAAAACAAAACGACCGTTTCATCAGTATCCATTTCTCGTCTTCGACCAACACAAATAGCATCCGCCACCCTCCCCCCAAAGTGCTTCAACAAAATGTTATATATCTCCGCACTGCCAAACCTCACACCACTCGGTTTCAAAATCCCATCGCTGCGTCCTAACATAACCAAGCCCTTCGTCTCTTTCTCGAAACGTACAAAGTCGCCGTGATGCCACACCCCAGGGAATGTCTCAAAGTAGGCGTCACGGTATTTCTGTTGTCCTGCTGCCGGGGACGAGGAAGAAAAGAAGGTGACTGGTTGGCAGGGGAATGGTGCCGTGCAGACGAGGTCGCCGTCTTCGCCGTCTGGGACGGGGACACCAGAAGGTGAGTAGGCGGCGATTGCCATTCCCAAACCGCTACATTGGATTTCACCAGGATAGACGGGGACGAGAGGGCAAGGGGAGCCGAAGAGGGAGATTATGTCTGTGCCACCTGTGATGGAGCCGAGGTTTAGGGAGGATGGGTAGGCTGAGTAGACGTATTCGAATGTTGAAGGTGCAAGGGGAGAGCCTGTGGAGTAGATCGCTTTGAGGGAACTTAGGTCCAGATTGTGTGGTTCTTGCATAGGAAATATGCGTTTTTGTTCCAGGATTGAGAGATACTTGGCGGAGGTGCCAAAATGCGTGATTTTCAGATCTTGAATCAAAAGCGGCAGACTGAGGTCGCCATGGGGATGGAAGGGCGAGCCGTCGTACAGGACTATTGCGCAACCGGCAGAGAGAGCAGAGATAAGCCAGTGCCACATCATCCAGGTTGTGGTTGTGAAGTAGAGCATGCGGTCTCCAGGTCGGATGTCACAGTGTAAGATGTGCTCCTTTTTGTGTTGGATGAGTGTCCCGGCGGCGGAGTGGACGATACATTTTGGTGCGCCAGTTGTGCCGGATGAGTAAAGAATATATAGTGGATGTGAAGGTGGTAGTTGCGCGAAGCTGGGTGGCCCGGAGAGATCGCCGGCACTGTTGGCCTTGTCAGTTGAGATAGGGGTATCACGTGATGGCATCAACTCACCTCCTCACAAACTCTTCATAAGTCCACATCTTTCCCTCCCCCACCTGCAACCCCTCAACCTTCACCCCATGTCCCTTGGCCGTCTCAAATATAACACCGGCTTTTAACCCTTTCAAGCCAGCGAGGATCTCCTCCACTTTCTGATGACTCGAATGCGTCTTCCCATTATACACCACGGCATTATCAACAAATAGCACCTTGGGTTGAATCTGAACCAATCTCTCGAGCACAGCGGTGACCCCCGTATCAGGACTGACTCCCGTCCACACTGCACCAATACTCGCAGCTGCGAGCATCGCTACCACCGCATTGGCGTGATTGCCTAGGAAGCCAGCTACGCGGTCTAATTCCACGACACCGTGGGACCGGAGAGCAAGAGCACACTTTTGCACTCGAGAGCGGAGTTGAGCCCAAGAAATGGTGGAGGACCCAGTCTCCGTCGCTTCGATAATTGCTGGGGAGTTCTCGTCAATCTTGAGCTTTGCCGGGTAGAGCAAGTTCTCAGCAAAGTTCAGTCGAGAGCCGGCGAAGAAGTCTGGGCGAGGGAATAGAGGCGCAGCCTTTGGCACAACCTGGCGTGAGATGTTAGGAAGAATTGGGAAAGGAACTTGATGATGATCACGTGATAAGACTTGACATACTTCACTGTAATGCTTCTCAGCAGTGATGCCCGTAAACTCCCAAACTTCTCCCCAAAACGAACCAATAGCGTTGATTGACCATCGGTACAAATCGTCGTAGCTCTTCAGCTTGAGACCGTACTTCTGGTTCACGCCGCGCATGAACTCCGCCATTCTCGTCGTCTCTGGGTCAGGATGCGCCCACAACTTCCTCTTTTCCTTTCCCGTGGCTTTATTTGTGCCATTAGCCATCTGTGGAATGTTTGACCCCATTGTGATGAGTATTCGTTGCTTTATTGAGGCAGTTGGAGTGGAAGAAACATGCTTGAGACTTTGGCCCAACAAAAGTTGATGGCCTGTCGGGGCCACGTTGATCCGGTCCCGCCAGCGGAAGCGGAGGGATTTGCCGAGGTTCCCCCTGAGGGCTCCGGCGCGGAAAGCGACAGGAAGAGCAGGCATGGCTTTCTCAAACCAAAAACTGTAGAATTTCTAACGCTGCGGAACATAGAAACTAAGAGTATTTTATATGTAGGTCCTCCGATCAGGGCTCTGTTGGTACCCCGACTTTACAGATTGCCGACGTTGCACTTGGGATTCTGCCCTTCTCTGGGCTGAACTTTGAGGTCAACTTTGAGCAAGTGACGCAATTCAAGGAGGCATGGGACCGACAGTAAGAAACGAGGAATTCTTTCTTCAAACAAAAAGCTCCATGGGAACGTTGTCGGCATTTACCTGTGTCTATCCCAAAGATTTATTTATCCATACACGCTGTGTTGTCTGACGCCGTCCTCCGTGACCTCACACGGACTCTCCCCCTGATCTCTTCCCACCGCGAAGTCGAACCCTCCTTATTGAACACTCACAACATCACCTTCTTCTTTCAACCAATTTCATTAATCTCTACTCAAAATTCACAATGGACCCCGCCTGGCTCCCCGAAGGCCCTCAAATCACTTCACCCCCAGCCCTCCTCCCTACCCGCTCAACCTCCTTTTCCGTCATCGGGCGCCACATAACCCTCGCTCTCCTGACCCCCTCCCGCATCCCCGCACTCTACACTATCTTCGGTGGCACCCAGAACGCACACATCTTCAAATTCCTACCTATCGGCCCTTACATCTCGCCTGAGAATCTCGGCTTGGAGATCTCGAGCCTGCTCGAGAGTGCTAACGACTGGATATATGCTGTGATTCCCACCTCTCGCTCTCCCTCTCAATTAAAAATGGAAGAGAAAGAGAAAGTGGATGGGGAGGAAAGACAAGAAGCGAGCAAGGAGGAAGTTCTAGGCATCCTGTCCCTTTCACGCCCCCTCCCCGCCCACCACACCATCGACCTTGGCGCGATCTTCTCCTCTCTCCTCCAACGCACAACCGGCGCCACAGAAGCCGTCTACCTGCTCCTGCGGCATTGTTTCGTCGACCTCGGGTATCAGCGCGTCGAGTGGCGGTGCAATGATAGGAATGAGGCTAGTAAACGAGCGGCGGTTAGGCTGGGGTTTAAGTGGGAGGGGTGCTTGAGGCGGGAGAAGGTTTATAAGGGGAGGGGGAGGGACACAAATGTTTTTGCGGTGGTGGGGGATGAGTGGGAGGAGATGAGAGGGGGGATGGAGCGGTGGTTGGAGGAGGAGAATTTTGATGAGTGGGGAAGGCAGAGGAGGGGGTTGGAGGTAGTGAGGGGGGAGGTGATGAGGGAGAGGAAGGCGTGAAAAGGAGGGAGGGAGAGAGGGTTGTAAAGGTGGTATTGAGGTATCTAGAGTATCCATCTAATGCCAGCCCTCGACCATGCTTCCGCTAGTAAGCTAACGCCACAGGCTATCCAAGTCCATACCGAAAATGCTGCAGACCTCCTGGTTCTCTCCCATAAACGCCAAGCTCAAAGATGCATTTTATTACAAAGCTCTGCCGAAAATATGCACAACTCCCCACTTTCCACTCCCAAGCTAATCCGGAGCAAAGCTTGACCTCTCCAACTCAACTGGTCTCCCCTCCCCTCTTCGAACCTGCCTCTCCATCTCCGGCAAAAGCTCCGGAATCCTAAACGGTTTTGTAACAACACTATCCATACCCGACTCCTTGGCTGTAGCAATCTGCTCGCTCCTCGCATTGGCCGTAACAGCAATAACCGGAACATGTCTCGTGATCACCCCTTCCTTTTGTAATTCTCGAATCCTCTTTACGCATGTCAACCCGTTCATTACTGGCATTTCGAGATCCATGAGTATGATGTGCAGAAGGAGGCCGCTGTTTTCGTTTCCGGCCCAGAAGCGGGTTTTCGAGAGGAAAGAGAGTGCTTCGCCGCCGTGGTTAGCAACGTGCACTGTGCAGCCAGCGCTGCGCAGCTGTTTCGAAAGGACCTTTTGGTTGACGATGTTGTCTTCGACTATCAAGACATGCTTCGGTGCCACGGGTTGCGTAGCTTTCTCCCGAGGTGTTGGTAGCGTGGATCCAGTTTGAAGTCGTGCCAGTGCCACAGGACTGATAATCTTGTATTGCGCTCTCATGTCGACTGACTGGGAAGTCATTCGACTGCGGTCTTCTGGAGGATTGCACCGCCGTGCTCGGAGATAGAATGCGAAAGTGCTGCCAACGCCAGCTTTGGATGCGACTCCAATTTGGCCGCCTTGCAACTCTGTCAGCTCTCGAGAGATAAAAAGTCCAAGACCCGAGCCTCCATATTGGACGTGGGTTCGTGGTGATGCCTGAGAGAAGCGTCTGAAGAGGAGGTTTCGCTCGTCTTCATCCAATCCTCGACCAGTATCCTCCACTTCGACGTACAGGTAGACCATTTCTCCTGTACCCCAGGCGGTGCCTAATGTGAGGTCTTTGCGGTTGCTGCTGCGGGGTAGATACTCGATGCCATTTCTCCCCGGCGGCGGCTCGATGGAAGCACCAATACTAATGCTAATCTTCCTCTTCGTCTCGGTCTGCGTAAACTTGATGGCGTTCGTCGTTAAGTTGATTAGCACTTGAAGAAATCGACTGGGGTCGAGTCTAACCCAATCCACCGCCAAATTCGAGTATGAAGGATCAACATAGAACCGAAGCTCCACGTCGCTCTTTTGGAGCTCGCTGTCGAACATCTTCAGTGCGATCCGGATTACTGATATAGGTTGAACTTCGACCGGGGTGACGAAGAGAAGGTCGGAGTCCAATTTTGAGAGAGTAAGGATATCATCGATAATTCGCTTCTGATGTTGAGCACAAAGTACAATCGTTTGTGCTGCATCCACATAGCCATCCACAAGCTCCCTTGGGATGGTGACGTTTTGGCTCTCGCCACCAAATTCAGAAAGAGAAGTTCCGATCCAGTCACCACACTGGATGATTGCCGACAGAGGGTTTCTCATTTCACTGGCGATGATAAGCGAGGGCCCGCAGGCTGTGTATCAAAAGACTTACTGAGACGTCATATCGATGAAGTTCTCCTGCTGTCTCTTTAGTTCGACGGCTTCCATCATCTTCCTGGTCTGGAACCCCTCCATCCATTTCTGACGACTGATGTCTGTGATGCAACCCAAGATACCGATAACCGTTCCATCATCTGCTCTCTCCGGGTATGCGGCTGCGATGATCCACGAAAAACCTTCCACCTTCTCTCCAGGAACGATCTCCTCGGCCACAAATGGGCGTTTCAATCGAAGCTCGAACACTACTGTTTCTCCGCCTAGAAGCTTCGCCCACTCACGGTCCATGATGGGATGATCGGAATCGTGGAGGACATTGTACCAACTCTGCGAATCCTTTTCAGCAACATGGCTCGCACTCTATAAATATTGAGAAACCTACCAGTGGATATGAGACATTCCGAGGATGCCCAGTCATCCTTGAATTCCAGCGTCAGCATGGAGCAGCATTTATTTAAACCAACGAACATACTTGTAGTAATCGTTGTTGCCATATAACAAAACTCCCTGTGGGTCAATATGGAACATCCCTACTGGCGCGAGGTCCGCCATTCTTCTAAATCTTGTCTCAGCTTCTAGCGCTTCGTGTGTTTGTACAGCGAGCTTTTTGGACAGAAGATTGCGGTCGTGTGTTGCTTGTTCAGCAGCTATTTGGCCTCGACGGATTTCTTCTTCAAATAGAAGTGCAGACTGTAATTAATATGAGTATTTGCTTCCCGTTCCTAGAAATGGTGGAAGCTTACCACCATCGAAGTAGCTAATTGCCTACTAAGAAGCTCGACAAAAACTTTGTAATCAGCATCAAACTGTCTCCGAGGATTTACACCAAGAATCATAAAACCGAGAACATTGTCTGACGTAGATCGGATTGGCAGGAAAATAGCTGACTTGCACGGATGCTTTCCATCCATGATTACCGTGATATCTCTTGAAATAAACTGCGGTAAAGTTCCATCGTCTGCTCGGAGCAGAGTCGGAGAGTCTTGCTTCACCAAATCATAGAAATTTGGGAGGAATTCTTCCATGCCCAGTTCATTGTTGATCCGTTTCGGAATGCTTGTGCAAGATTCTGGAACTCTGACTAGTCCTTCAAGGGTCCAGTTCCGAAGGTTCTGGCTCAGTTCTGACGACTCTGAGAATGTTTCATTGATATCTCCACCGGCAGAGTAGAGAATTGCGAAAGGTAGGTCGAGATGGTCGCCTTGAAGAGCAAGAAGCAGTTGATGCCAGAAGTCTTTCGGCTCCCGCGACGATGCGATGTACTGTCCAAGCCGGAGGAAGAATGCCATTCGCCTGTCTGCTATGACTTGTCTCGTGGAATCGGAGACGGGGTTGTAGCTGCAGACAAATCAGTTGGCCGGACTTCGATACAGTGAGCAAATGCAGAGTGTACTCACAAACCAATATCACCATCCCCGACACTAAATGGAATGATGGATATCGAGTAATATGTTTCCTCGAGATAACCCTGTCTATCGATGTAAAAACGAGCATCGTCAAGCAAGTACGACGTTCCCGTCTCGTAAGCCGCATCAAATGCCGGACTGAAGTCACCTTCCACCTCTGCCCAAGCGTCGGAGAATGTCTTGCCCATCATACCAGGATGCTTTTGTCCCATGACTACAACATAGGGTTCGTTATATAACATGGTTCTGTGCTTGCCGTAATACATTGCAGCAGGTCGAGGGTCGCTCATCAAAATATTGGCCATTCTGCGCAGTTCAGCCGACCATTGGTTGATAGGCCCCAGTTCGGTGGATCCCCAGTCGAAGTTGAGAACAAATTCATAATGGGAGGAGAGGGTGAAGGATGGGTTGGGCTTCGTGAAATCGATCCGGCCAATATCCTCTGGATGTTTCATGCTGTCCTGCCTTTGTGCTGGTTGCGCTCTTGGTGCTAGAGACGGAAATACTTGGATTTCCTCTTCCCGGCGAAGTCGGAATGCAGAAAGCTGTGCTTCCAAAGAGTCATTCGAAGTGATTGCGGGTTTCGACCAGTCTCTTCTTTCGACCCTGTCCATCGTCTGTGACCTCCCTGGCCTTGGATATTCCGACTGATGCCGATGGACAGCCGCATCCCCAGCATAATCGTCTTCTTCTCCAGACACCACTCTCCACCTCTTCCTTATTGTCTTTGCCTTCCATCTGAGCCCGTAGCAATTGGTTTCTGTGAAGCTTCCTAATCTTGTCGTTGCAGCAGCCCATTCGATAAACGCGGCACATTTGGGGTCCCTCTCTGATTTCCCCCCTGATATCACTCCCTTCCCAATCTTCAGTTCTAACAATGGCACTTCCCGCAACCTCGGATTGCAATATATCGGGATGGTTTTCGAGGTGCTCGCTAAGTCGAGGATGAACACTGGCCGATCGTCTATATCTAAGAGTTCCACGAGTCCCACTGACAGCAATCCATCTTTCGGACATTCAAGGGTGACATCGACGGTGGCGGTGATATCCGTCTCCGCCTTCTTGGGCAGATCGCTGGGGTTCCTTGGTACATCGCTGCCATTGACTGTGGCATCGCCCAGATCTGCCATCTCCCAGTGTCGACGGAAGTCCGTTTTCCTTTGTCATTCCTCCTGCCCCACCCTTCCGCAGATTCTTGGCCGAGGCCTGTTCAGTCAGCAACAACAGCGCGAGATTGTCACGATAGCAGCTGACACTCGTCTGCCAGCATCGTCCGCGCACCTGCCACCTCAACACAAAGAAGAGATACGTATGAAAAGATAGATCGGAACATCCTCACCGTGGCGCCGACGAATGCTAGGGTTGAGCACCGCTTCCGCGTGGACATGCCCAGTTCTAAGTTATTGGATTCCAGAACACTGTGGAGCATTGCAGCCAGGCTAAAGACACCCCAAAACCTTTTAGTCCTTCAGGTGGCGGATTCGGAGGTGACTCCGAAGGCGAGAGCGGAAACATCGAGAAGATTTCATCCGGCTTTGGGGCTCTAGATTCTTCATCGAATTTAGGATTTGCATCATCACTTGTTGTTGCGAACCAGTGCTTGCTCGGAAGAGATCTCCTGGATCAACCATTCCAACCCCCCTCCCAATGCGTGACGATTGACAGCGCCCCGACGCGCTGCGAGGGTCTCCGATTTCATCCGTAGAGTTGAAGTGGCTTGCCGAAGGATCGGATAGAAGCGCAGGCTTGCAGTGTTCGGGATGTGGGAGAGAGTTTTGCGCTGGTTGAGCACAGTTTTATCGACTAATTTAAAGTCTGGGACGACGTCAACGATGCACAGGAGCCACGTGACATAGCCCTTTCTTTTCCTCAGTCGCGAGTAGGTTTATTGCATCCGGAGGTGAGAGTATTTCCCGAGTCATAATTAAGGGTTCATATTGAACTTGTCTTCCAATCTTCAACGCTAAGTAACTCGTAAGCGCAAAATCGAGCTGGAAAGACTATCAGAAAGGTCTCGTTTTGTCTGAAAACTAGGCCGCCACGGCACGGCGGCGCGGGGCATTTTCACATCACAGGCGATACCAAACTCTGATCCAAAGATAGACATTCAACTTCTGTAATGAATCCTTCATTAAGCTCATTAAGCTTTTTTTTGTATTGCAAACAAGAAATCCACTCGAAGCAGAGTGTACCGTTTTCACTTGGAACTTGAAACATTCTATTTTCACTTTTTAGTCGTGACCTTCTTTGTACTTTCTGCAGCATTCATCCAACATCAAAGCCATATTAACGTTGAACTCCCTGTCTATTAACATGAACGCCACCCAGCCAGAAAAAATACTCGCCATAACCCACCAGCCTCAATACCTCCCATACGGCCTATTTTCCCCCCTTGAAGGCGCAGGCGACGCATCCAACTCAACCGGCATAACAGCAACACTGTACTCCGGCGCCGGACTCCTCAACGGCTCCCCATACTCACCCCTCATCTCCGCCACGCCCGTCCTCCCAGCTCCCATCCCCATAGCAGCACTCTTCTCCCCACGGCCATGAACCGAATGATCGTCAATCTCATACGTATCCACCTTCGGACCCACATACCCATACTGCCGCCTCAGCTTCTCTGCATCCCCGACCTCGTTCGCGGGCGCCTCATACGGATATATTTGATCGCGTCCAACGGGTCCGTTTGGTGGTGGTGGAGAAGCGGTGTTTAAGCGGATGGCTTCTTCTTTCTTCTTGAGACGCTTGTTGCGGAGGATGACGGCGGTGCCGAGACCGAGGGTGAGGAGCGCGATGATGGTTACGATGATGCCAATTAACGCTCCAATAGACAATGTTACTGCACCTTTCGTGTTCGAGGATGTTGAATTAGAGGTCACGGGGACTGGCACACCGGATCCGGATCCGGTTGTTGTGGCCGCAGCAGCGCTAATCTTGCTGGTAAATGTGCTCGCGTATGTGGTTGTCAGCGTCGTGGTTTCTTGGCTGGCGGTGAGAGTTGCTGTGTATGAAGATGTGAAGACGGAGTACACTTTCGGATCAACGGTGGGAGGAGGTGTGTAGCGGGCTGCAGAAGTGGTCGATCCTGTGGTTACGAAATTTGAGCCTGCGGTTTGTGCTGCTTCGTTTGCAGGGCAGGTTATGCTGGTGGGACTTTCGTGGCCGTAGTCGTCGATGATGCCGCAGGCCCAGGTTTCCGCTCCGCCAGCGCCGTCACATTTGATTGCCCAGTTCCAGGTGGTTTCGAAACCTGTGGTGGGGAGATTGGTTAGTTGGCTTTGTTGGAGAATTCGCACTGCGTGAGATGGATTGAACATACCAGTCACGCAGATGTCTGCGTTGCAAGACGGATCGTTCCATGTACGATCTGTACAAGTACCACGATACGAAATGCCCGCAGCGGGATAATAACAAAGTCCATCAGGTTGGCAGATATCTCCTTCACTCGGCACACAACAACTCGAATACTGAGCCCCCGTACAGGCCTCCCAAATCCAATCTGTAGGTATCGATCCATCGGGATAATAACACTGCTCAAACGCCTCAACAAACCTCAAGTGAGAAAGACCAAAAGTAACGAATGGAACGACCGAAGTCAAGAGAGAACGCATATTGAATAAAGAGTGGAAGGGCTTTCTACGACCAAAAGAACGTGGTACAAAAACGCGGAAGGAGAGAAACGAAATGATGGTTCTTCACATTTTACTTGTAAAAACAAAGGATCCGTCCCCCAGTCCAAAAGCCGGGAGCTTGCTTGGGGAGTGATTTTCGTTGCCGCCTTTCTGCTGGATGTGGTTACTGTTCAGCCCTGTGGCGGTTGTAGCTTGCACCAGCCTCATTTTTTGCGAGAGGCAATTGGATGCCACAATCTACGTGCCGTTGCTGCAGCGAACGAGATGAAAGATCAAGCGCCACTACTGCTGGTGGAAGTTAGACAGTGTCGTGAGACTTGGAGGCGGGGGGGGAGAGTGATCAGCTGTCTGTGCGGATGCTTGGCAAGGCTGTTTTTGGAATGGTCATTGCCCCCTTTTCGGGCTTGACCCCACGAGGGTTGGCTGACTTAAAAATGAGCAAATTTCAAGCATAGAGAAAATACTGGAGATCTTCGACCCAGAACCTGTCATTTTAACGTTCTCGTACTGAGAGTGCTCGACGTCTGTCTTGTGAAGTTGTGATGATTTGCTAGGAAAGACACTGAAATCGTGCACTTGGCCTGGAAACGACTATTATTTTGCAATTGTTCTGAATCTGATATTAAACATATTCTCGCAACCTATCCTCCTCAAAAGACACAGTCCACTCTTCGGACGCCATAGTTGGAAGCCCTCGTTCACTCGCCAGCAACCCTCTTTCTGACGGATCCTCTTGGTCTGATATATGCGCCATTTCCATCTCCTCAATTCTTCGGTGTCTGTCAAAGAAAACACGATTCTCATCGTCACTCCAAGTTGTAAATCGAACCACTTCCCAATTGATCCAAATAACGAATGCTGCGATCAAGAGCTGGGTGACTAGTGAGGCAGCGGTCATTGGTAAGTAGAATTTGAAGATGTTTTTCTGGATCGTGTCTCTCATGTTCAGATCGATGAACGCTTCTGAGGCGCCTTTGCTGAAATATGCAGACCAAGACTTGCAGTTGTTGTACCATCCTATAGAAGTTAACACGGAGTGTCGGGGATAGAGCAAATGAGCGCAACATACCTTGGAAGGCCCCGAAGAGAATGTACAAACTCCCGAGTGACCAAAATGTGTTCCAGAAGTAGATCTTGAACAGTTGGTGAAGGTTTTTCTCAGGCAACATTAGGCTTCCCGACATTGTGATGAGGAAATTCAGTATCCACATGCCGGCGAAAGACAGCTCCATGATCCCCCTGTCACCCAGACCCGTCGTTGGTGTATACCAAGACATTATGAACGCAATGACAACCGGAAATGCAACGGCTGCAATGGCAGGGAGTAGCAAAACCTTTTGTCGTCCGGTCATTTGCGGTTTCTGTCCTCGCTTGGGGTATTTCCAGCTGTAGTTTCCTCCATCCCAGGGCTCGATTGGCCTGAGAAAGATATTATCCCTCCGTCTTGCGGCGTCCCTGAGATTCCTCAGTCTTCCATCCAAGAAGTCGGCCAAGAATGCGTGACTGGACCATTGATCCGCAAAACCTCCAGCAGCGCCGCTCAATATTATCGCGCAAAAGAGCCAGTAGTACAATTGTCGCAGGGCGAGCGTATGCGGCATGTGGTAGGGAAAATTCTGATCGACATACGACTGAAGGAGGGCCACAAAGACATCTTTTCCATAGACAACGATTGCCAAAACGGAGTGGAATTTGTTGTGCCGCCGATCCCCGGCGATGTTTCGAGCTGCTGATTCAAGGAGAGGACTAACGGCTTCCCAATGCGAAGTCGCATCGTCTTGGCTGCCCTCCTCAAGAGGCCGCAGGAGCGTCTCGACATGGATTCCGTGCTCGAAATCCTCCAGCGCATAACAGATTCCGCAAAGGTATTTCTTCTCCACAGGCTGTATTGATATTTGCGGCCTCGGTGGATCAGTTCGCTCACGGATCTCACATATTCGATCGATGCGCTCTTTGATCTCACGACCAGAATCGAGTTTCAGCGCTAAATTCCAGAGGAAGTCGATCGGATTCACGAGAAGATGCGAGATCACAGCGACCCAATTCAGCCAAGGCCCGCAGTTCCATCTCCAGATCCTGAACACTTTGCTGGCACTTTTGGAATAGGTAATGTTGCCGAGAAGCAGGAAGAGAGGTATTACCCAGTCTGTGAGAGCGCTGACAACGGACCAGATTGGATAATTTCCGTACCCTACGCCGCACTCCTGACGGCATTGTTCATAGGATATGATAAGAGGGCCGAGCGCTGGTGAAGTGCCATTCAAATGGCGTGCCCGACAATCATCGATGCTCACAAATTGGCGCATGATGGCATGTGATCAAATAACAAGAATTTCAACGTTTAAGAGAGGGGGAAATGCAAGATCATCGCTATTTATGTTGAAGCTGGAGCCACCTCCAGGGTTTCGGTGAGCCTCTTGGTATTGGAGTCATCTTGACGCCCACGACTCGAAGAGGAGATGTCACCACATTAAGACAATGCGCCAGCGGTGGCGCAGCCTTGCTGCACCCGTCAATGGCATGGATGAGGCTGCACAAGAAGCAAAAACCAATAGAAATAGAGAAGTGCGGTAAAGAAGGATAAATTATGCAGCTCAGCTGAAAATGTGTGCGCCTTCAGCCTCATGTTTCGACCCTGGGCGTCAAAGAGTCTAGACTTTGGGGGTGTGCAGGTACGGGCTCCTTTAGCAACGCTACTGCATCTATTATTTTTTGAGAAAATCAATTCGACGATATTTCAAAAATGTACTATTATTAATAATATAACTAATACCTATGGTAGAATATAATTAAAACAGTCGATCTATATAGTGTTTTATCGCATTCCATGGTAGGAATGCGATAGGGTAGGAAATTCAATAAAATGCACGTAATATGCCCCCTGACATACTAGCCCTCCTATACACTTCGTTCATACTTCTGTTCCTTTATTATTATTAATTCCTTAATCTTCTATTATTAACCTCTTCGTAATGGCTCGTTTAAAGATTAATATCGATTGCTATCAAGCCCATATTCTTTGTTTAATTGAGTAATAGCTATTATATAAGGAGATTATTAAGAGGTTATAGCATGACTTTGATATCGATATTTCCCTTAGAACTCTACGCAATAGGCTTTCCGAATAGAAAGCACCTTCCCAACGCTCGATATTTGAGCCTTCTCCTCAGGTAAAGGCTCTTATCGCATAGTTCTTTTATAATATCCATACGACTAATACCAATATACTTGCCAACCTCTGGAGCTTAGGATATAATATTCCTAATCTACGATTATTATAGCAGGTTCGCCGAGCTATAGGGCTTTAATGTCGAATACTTAATTCGCAAGTTGAGCTAGAAAAGGAGCAACTTTGCTATATCCTCAAGTAATATATAGTAGATAAAGGCCTATAGGGCAATACTAGAAGTTATAGATACCGGCTTCTATATACTTATCTCAATTTCCTAGGTAATAGCAAGAAGTTTTCTAGGAATAGAATAGCTTCTATAATACAGGAACTTAATCCAGAAAGTATATAGTATTATTTAGAAGAGATAAAGGTAGCTAGGGGGGAATATAATATTTATAGGCCAAACTTTATTTGGTCCATTAATAGCTATTATAAGGTAAATATAGTATAAACTTAACTTCAAAAATCATTATTTTAATAATTACTAATATATTTACTTAGCTACGATTTTATAATATTAAGATATATACCGATATTAATACCTACTTACGATTTATATCTTAGATTTATATTAGAATCTCAAATAGTTATACTATAAGTAGTATTACTTCCTAATTTGGTATAGATATACCCCCTTGGAAATAGCCAATATTCACTTAGTTATAATTCCGGCTATATAATTCTAAGGTATTATAGAGAACTAGTTATTTGAATTATACTTAATTTAGGCAATAAAACCCCTAAATCTCTATACTATATTCTTCTTTGGCCTAATTAATATCATACTAATATATACTTACTTATATTACCTTCTAGGTTACTATTCTAGTTTAATACCTTGACTTAGTAGACGAAATAGAGATTATTCCACTTTATATTTAATCGGATAAAGAATACAAAACACTTATAATTACTAATACCCATTATATCCTTTATAAAGTAATATATCAAACAAGGAATATTAATCCATATTAGTTCTTAGATCTTTATTAGTTTGGGACTAGTATAGCTAATTAATGAATTAAGGCATAGTAGGAGCAAATTACAAAGGTAATTTATTTAGTCTAATCCCATAAAAACTGATTTAATTAGCTAATATTATATAGGGCATACTAAATAAATAAAAGATATTTTTTAAATAACTATATTCTCAAAGGCTTTACTCTCGCAAACTTCTCCCCGATTATATAGCTATACTTTTCGTCTATTTACCTATTATACAAGAGCAAACTAAAGAATTTATCCGGATTTGGAATATCCATTTAATTAGGAAATAGCCTAATCGTTCATATATTATTCCTGGCCAACCCTTCCAGAACTATATGTTTTCAGAGCAAAAGGGGATTAGGGACTATAGTATTCCTATTAATATTAATAAACTAAACAAACTATATAAAGAATATACTAGCTATAATAAAAATACATATTTACCAAAAGTTATACTTAAATAGTATAAGCAAGAACTTAAGGATACCGGCTTTATACTCCTAATTATAGAATCTATACGTAACTCGAATAGAGAAATAAATCACCTGAGTACCTATATATATTTAAGGGAATTAATTACCGACTACCTGATTAATATAAAGAATACTTATCCAAAGCTAGGGCTTTTATTAATACCCAAGGGTATATATAATTGGAATCTATTACTAGAGGTAACTATAGGATTAGAGGAGGCAAGGCTAAAGGATTATAATAACTAAGATAGTATTTAGTTCGTTAATAAAGGGAGAGATACTAGCTATAGAGATAAAGATCTCATCTATATTAGCTCTAATAATAAAGCAAAGGTTAAAGATAATATAGAAAATACTAGATTTACTATAGATAATATTACTTTTAATAGGGCAAATAGTAATTAGGTCATAAATAGCCAAGAGTATAGGCAGTTTATAGAGAATGAATATATATCTGAGCCTAAAGTAAAGAAGGAGAATAATCTAGAGATTCCTCCTATAAATATTAGACGGTTTGCCCGGTATTAGAGAAGTTAAATAAGAACATATTAATATATATTCCAAAAAAAGAATTAGCTAAAAACATTAATATTTACTAAAGTAATTAAATATAGAAGTTAATAGTAATCTACTTAATAAGTTAAATTCATATAGTTACAGGTAATTTATTTCCAATTTAATATTAAAAGATTACATAATTCGCCTCCTCAGAAAATTAACCCCTACTCCTTTAATTTCTATACCCCCTATAATTATTCTATTAACTTATTATTTTAGTAGTAAGAACTCTATAGTATAAATCAAATTCTCTATTAATACTAGCTTTATTGAATTAATAGTTCTTATAAACTTTTAAAGTAATTACAAGATATATTTAGTAAAAATAATAAGAGTTATATCTTAATATATAGAATTTAAATTTTCCCCCTTAATTCCTATAGCCCCTTACTTAATATTCTATTACCACTAATATAGGAAATCATATTTTAAGTAATAATAATACTAGGAATAAATAAAATAAATCCAATTTTAATTTATACTAAGGGGCATCCCTTATAGTTCTTGTATTTATTCCTTTTTATATATTAGTAATATACTATTATTAATAATCTTCGAAATAGGTCCCTAATATATAAATTCTTTAGGGAAAAAGTTATAGGAATATAGGTGTTACGAGGCCTGGCTCTGGGCTTGGAAAGCAGGGTAGAGTGGCTCTTATTCCGATAATACTAAACTAAGGAGAGAAGAATATACAAGTGTATACGAACGCCAGGTAAGCATGCGAACCAGCCTAGCCCAATATAGCCTAGCATACCACGTGCAGGGAGCACGTAACAGCCATAGAGCGTATAACCATAACAATAGGCTAAAGAATTAAAATAATATTAATATATTATAGTTCTATCCTACTAATTATCTTCATACTACTATTTACTAAACTACTAGATTTATTAGCTATATTCTTCTTCTAATATTCAATTATAAATCAAATCCTTATTCTTTTATCCCCAAACGTTTATAATAGATAATCTCAATCTATAAAACTCTTATTTTATACGGGAGGCACTATACCCCCCTTTTATAGTAAAGTATCTATTATATGGTATAATTAACCCCGCTACTCCTCCTCTAGCTCCTATTACTCCTATACTAATTATTATATTAGACGGTATACTATTTTCTAGTCAAACCCAACTTCAAAATACTACCGCCCAATTATTAAAAGATCAAGGAATTAATATCTTAGCTAATTCCTATCCTTTTTACTATTCCCCGGATATAGATCTCTCAGAGAAGGTCCTTAAGGCAGAAGCACGTAAGAGGAGGCAGTAGGCTAAGCTCGAATATTTAGAGTAATTACATAGTAATTTCTATTAGGAAGCTCAGGGCAAAAATACATATCTATCTATTTAACTCCTAATATTAATATATTATTTACTAATTTTATTAGATTTGGCCCAGAAAAGGGGTAAAGCTATGGGATCTCTTACTCTCGGCCAGGGAACATATATAAAGGCCTTTAGTAAGGGTAAATCGATAATCCCTCCTACTCCTATTATCGAAAAATGATACAAGGTCCTTATTTCTATTATACTATATACATATAAAATAGAAGAACTAGAGAGTAGCTTCACTAGAACGAGTATACCTACTTCGATTATAAAGAAGTTCCTTAACTTAGAAAAGTACCGGAAGGCTCAAAATATTCAAATTAAGCTATAGATAGTAGAATAGTTTAATACATACGTAAAGCTTACTTATAGAAATACACACCTCTTTACTAATATAGTTATTTATTATAGTCAAAAACTGGTATATAAGGATTTCGCTATATATTTAGCCAAGGCTTTTTTATTATCAATTCCGTTATTTGAAAACTGGGAGCTTAATTAATGAATTACGATCTTAGAACACACAAATATAGTCTCTTTTATAAGTAAAGTAAGCTATTATTTACTAGTATCCTAATAGAATTAGTACTAATATAAATAGGTTTGGCCAAGAGGCAAAAACAAAAGAATTAACCATATAACTAGCCAGATATTTAAAGCTAAAAAGGATATTAATAGCTTATTATCTCACTTCAACCAATTAAATAAAAACACACCAAAGCATATTTATCTTATATTTAATTAAGATATTAATATAATTCAGGAAAGAGATAACGAGATTCAGGATAAGCATAAAAGAGCTAAGGGGGAGTTTCCTTTCCTAGATTTTAGCCCCCCATTAGAAGGCTCTCCTAATACCACCCCTAATATAATATCTATATCTATAATTATATCTACGGCATCTTCTTTACCTGCTTCGACTCCTAATTAATAGATCGAAGCCCTATGGGAGAAGGTTGCTCCTTCAGAGAATGGGTCAGGTGACGACCTGAATTCTGACGATTTTAATTCGGACGATATGCCTACGCTAGAAGCTAGAATTACGGTTTCTCCTGCTCCTGATCCTACTCCTGATCCTGGTCCTGCTCCTGCTCCTATAGCTAGTAAGTTTTAATAGATTTAGATATACTAGTAGATCTGACGTTTTTACTAGCCTTCGCTCCCGCTCCACCCACTAAACCTCCTCAACCTCCTCTGAAGTCTATATTAAAGAGGAAGCGACAAGTAGAAGTGACTATATCAAGCGATAACAACGATAATAGATCAGATCTTGACAATAGAGGGAAGGAATTACCAGGGGATGGTGATTATAGGCCGGGGAATAGGTCAAGACATAGGGATAATCGGGGGCAGTTCAAAAAAGCGAGAACAGAGTAATAGTACTGGGCGCATTTAACTATAATACATGGGAATTGCGTATTTGGCCATTATTAGGTGTGTTTTCCATATAAAATGTGGCCATTAAAAAAATCTCGATTCATAATTCTCATTTTGCGATTGCGAAAAATAATAGATGCAGTAGCGTCGCTAAATCAGCCCGTAGCAGGGGCAGTTTGTAACAAGGGCGCGCAATTCGTTAGTTTTAGGCGAGCGAAATTCCCTCTTTGAGCAACATGTGACTTGTCCCCCTTTCGGCGATCGTCAGGACGCGCCCTTCCAAGGCCTCGTGGGTTGAGGGCCAAGTAAGTGAAATATTCTCGGATAGCTAGCGGTAAAGAGCCCTGAAGAGTACGAAGAGCATCAGGTCGGCTCGGCCATCGTGTAAGGAGAGGAGAAAGTAACAAGTATGAGGATCCCGACGTTCACTCCTCTTGAGGTGAATGTGTTTGTCAATGCAAGGCAAGTTGGACCTCGCCTAAGCTCACCCCCTCATATTGCGCTTCTTTTCTTCGTTGCCCCATCGCCCCCTCGACAATCCATTCGTCTTCCACAGGAGTTCAACCAAGACAAGACAAATACAGCACCAGGCCTTTCTCCTCCTCGCGATCTGAAAGCTTCATCTCCCTCCGGTATAAGTAACAGCCGTGGACTCCTATTCTGCCTCTTCCGAGATTTGCTAAACGTCAAAGCAGATCGTGCTCATCTCGCCTTCAACTCGACTTCCCTCTCCAGATTCACTTTCTCGTCACTTCGCCCCGGGTCGATCACTATTTGTGATCTCAATCTCCCAAATCGTACATCTTTTCAACGACTGCCACCCCAGGAAGAACCTCCCGGCAGTTGTACCATCGACTCATCGCACAATGTCACACGCCGAAGAGCTTCCCGAACTCATGACGCAGCTGGAGATTGGAGATGATAGCAATCCCAGGCAGACCGCAACATCTTCATCGGTTCCCTGGCCCTGGTCGAATATTCCACTCAAGACATGGAACGATGTTGCAGAAGACGGTGACGCCGGTCAGAACTCGACTTCCACTATCAGCTTTGAAGCTCCAACCTTCCCCTTGACCGAGTTCACTTGCTTCCCAAAATTGCCGAAAGAGTTGCGTCTCAAGACTTGGAAACACGCTGCCACGATTCCTCGGAATATCGACCTCTGGGTTGGACCATGGGGAATTGACAGTGCGCATGGGTTATTTGATATCCTGGATAGGCCGCACTATTACTACATGTCCACAACTCTGCCTCCCGCGATTCTCTCAACATGCCAAGAGTCTCGCCAAGAAGGCTTAGCCATCTACAAGCTTGCCTTTGGCACTGAGACTCGCGTGAGGCGTCATCACCATAGTAGCGATGCTTACATTTACATCAACTGGTCTGCTGATACTCTTTGTTTGATGAACCCAGACGAACTTTGTTTTTCTTACATGCCCCATAAAGGCATTATGCTAAACCTTGTGGAGCAGTGCAACGCGGGTCAGCTTCGTGCTGTAGCTTTCAACAAGGATAATGGTATATGGAACAAATACCGCCACGGAGACTTTCATTATCCCCGAGACTTGGACGCATTACTGTTTGTTATGAAGAGCCTTCGCTATCTTCAGGAAATTACCTTGTTCGCTACAACAAAACAACATGACGAGGCTTCGGTTTGGCAATGGAGAGCCAAGTTCGACTTTGCGACCTCTGTTCAGGAGAAGTGGCAGCTTGACTCTCTCGCACAAGCCAAAGATGAACTTGAAACGAAGCTCAAGGAAACCGCCGAAGACCCGAGGAACGGAAATCACGATCTCCTAATAATTCGATCATGCCAATTAGTTATACACGATCACCCAGGTTCGTATAGTGGTTTGGGATTTCCTACCCGTAGGCCGGTTAAGGGTGGCTTTTAAATTGTCGAGTTGGGAAATCGGCGGAAATTCTGGAACTGATTCATTCTTCCAAGTGCCGAAACAAATTGTGGGCGAGTCTCACGGTCTCAATGAATGGGGGGTGCGGGCGGTGGTTTACTAGCTGGACTGTTGGGAGTGTTTTTGGGTGACGTCATGCGAAATCGTCACGAATCTCTGCTTTTTGAGTTCAGGTTCAGACAGGCGATGCTATTAATCGATGTGAACCCGGGAAATTCCCAATTAGAGAAATACTGACTCCCTGGCTCTCTAACGCTCAGGGCTTAGAACCTGACTCGCATCGAGAAACTTCTAGGCCCTCCATAAAATTGCTTCTTCGAGGAGAAACAGATCAAGCAAATGAATTTAACTAGCTTGAGATTTCAAATTGAAGGAATTTTTTAAGAAACATTTAGCGTGTCTGTTCCTCGCTGGGCTGTGTTAAATGTCATCTGGTTTTCGATTTTGTACCCTTGAGAGACACCCCAAACACTTACAAAACGCAGGTCTTTGCAGTTTTCACACTCGGCCAAAAGACATCATGCATGTTCTCTAATGCCATCTTCTGTCTAGAACTGCTCTGGCCTCTTGAACATCTTTTCAGGTAGGCTTACTTGAGATCAAACGATTGCCCCCGAGTTTTTCAATAGGTCTATCAGGAGCAATCAATATGTGAACAGAGGAGTACAATTCAGCCAAGCTCGCCATTTGCTTTCTTGCTAAATTCTAGAGTTTTAAAGTCGGCGAGGTGATAAGGCGTTGTCCAGTGTTAACTCGGAACAAAAACGATATTGGCCAGTGCTGTGGCGTCTCAGTTACCGTCAGAATTCCAGATTGCCTCCGCCGTCCTCGAATCGGCTGCCTCAAGCAATACTATCAAAATGCCAGCGCCCTCAAGCAGCTGCATTTACCTGCTTCCCAAGTTGCCTAAAGAGCTGTGGCTCATGATATGGAAATGCGCTGATTTCCAAACCCGCAACATCAACGTCTGGATCCGGGAAAGAGGTGTTTCTACACAAATCAATGTAGGCAGTGCATACAGCTTCTAATTTTATTCTTGGCAACACATCTTCCTCCCATGCTCCACACCTCTCACGAGTCTAGACTTGAAGTTCTCAAGTACCACAAGCTTGAGTTCGGTGCTCAGGTAAGTTACAACTTCTCGGAGTGATATTCCCACTTCTATACCCGCTTTAGAACAATGCCCCACAGCTCCTGGAACACTTTGCCTTTCACTATAGTCTGAAGAAGTATGCTGGCTCCGGTCTCTGGGGAACAGTACGCAGTGGCCCACATCCACGCTCCTGGTCTGCGACCGTCTGCATTCCGGGTTTCGTATGAACTCTCGATCCACATACACTGAGCTGTCGATACGAGATTTGTCAATCCCAAACTGCACACCATGCAAGCTATGACGGCGGAGTTGCGGTACATCCCTGTAGAACAAGCAGCGAAAGAGAAGAATGTCGATGGCTCAGAGCTTGTCAAGCTTATTCGAAGAAAAAATCCGACTTTCCGAGCTAGTCCCGAGTCTCCCAAACCAACGCGCATGGGGTTGGTAGCCGAGTTAGAAATCGAGGGCGTGACCATGGACGAAAAGGTGCATTATCAATCGACCTCTCTTCTTGTCTTGGTTGAACCGCAGATATGGGTGAATAGGGGAGAGGAGGATGAGGAGAATCCTCGATCTTTGCAGCAGACCCTTTCTGCAATATATAGTTGAGTTTTGTGTGCAATACCAAACTGTTTTCCAGCCCAATGTTCACTTGAGTTCTTATAAATTTATGGTTGGTTCCGCCTCAATTTTCACCTTGACTGAGGGTGTCGAAGATACGAGTGCCGCATTTATAAATTTGCTCACCTCCTTAATTCCTCGGTTAACTTTGTTGACCTGAATTCCATTTTCCCCTTCGCCTTTCTACATCCGTTTTCAACGTCGCGAATTCTTTGAACAACAACAAAAAGCACCTTAAACTGCCTCCCTTGTCCCTTTAAAATCATCAAGGGACTTCCAGAATAATCGTGGTTTTCAGTCTTCCAACGATTCCACCGATCCTGGAGACTTGCTTCGTTGTAGCTTTGAGGCGACCTTTCAAGACCGTTGGGCGCCACGAGAGATACTCCTGTCCGAAGAGAATTAGCAGGGCCCTATCGCCAGCTTCGTTCTTCTTTTCTCGGGCAGTGCATCCCCCGACGTTCGTTGTTTGGTGTTTGCTCTTTAACTATCAACAGAAGCTCGCCTTCCTTGCACCCCTGAATACATGTGTATTCGATCTTTCCTGCATCACGACTAAAAGGACCCCTCCCACACCATGGCGACTCCCTTTCCTTGCTTTCCGAAGCTTCCCAAGGAAATTCAATTCAAGATATGGAAGGAAGCCGCCTTCGAGACCAGGAATGTCGGTGTTTGGGTGGTGCGAGTGGACTTTGGAGGCTTTCACGATGAGAATGACGATCACGATCCATATTACTTCAGAACGAATGTTGGACCACCTGCCATACTACACACTTGCAAGGACTCTCGCTCGGAGGGCCTGAAATTCTACCAGCTTAGCCTGGGTACAGTCTTTGAAGTTGAAGAACGCCGACACGCACCATTTACCGTCACATTCCCTCCCAGAACCTATATCAACTGGAATGGTGACAGGATTTGCATGATGTTACCTTGGTGCGAGGGTGATTATCAAACTCATCTCGAGCTTCTATCGCAAGCTGAGAACAATAACTTGAAACTGATTGCGTTCAATACATTCGGATCAACATCTCGTTATTCCAACGTTAATCGACTGATTGAACACGCAGTCCACGCATTCCACCCGGTAGAGCTCACCCTTTTCGACATCGGGAGCGGTCTGGATATAATGCGATCACGCTTTACATTCGATGTTGGTCATACAAAATCCCATAACATGAAGTGGACGAGATCACGCTTGGTCAAATCAATAAAAAGCCATAAAAGCACTGAAGTCGGAAAGGGAGTAGGTGTAGCTGATGTAGAGGGTGATGTTGATTGGCAATTGGAAGTTCACCTCTGCCGTGTTCTGTGCGATGGTGAGCCAAAGGAATGACTGGGACTGGCTGGCTATCATTGGGTCCCTGGATATCAATGGTACCTTCTGAAGGTCCGATGAACATTAATGGGGAGAATGGGGAGAATGGGGAATTGAGCAATAGCTGCCTTTTCAGATTTTGAAGAGTGACAAAATCAAGAAAAGATACCAAATTTTCATTCCAACCATCCATCGAGAAGTCTTGAAACTGATTCTGCTGTAATTCAAATCCTATTGCATAAGAAGATAGCAATATCATTGACAAACAGCTTCAAAATTCTGCTCGCTTTTTCAAATAAGCCTTTTTAAATTTGAAAGTGATGGACACCCAACTCAAGAGAGTGAATTCTTCCATGCAGTCAGTCAATGCCTCCTCGGTCGCTTAATATCCATATAATCCATAAATTGCCTAGACTTCCTCCTCCCTTTCTTCCCAGAAATTAACACCTTCTCCTCCTCGAACCCTCAACAACGACTTCCTCAAACAATTTCCTCTCCGTCATTAGAACTTTAGAGATCCTCAAAGTAACCAAAGCTTGTCTCCATCAATGCACATGCGGTAAGTCCCAACTTCTCGGAGTATCGGTCCTTGTAGCAATGTCTCAAGAGCTTTTGGGACATACTGCTCGCATTGTCTAATGAATCTCGGGAAATTATATTCCCTATTGTCCTGGAGTCCCCCGTGCGTTCTGCCCTCAATGTTCTACAGCTCCTCGAACATTTTACGCTTGATCATTAGCCCAGCAAAAACCTACATCAATTGGAAGTCAGATGGGATTTGCTTGGTTGATACCGATACCGATGCAATAAGATCTCTCGAATGACGCTCCAACTTCCTCGGAGATCTCGCGCATCTCTTTAAGGAGAGGCAGCCTCGTAACATCGCCACTAATTGCGAATCTTGTTGGGGCGAAAGTCTGGTTCAGGTAGCTCTAGACACCCCAGACTGGCGTTGAGGAAGTGTTTCTATTTGCAGCAAACCCGCCGGCTGTCAAGAAACTCGTACTGAAGCAGAAGACGGCGCTTTTTCAGACCACTGAAAGTCATCCACAGCTGTTACTTTCATAATACTCTGGACGCAGAGGGATGGAGGACAATAATGGCGGAGATATTCTATGGGACCCTGCTACTCATATTTGGGAACTTGAAGGGAAAGAAGATTGCTTGCGAAAACATTGGGTTGAGCACAAACAGAAGATAGCTGAGGAGGTAGTCGATTCAGCCTCGGAGAACACCAGCACATCGACTACGGTCTGGCGCCGTCCCAAAATAAAACTCTGCACAGTTCAGTTGAAACTTTTTCCTCGGGCCACTGAAGGAGCTGGCGCAAAGAATTGACACGATATGGTGGAGCATGGCAGGAACTGGGAAATTTCTGGGAAAGAAATGGGGGAATGAATGTCCCAATCTCTCGAAGCATTAATCCCTCTTCTTGCAATGTCTCACAGCTCTTCAGACATTCTACTCCCACTGTCTAGGAGTTCTTGGAACAATCTGCTGCTAATGCCCTACAATCTCAGGAACATTCTGCCCCTGAAAATATCCGAAATACTAGGTGCTAGATATGATTTCTCGAGAGGGGGATGTGCATTACATTGCAATACTTGGGCATGGGAGCCTTTACTGAACTACTAGCAGATATGCATATTACCTTTGATAATTTGAGAATCTTTTCATTGGTGCCACAGTTAGCCTTGACCCCATTCTTCCTGGTAAGTGACAGGATAAAAGTAGCTAAAGACAACGCCCTTTCAAAGACTGCGTTCAACTTTCAATTATTAAGGAGATCTATAGACTCCTTGACAAGGAATAGAAGAACTCGAAGATTCCCGGCCAAGGACAGCAGCTATCACTGACCGAAGAGATATAACCAATAGTAGACCGGAACTCCCAACCGTCTTCTCAGAACACCACAAAACAGAATTTCAACGGTTGGCCGTTAATAGCCCAGCAGCCTTCAACTCTCTAGCCACTGCCCGCTTACCCCATTCTTGTTTCTGGCCCAGGTGAGTCCTAGAACATCTTGTTTAGAACGGACGGCGTTGGAATTCCTGATATTTCCCTAGAAGTCGGAGTCCTTGGAGTAGAGTTGGGCGAAATTTGTGGCGAAGGTGTTGGCGACTTGGCTGGCAAGTTTGTTTGACACATGATGTAAGATGGCGCTTATGGTCTCGTTTGGCTCTTTGAACTACATAAGAGGAGAAAAGGAGAGGAGGAGAGAGAAGACGCGGAGAGATTGATGGTGAGAACAAGCAAGGGATTATTTCATTCTTAGTACCGGTCATTGGAAATCCAGGGTTGAACTTCGAATGAGCCCTTCGACGGTTTGACGCCAAAGCCGGGGGAACACAGGGACCAGGACCCAGCAATCTCAATCCCATTTATCCGAAAACTTCACGGCATGTCCGCATAGATAGTCTTCCCAGGTAGGAACTCCAGTTTCGCTACACTCCATCTGACGTTGGGACGAATCCAACTGGACGCTCCTGCCACGTTAGTGGCTTTGTTTGACTTCGCCTGCTTTGCCAACTTCTTCTCGTACTTCTCAAATCCTCTCATTAAAATTTTCTCCGCGCGTTCAAGATCTCTGGAATCTGCCATTCTGTCCCAATTGATGTCTCCTTTGTTGTTATATTTTCCCTCTCCCCGTATCACAGCGCGAATGATAAATGTCTCGGACATAACCAACAACTTCAGAGCCGCTCGATCTTCTCGGAAGACCTCACTGTTTATCACCCATCGATTGGCACTGAATAGATTGATCTGTTCGAGAGACGTAGGACCTTTGGATATTGCCACCAGAAGATCATCATAACGAAGGGACTCCACGTTGATGGCAATATTTCGGAGACTTCTTTCCTTACACAGATTGATGAAGTCGTTAAAAAAGTTGAATTTCTTGGTATTGAACAGCTGAGGTTCAGTGATGCAGACTCGATCTGCTTTCCAGTTGATGTAAGTTCGAGGTGGGCTGGTGAACGTGAATAGGGGTTGAATGTAATTGACGCCGAAGTCGAGCTTGTAGTATTTCAGACCCTCTGTCCGAGCCTCGTGAGAAGTGTGGAGGATAGCTGGGTGAGCAGAACGGGAAATATAGGCGAAAGGGCAAGCCCATACTTCTTCAAGTAGGTCTTCGTCCCACGTACCCAGTTTCTTGATCGAGATACAAATGTTGCGCCTTTGGAAAGAAGCCTCCCACCAGACCTTGCAACGGAGTTCGGGCGGTAATTTGGAAAAGCAAGCGAAGGCGGCGGATGGTTCTGCGGTGTCCTGGGGACCGTTCGAGGTTGTTGCTTGCTCTCTGCCAAAAGTTGCGGTAGAAGGTTGTCCATCCGGAACAGAAGCAGTTAGAAGAACTTGCTTCGAGGCAGGTTGAATTGAAGAAGGCGGATCGTCCATGGCAGGAACAGCCGCAGAGTCGTTGGACATGACTGTATGCCCACGGTCAGGCGATCTGGTGTTGAGAGAGGGACAAAGGAGGCTTCACGACGATGCGGACGAAGATAGATGACTTGGTGTGTACTGGCCTTTCAAGTGTATAGTTGGTGCTCGAGCAGCTGATCCGAAGAGCGTGGCTGGTACGCAGTTGCTTGCCGTCGCGTTTGGGGGGAGGATTGAATGTGGAAGCGGGTGGCTGGGAGGATGGAGCTTGAAGCTTGAAGACAGGAGTTGCCAAATCGTTGTGCAAATGCGCCGCGAAGATGGTCAAAAGCAGTTGAATTTTCGGTGACGGTTCAGGTATTTCTTTGGAGTGTGACAGAGAAAAAGTTCTCAAAGATGTCGTCCGTTTAGTGCGGCAAGGCGATGTCTGGTTAAGGTTAAGGTTGGGTGACGTTTCGGACCCAAACCTTCTTTCGAGATCAGCTCTCCCTACCCCAACCCACCTCTTCATCAACTCCGCCAATTTGGGACCACAACTCCGTGCGTAGACTGTGTGCAGTTTTGCGATGAGGTAAGACGTCAAAACATGTAAGGCTCAGTGCGCAAAGCTAATATTCATTTCAAAAGTTCGTGCTCCGCCTCTGCAAACTCGCCCATCCTACGCCTCAATTCAGGCAGCCCCACGAATAATTCTCAACGACCGATCACGTATTCACGCCGCCATGCCCCCAACAGAAGAACAAGGACAGGAAGAAGCCGTCAGGGAGTAAAGGAGGAAGGTAAACGGGCAGGTCGAAACCAAGACTCTGCCATTCGCGCAATAACTAGACTGTCGACTTCTCCATTTGCCTCGCGAGACGCGCACAAAATCTACGATCATCTCTTCGACTCGACTCGGGTCATGTTTGAGAAGAGATCTACTGGGCGAATTGGGAGGAGGAACTTGAAACCAGCAGCCCAGTCCCCGGCTCTACCTACTCTACTACGTACTCTGCGTTTGCCGACAGATCCATGAAGAGACAAAACCTCTCTGGCTCGATGAGTTCTGTTCAACTTCGAATGGGTGTACAATCTCCGGGATAAATTCTCGTTGCTGCCTTCATCCACGTTGTCGCAAATTCGTCATGCCCGCGCTCCCGGCCACACGTCGATGTTGTAGTTCGAAGACCAGGATATATATTACCAGCTCCCTGGACACTCGGGTTGATTCCCGGTCTTCGAATAGACGCACTCACGGTTCTTGGCTCGTCACAAGGCCTTGTCCCTCCGATACCCTTGCAGACTTAGCTCAGCATGGTAACGAATGGGAGGAACTCCACTACATAACAATGGATTCAACTATGCTTGGGTTCAAGAACGAGGCTAACTTTGCCTCGGCTGAGGCAAGAATTCGATGGGTACTTGCCCAAGTCGCGGCGAAAGGAGAAAGGGTAAACTTAGTTTCAGCCACTTTGAACTTGACTTCTCAATATCCCATCAGTGTTTAGTTTCTCCTGGCTTTGTTCCATTTAGTTCCAAGATGGTTATCACTCCTCCCCCAGCCTTGACGCCAGAGCTGCCCGGAATCCACGACCTCCCCCTCTGTGATTTCATATTCGACGAAAGATATGGCAGACATCCAATTGCAGCGTCTCGGGACCCCTACATTTGCGGCCTCCCAGGGAAATTATACAGTGTTACCGAACAGAGGGATCGCATGTAGTACTTGGCAAGAGCATTGGCACAGGAGATGGAGTGGGAAGTCAATGCAGGCAGCGAATTTGATAAAGCGATTTGTGTATTTTCTCTTAACACTGTGGCTTCGTTCTTCTCCTCTGCGTACAATGTCGGCAGGTGGGGAAGGAGGTTGATCTCTGGGGCTTAGATCGATATCACGATGGTAAACCGAGCAATCCTGCGACTCAACGGCGTTACCTCGCCAGAAAACGCAGTCTATTCAGCAGAAGAATCAGGTTAGCAGCCCACTAACAGCCGTGCAAAGGCAATCCTTACCGCCGCTCCTCTCCTCCCCATTGCCCTATCCCGCAACTGCAAAAGCTAGTATACCAAGCACCAAAATATTCATCCTACCAATACCCGGCCACGAACAAATTCCCCACGGCTACAAATCACTCTCACAACTCATTGACGAAGGCAAGAGACTGCCTAAATAGAAGTAACTAGGTGGAACAAAGGCCAAGCCGAGCGTCAAGCAGCATTTCTCTGCTACTCAAGCGGCACCTCCGGCCTCCCCAAAGGCATCATCATCTCCCACCGAAACGTAATCGCAAGCATAAGTTTCCAAATCAGGAATCTCTTTGGTATAGCCTAAGCTGCTATGTTATTTGGGCCGCATCCTCGGGGCTTTAGAAGTTGCGGTATAGCAGTCGAGCTCGTCTAAATAATATTGGAATTAAATTGCAAAAGTCCGAATATTCATTTACCCGTCGAATACCAACCACACTTGCATATCGATCACTTTAGCACAGTATCTTTTTAAATGCTTCCCGCTGGTTATATTCCCAGTTAGCTCCACGCTGCTTTATATATAATTTCGTAATAGATTAGAGGGTATTGTGAGGGGACAATACCGAACCATGTTACATGACTTGGGCTTATTAGCTAATAGGTTTTATAAACTTGGAAGTCAAGAAACCTAATAGAATCCAAGAGATGAATTCTAAATCCTTTTATTTTCCTTTTTTTTTTATGAAAAGCTTTCGGCGTTCGGACTTCTTAGAAATCCGAACTTGTAACTCACTCAATAAGCGGCTAGCCTAGCTCAGGGGCTCAAAGGGCTACCGCAGTGCAACGCTACTCAATACTTTGATTGATATCAGTCCATTAACTTCGTTGTTGACACTTAAATTTAATGGTCTCCGTAATAGCAGTATCAGCGTCTACTCGTTTATAAATAGCCAGATACTTGTCTACGCGGCGAATGTGTTGCCATCAGACTCATTGGCATCGACTCACGCCTATTCCCCAAGCCTCCGCAAAACCAGCCCCCACCCCCTCGGAATGACCAATATTCGGTTTGCCTCGGTGAACAAAACGGTATAAGGGGTGGCACCATGAAAACTGACTAAGCAGGCTTTGTCCTATTTGATGATTCGCGGGTTGGGGGGATGACACAGCCACAAAGTGGTGGCACACCTTCGGAGCCTGGAAGGTTGGAAATCCGCGTCAGCCATTTGGCCACCAACAATTTGAGCTGAGTGAGTCTAAAAAGGGAAAGTTTCTAGAAGGGTCTAATGTGTCTCAAACAAGGGGACGCGATACAAATTCGGCAAGCGTGGAGATTGAAACCCTGTGCTGTGACGGCTCGATTGATGGTTCAGCGCAGTGATCTCTTGAAGTTTGATCAAGCGCGTGACAAAACATCTTCTCCTCCCTATTTTTGGGTGTAGCTCCCTCCAACTGATTCCAAATTCCTTGGAGCATCAATAATGAACGAGAAAGTACGTTGTGAAAGTACATCGTGAAGCAAAATCACTTGCTGTGCCTGTCTTCTGACTCTTCGGGTTTTGAGGAGCCCGAGCGGTGTTACCGAGCAAGCCCATTTGCCATGAGCTCCGTTTATCTCCCCAGGTTGGCTGTGCAGCAGCTATTTGCTTCGGTCAATAATTGTTCCACGCACCCACGCTCCGGCTTCCACCGAGGCGGCGATGAGCAGGGGGATGAAAGGCGGCAAAGGTTGCGCCGGCTTCGTCGGTCTTAACCATCACGAAGGGTCGTACGGTCGTACCGCCAGTATCTAGTCATTTCAAATTCGCCTCACCTCAATAAGGGAGGTCTTATTAATCTTCACTTCCCCAGAAAACCCAAATTCATAGTTGTCACACTTCGGAGAATGTCTGCAGTTGCCAGGCTGAAGTCATCAATCTCGCCCATCACTGGCACCGCGAGAGAAAGACGAAGATGGCATCCACCATGACAGTGCAGAACAGAGCAAGCGGCGTTGACTCTCCTTCGCTTTCAAGGTTTTCTTTCGCATCGAGAGGGCGCTCTTACGACAATGGGCCTGCTGTTAAACAAAAAAGTTCCTTGAAAGATCTATTCAGAAAGCGGCAAGGAACATCGCCGTCTCCGCATCGCTCTTTTCAATCCTCTATGTTTACAAGGACGTCGACACCAACGAAATCCCCTTCCTCATCCCCGAACGAAGACAAGAACATTGCACTGTCATCCCAAGATCTAGCGATGGCAAATCAGTTACTCAAGAACGCCCAAAGGATAGCCTCAACTGGCGATCTAAGTCAGAAGGCGCGGAGGTGTCCACAGAAAGCATATCGTACATCACCAAAGCCAGTTCGACGTCAGTCTACATCTCCCCGCTCACGGCAGCTGTGTGAACCCCAAGCTTTCTGGCCAGAAGAGCTTGAAGACACACCCTTATTGTCTCTCCCAGAAGGCCTTGCAGGCAAAATCTGGCAACCCCAGCCGTCGCCCGGATGGCGGATAGAGACAAAACCTCGAGATCTAGAATTATGCATTCCAACAGCATTGCCTGCTTACTCTGCAATCCTACACTCGCCTCTAGCGACAAAACATTCGCGCATGGTGTATGTGGAAGCGGAGAACAGACCTAGGCATGGCGAGGATGCGATTGATTATCTTATGTTGGGCTTCGTGGCGGGAGGGGATCGTGTCTTGAAGATGCCAGGGCACGAGCGATGGAGCATTGGTGTTCAGTGCTTCGATGGAAGGCTCTATTTGAACGGTCATTTCGCCGATACCATCATGACTCGGGGATTCAAGCCTGGCCAACGGATAGGAATAGGGCTGAATTTTACTATCGGTGATCATGGAGGTCGACAGACTCAAGGCAACGTTGGTACGGGTGTTACTTCCTCCTCGATTGTCGTTGAGGTCTTTGTCACAAGTGACGGCGAAACAATCTGGAGTCGGAAAATGTACGAGCTATTGAAACGGCATGAAGGATTGTCGGATCAGGGTTGGGAAGGACTACATGACTTGTACGCTGCAGTCGGCACAATGGGGGAGGCTAACGTCGACGTTTTGTTGGAGAAGAACCACTGGAAGTACGTAGAGCAGGATGAATGAAAACGGGGAACTGAAGGCGCATCGGTGGTGCGAGAAACAGAATTTTCACCTGCCACCTCTGGCCTCTGACAATGTGACGGTGTAAAAGAAGACAAGGGCAGTAATGGGAAGGCCAACCAGTCTATCGGTTTCCTGCTCCACGGCAGCTGCTTGGGCAGGAAAGACACTCGGGCCCTACCTCATTCGCTACACCCTCCAAAACAGTGCAGGGGCTCGAAGTGTCTTCAAGCTAATTGGGGACACATGCCGATATCAACTCCAATCAAGAATGGGTTCTGGGGGTGGGTGTGCTGCAGTCGTCCTCCAAGAGAAGTGATGTGCGTGTTGTGGGGGCTGTGTGCAGCTGGATCATCCCACCCTCACAACGAGGCTGAAGCGCGTTGAACTCCGCTTTCTTCAGAAATCTCTTGGGGTTTCAACGAGATGTATATTCTATAATATGAATGCAATCATGAATTCCCCTCCGAGCCTCCCTACTTTTGAACCATTGGAGTGCCAAATCAAGTCTCACCAACTTGTCGAGCGTCCTTTCACACCATCTTCCCATGACTTGATCATCTTCACTCAGGATGGAAAGCCACGAATCGCAAAGAATGCTTCATCGTCCCAGATAATAAACACCATACAGCGCTCAAATAGCAGCTGTAGTGGAGTGCAATTGGACGCAGACGGTGATGCAGATGCTCTTCTGACCATCGTGTAAGATTTGTATTGAACTGGGATCGATTTATCGGTGGAAAATCGATATATTGGAGATTGACAATCTGTAGAATGACTAGTTTTGACTAGATACAGGAGAGTGATTCCATAAAAAACAGAGGGAATGGGTTCCCTAGCTATATTCCTGATTTCCACCCCACCATGTGATTTACCCCGCACTTACTTGGTGGTGGGAACGATTTACCAATCTGATTCCTGTACGCACGTTTAAGGAACGTAATCGAATGGCGATACTAATAAACGATTGGTGTGTTCGTACGTAAGTAATACCCAATAATTGGACGAACTGAATTAGTGGTTGAACCTGGAGTGGAAGGAAAGGATGCTAGCCAAGCTAGCTAGTTCAACAATTTGCTCGACTGGGCTCATATTGAAATATGCTAATCCACCTTATAGTCTATTCGGAGAAGAGGTCAATATTGAAGGAAGCCCATCTCAATCTCGCGAGGATTGGTCACACTTGTGGCCTTGCTTTGATTGCTGTTGCAATGATGATGACAACACAAACTTCGTAGCAAGGTTTCGCCAAGAGGACTATCACTGTACGACTTCGATTTCCAAGCATAAGAAGACACACGTTTCACGTACGATTGAGTGCAGCAAAATCTCTTACAGCCTCAATCTCCGCGAAAAGCACATACTCCTCGCTCATCATTTCCACAAAGTCGATGGAAAAGACAAGCAAATGATCAGAATGGCAACTTCTGGCGTCCCCTTGTCCAATATCGAAACAGTTCTGTGCAAAGCTTCATTACTGTTGAAGACACCACCTTCAATGTCCAATATCGAGTTGCTCGGCGGTATTGAGCCTCTCGCACGCATTCCACATCCCAAGGTCATCATATGTGCCATGCTGGAGTTTGTCGAGCAAAACTGTGGGAAACAAGTTGGCCGTTATCGAGATTGGATCGCAAAAATCGAGAAAGATGTAAATGCACAGCGAGATCCAAGCAACAGCAAGCTCAGAGGCTTACAATTCGACTACGATCCGTACGTGAAGTTGAGTGAAACAGGAATTGACCTTGGTGAAGTCAAACAAAAGCTTCAATACTTGTTGTCCTCGATTGAATCGCTTCAAGAAATGACAGGCTGTCCAGAGAGCTGCAATATGTTCTCGAAAGATTCACAGGCTCAGCAAAACAATGCAACTGTCTCGGAGGAAGCAAGGATCCGGAATTCACGATGGTGGCATCAACTTGAAGCCGCAAGAGTTCGATTAATCGCGCTTAAAGGCAATTGTCAATATCACAACATCAATGTTGAGAATTTGCGGGAAAGAGTTAAAGGCATTCTAAGCATGGTATGGAAGCCTCTGCATTGGTCCGAATCAGCAAAATCAGAAAACTAATTCATGTTAGGTATCCATTCTGCTTGCAGAGAGGGAAAACGCATGGGGCCGTCAAGCACAGATCCAAAGACAAGAGACATCAAATAATCAACTTAAAATCATTGAATATCAAACCAGCATGTTCGAACAGCAAGAGATCATCGTCGCTCAGACGAAGCGAGATAACACAGTGATGAAAGTAATTGCGGTTTTGAGTGCGCTCTTCTTGCCAGGAACCTTTATCGCTGTAAGTGAAATGTCGACTCTTTCCCGTAAACGTGGCTTTTCTGATGCCAAGTCCAGACTCTCTTCAGCGTTCCCGTCTTCAACTGGGACCAAGAAAATCCTATTGGTCCACATTTTAAGACATATTGGTATTTTACCGCGCCTATTACAACGGTTCTGGTTGTAGGTTTCTCGGCCTGGTTCTTAAAGATGCGGTATGACGACAATCTTGAGGAGAAACGTAGGGTTCACATCACGAAGGAAGAAGAGGCAGGATAGATTCATAGAATTCACACTTTCTCTCCTTGACGGGCAATTCTGAGAAGAGCCAATCCTTTTACGTCAAGGATTCAAGACTGAGAAGACTGAGCTCGGGTTAACAATCGGACGCGCTGCAAGTTGAGCGGCCTTGGCTACTGATTGGGTCTAATTAGCCCTTATATTTGAGGTTCACATGAGATATCTAAAGGCTCGTATTTGACTTTGCTCGGGGTATCGGTGTTCGCTTAGAATCGGAGGGGTTGAATTGCCCCCTCAATTGCTCCCACAAAAATATAGCAGGAGGCGGTCTTACCTATAAAAATCACAACCTCGTCCTCCCTTCTTCAATCTCATAACAATTCCTCACAATCACCAATTTTCACCTCTCTTGAATCGTAATCTCTTCATACGTCTACAGTTATTAATGCTAGCAACTATTAAAGCCTTCAATACCCAGTAACTACTAAAATACACATCGGAGTATTCTCAGAACTACCTACGAAAGCGCGCGGCGTTGAAAACCGTCCATCTGCCAAAATGCGAGGAACACCAAAATCGTTACGTTCAGAAAATTACACCAAATCTCAATGGAACGCCCGAAACTCTTCAAAGGTGCTTTACATAATAGAAAAGAAGCAGATCTAACTTTGGCGAAATTTTTATAATAATAGAATATAATGCGAGCATTAAAATTACGCCGGTCCTCGCTTATCGTGTTGGACGGATTTCAATGCCGCGCGCTTTTGTACTAGCAGTAGTTCTGGGGAAACAATAAGTATTTGAATATTGGATTTTCGGTTCCCCTAGCTATCTTTATTGACCTTCTTAAAGTACGGTATTAATTCCAGCTTTGTTTTAAGTATAAGTATTGTGGTGGGGATTCTGGCTCCATGGTCACGTGGCGCGGTCAGGTGACCTCCGGATGTCCGTACGTCCGGTTCGCATGAATATTACCCCGCTCTCTTAGACATCAACTAACCTTCACTCTCTAATTCCACGTCTCACCGTACGCTGTGATCCCACACTATGGAAGCCTATTATCTCGCGACTTTATATAAGTTTTATACTAAATTTTTTAGTAAGAAATACTAAATTTTAAAGGGCTATAATCTTCTAATTTTTTTATAATATATTATTTCCTCTATTTTATAGTAATTCTAACCCAAAAACTATATACTCAAATTCTAGTTTTAAACTATATAACTACTAATTAACGTATCGTAATTAACACGTATTGAATTAGAATCTTTATAGTTACTTTATAATAAGGGTTTCCAGGACAGGAAAATGGCTTAAATAAGACAACTCGCTTCCCCCGACTAAAGGGAAGGGCCCCTTTAGGCGTGAGGTCATCTCTGATAAAGAAAAAATCAAGCAAGGCATCGGGGAAATTAGTGAGGCTGAGAAAAGCGGTTTGATAAACTAGCGGAGATGACTCTGAGACCTCCGTAATTACAATAATTATTGGCTGTTTGATCTTGGCAAACACTTCTTTATATGGACATCATCTTTGAATATTGAGGATTGAAAGCTAGTAATGATTGGTTGCTAGCAATAAAAAAACGTGCGTAACCGGGCCTTCAGGTGACGCAGCGAAATTTAACGAGGCATATTCCCAGATAGTTTCACGTGCCCGGTATGCGGAAAATGATCGCCGCTTTGGAATTAGGCTGCAAATTCTCAGAGGTCGCCTTGGGTGACAAAAGTGAGGCGGCGATTGCGGTTCCAAACATGCCCAATCGGGGATATCAAGGTACGTTATGTGTTGGCCAGAGCTAAGGTGACTCAGCCTCACTGCTTCCTACTCCGGCGTTCTGCTTCAAATCATGTCATACCTACACGCATTTATCTACTAACTCCCAATCATCTCTCGTAGCAGTTTCTCTCAGCTTTATTAGCAGACGGAGTCGTGCAGCCGAGACTGGCTGAGACACTTGAATTGTAGCTGCCGCCGTAGAGTGTTTGCGACCTAGATGTCCAATTTCCTCAGCAATCTTTTATTTCTAGTCAGTACTCTTAGTCACAATTTTCTTTACAATTTAGGATCTTTAAAGCAATTCATACCAACAGCCATTTCCTGACAAACCTCTATCATGTTCATATCTCCGCTCTCAAGTAACAGTCCTCCATCAAACCTTGTACTTCGAGGAAAAGACACAGCGTCAGATTATTTTATTACGCTTAGTATTACCGAAATATATACTACCTATACTACACTTATCCAGTTAGGAAATGGGCAAATGACCTCAACCCAACAAGCCGCATCGCCTAAATCACAGTCCACAGCTTCTCCTATCGAACCTATTGTCTATAGCGGCAGCAATGGTATCTCGGGGGGAGATATTGCAGCTATAGTAGGATGTATTCTTGGGGTTCTTTTAGTACTTGCCGTGTTTTGCATTGGTCGGAGGGGAAAGCGGGGACCGCGGGGACCACGGGGACTGCCAGGAGAACCAGGAGAGGCTGGAATACCTGGCCCTGATGGAGTAGCTGGCCCTGACGGAGCAGCTGGCCCTGATGGAATACCTGGCCCTGATGGAGCAGCTGGCTCTGACGGAATACCTGGCCCTGACGGAATACCTGGCCCTGACGGAATACCTGGCCCTGACGGAATACCTGGCCCTGATGGAGCGGCTGGCCAGCCTGGTCGAGATGGGGCTGCTGGCCAACCTGGCCGAGATGGAGCGGCTGGCCAACCTGGTCGAGATGGAGCGGCTGGCCAGCCTGGCCAAGATGGGGCTGCTGGCCAACCTGGTCGAGATGGAGCGGTTGGCCAAGATGGTGCACCAGGAGAACCAGGTGTGCGGGGCGAACCAGGAGAGCGAGGAGAGCAAGGAGAGCAAGGAGAGCAGGGAGAGCAAGGAGAGCAAGGAGCGCCTGGCCGAGGCGGAGCGGTAGAGGCTGGAGCAGCAGGACACAGAGTGGTAATAATCTCTGGTTAAATTCTTCATCCCAGCGTGTCGCGCTTATCTTCTCTTGATGAATAATGTTCATTATAGTAGTTGTGCATCCTCCACCAAGTTGTACTCAAGCCACACAACATCTGCATTTAAAGTAATATACAGGTTGCTAGTTGTCATTGGTGATCCATTTCTAATTGTTAATTCTGATCCACTTTCCATCAACCCCACATCCACAGCACCCAACCCCATAATATTCCAAACTCGGAGAGCTTCGTTGCCACTAAACCACTCGATGCTGACACAAAGATCATTAGCAGTAAAGCGTAATTCATAGTCTGTACTAAGCTCTCGCCGAATTTTGACGCCTTGGATAAGTTCTTCAGAGGTAGGTTTGAACCAACCCGACGTCCGCTTTCTCAATCCTCTAATATCACTTATTACGGAACTAATGGTTGGCTTCTCTATATTAGCTCCTCTCAGCTAGGAGGGCTGCCAATCTCTTCTGCCACATTATCTAAATTAGATTGATATTATGCGGATCCAGTTTTAGGCAGTAATTCGCCATTCTTGGGCATCGACCAATCCGACGTTGTCCAGGATGGATATTGGATAAATATGCTCTCATTGGGTTGAAAATGGCTCAGTCTGCGTTTGGATAGAAGCATACCACTGACGCGGTGCTCGATAGCAGTATCAAAACTTCGAATGGTCGTTATGTAAAGTTGCAGTCATGTGCTCGAGAGCGATAGGCCTCTGATAACCGGCAGTCTCCACTATTCATACAACCTCCCATGCGTTCGCGCGAGGTAGAACTTTCCGTGAAGCATAATGAAGAGGCCAAATAAGAAACAGGCGCTCTTGCTGGAGCATATAACCCTTGCGCGAATTTTCACTCGGCGCATCTCGTAGTGGTAGATGATCTGGATCTCCGCGTGGATCTCACTTGAGCCCAAGACTCGCGGCACGAGTTGTTTGAACTCATATTGTACTGACGCTGGCGATACACTAACCTTTCGTTCGAGACGCGCATAATCGATTAATATTATGGGTACTGTACCAGAACCATTAATCTGTTACAACGTGGCTGTTAAGCCCGGTACGTAATCGGGCACTTTTAAAAATTTGGTTGCAGATGCTGGCAGTGAGATGGCCTCTATATCTATCTTTTGGAAAATCACTAGCTTCCGCACTGCCATAAATAAAAACTCGCAAGGTGACTTTTACCGCCCAATCTTCTGAATGCCGATAAACAGGCTCTCTCGTTCGCTCGAACCAAGCTGCTTGTTTGACAAGACGTCAATAAGATTGCTGAGCGAAAGCTTTATTGCAAGCGCATGAGCGCAATTAACTAGAATTGCGAGTAAAAGGTGACTTGTGCTAATCTCTAATCCCTTCTCCTTAAGCTTCTGGAAGGTGGTTTGAAATATTCCGGCTTCAGCCTCTATTGCAATGAGGTCGATACCCGACGATGCAAGCACAGCAGTGTAATCCATGCTCCAATGAACTGCTTCCTCTAGCCTCGCACTTATTGCAAGTTTGTTTCGATTTCGAAAGGATTTCTGAGCGTGCTAGGATCGAAGTCATTATAGGAGTCTGCCACCATTCAAAGAGTATATTTCCACGAACAAATATCTTATAGACGCCGCGCTGTCTTCCGATTTGAGCGGAGTTAGGACATGTTCTTTGGATAATCAATTAATGCTTGCCTTTTAATGAAGCCTTCTCCAAGATACTCGAGATTCTCTGAAACCCTTCTTCCACGATACTGAGACTGCCCTTACTGACTGCTGTCCTAACTATACACCCGCGTGCATTTGCATGCTCCTCGATGCAAATAGCTGTGACCTTCCCTGGATTATCCGAGGCAGTAGATAGAAAGGCCAAATTATCGACAATGTCACTCTCCCGCTCGAAAGTAAGTGTTCTCCCTTTCTGACCATTGCACGATCACCGACGGTCGAGTTGTGCTCTGGTGTTTCGGGGATACGATTTATCAAGGAGAGAAGAGCAATGTTCTCCGCAATAGCTAGATACTGTGAGACATCCATTGTGATAATATTGTTTATAATAGGCCATAGCGAGGCAGGTGTGGTGAGGTAAAGAGACTCGAGGGAGTGCCGGATTGAGATGACGCGGATGTGATGGTTTATAACATAGCTACGATATTCGTTCGTCGCGGATTATCGTCGATTCCAAGATTAACTGTGCGAGATCACAGTCAGTAAAAGAACAAGATCACACATTTGCAGAAGAGATAGACAGACGGCTGAGAGCACTGAGGCAGCAGGTCAAACCCTTGGCTAGATAATCCGAGGAGCAGCACCGGCGCTGTAATCAAGGGGTGAGGGGGACATGTGACCAAGAGATAGGTTTTTTTGGCCTTTGTAGTGCGATTGCTCAGTACCGGCGAGGTCCCGAGTCAACCTGAGGGTCAGTACCAAGCGTAGTGATGTGACGGGAGGATTGGTTGACCACCCGGCTGCCCCTATTCAGAATCAACCGCCTGAGGCCAATATTCTGTGGAGCCCGGCTTTCCGTACGAAGTAGAACTACTCCGTACTGTAACAGCCACCGTGCCACAATAAAGCGGGGGTGGCTGCGCAAAGCGACGATTTAGTTCTAGTACTTCTCGCTTAAATTCGGGCTTGACAGGCAGTTTCGCACATGGCTACACTTCAACTTTCGCTCGTTCCACTGGGTGGGGGCAGTGCCTCGCAAGGCTCTGCGCAAGGCTCTGCTTTGTTGGCATTGTGGCTGCACATATCTTCACAATGTATGCTGGCATGTGTGGGCGGTGTGCTGGCATCGATTTTTACCTGTAGCTAGGTAGGGAGGCTTTCTTAATACGATGCCTTCCGACTACGCAACCCGAATAATATGATTTTCCCTCCTTCTCCAACGGACGCCCGCTCAATTGCTCACTGGCAGTAGGATATATTACTACGTCAACTTCACCCGCCTCTGCACACCCGCCCTAGCCCGCTGACGATTATCTTGCTCGCCTTCGACTTCCCAAACGCTATTTCCCACTTGACTTCAACGCGCTCCATCATTCAAGGCCCGCGCGAGGCTACATGTAATCAGTGCTTTGCCGAAGGAAGCAGACAGCTATGGCGGATCCCCTGTCCATCGCGGCCAGCATCGCTGGCCTTCTCTCCTTGGCTGATGTGGTATTCGACCGACTCATAAAATAATTCCAAGTCCGCCAAGAATGCAAACGAGGAGATTCGGGGCCTGGCCAACGAAGTGAATCTACTCATCGGAGCCTTGAGCAGCCTGGAACGTCTCGCCAAGGGATTCAGGGACGAGCCGTTCGACAGAGCGTTTCGCATGGACCACATTGATGCTTGTCAGACACTACTTCAGTCGCTGAGGGAGAAGGTGCCCAAGCCAGACGCCAATGACTTGAAGAATAGGCTCACCTGGCCTTTCAAGTCGTCGTTTGTCAAAGAGAAGCTCGAAGAACTCACCCGTCACAAACAGCACATAACTCTGGCGCTGACCGCCGACTCGATGAACGCCCTTCTCCGCGTCATATCGGCGCAGAAGGATTCGCAAGATACAGCATCCGAGACCCTTGGCCACGCAAGGCAAACCCACGAGATTGTGTGCCGGATTCATCACGACGCAGAAAAGCGCAAAGTCTTGGAGTCCTTCCTTCAATGTAACCCTCAGTCCAACTACGAGATGAGTCTAGGCCTTCGCCATCCACGGACGGGGCTGTGGTTGTTGCGCATGCTGGACTTCCAGACATGGGTGTCGACGCCGGGCTCCAAGATTTGGTTCAGCGGCATACCCGGTGCTGGAAAGACGGTTCTTGCAGGCTCCATTATCGAAGCAGCTCTTGAACAGAGCACCGAGAAGATTGCCACAGCGTTTTTCTTCTGCGACTACAAGGATGCAAAGACACACGATCTCGTCAACATCCTCGGCGCCCTCGCTTACCAGTTGGCGATTCAGAAAGACGAGGCCTACGACATCCTGGAGGGATACTATGAGAAATTGCATCCTGCCCGAGGCCTACCCAGAAACCCTACAGCGTCCCAGCTAGCAGATTTGTTGGGAAAGATGGCTGCATTTTTCGGCCATGTCCTCGTTGTCGTGGACGCACTAGATGAATGCGGGAACTCGACAGTCGAGGTGGTGAGGTGCCTGGTTGAGATATCAGAGAAGATCAACCACATGTCGCTCGCTCTTCTAAGTCGCGACGAGCTTCACATCAGGTGTAGGCTTGACGGCTACTTCAAAAGCGTCGAAATCGCGGCTAAAAAGGACGATATAATCCTCTATGTGACATGCGAGATCGAAGAACGTATTCGTGGTAGGAGGCTCCATATCGAAGATGCCGAGCTGAAGGAGGAGATACTGGAGGGGCTAATCGATGGGGCGAAGGGGATGTGAGTTTATACCTTGCATTTGATCTCCGGAGCCTTCAGGTTTGAGGCAATTCTAATCTTCCCTAGGTTTCGATGGGTTTCGTGCCAACTGGATCCTTCGGATCTTGCAACGTGTTAAAGGCAGCCAGACGACTCTTGTCCAGATGGCGCTACACTTCGTGGCGTATGCCCAACCAGCGCCCACCATCGACCAGCTGCGCGAGCTGCTTTCAGTGCCTACATGTGGTAACTCCCTAGGACCTCAAAATTTGATCCACGAAGATACCATTGCCAAGCCGTGTAGTAGTCTTGTCCGGAAGTTGAATGACGGACAATACTACGAGTTTGCACACTTCTCCGTGCAGGAATTCCTAGAGGGTGATTGGCTCGACGACAAACACCAGAGCTTATTCAAAATCACCAAGGCACACTGCAACCAACTTCTGGCTTCCACTTGCTTAAGCTATATCCAGCTAGATAACTTCAGCCCCTTCCTGAAACTTGAATGCGCAGAGGACTGGGTTGAGTACGTTGAGAAGCAGAAAGAGGGGCACACCCTCTACAAGTACGCAAGCTTGAATTGGCCAAAGTTCGCAAGAGGCCAATGGCACGTCAAGGAGATCGTCATCTTGGCCAAGCGCCTCTTCGATCCTCGAAAGCCTGCAGTCTTCATTTGCTGGGCTATAGTGTTCTCAAATTGGATCTTTGGTTTCGATGACAACGACTACTACTGGACAGATGAAGACTGGCAAGCACTCGACGAAATTACCAGCAAGAATGTTACACCTCTATATTTTGCAGCAATGTTATCTCTTCCAGAGATATGCAAATTTTTGATTAACCACACAGCCGACGTAGACATTCGGAGTGGACTCGGCAGCCCCATACAGTGTGCCATTGGCGGCTTGTGGATCTTCCGGTGCAGTAGGTTTAGCCGCTCAATTGGGCCCAATCTGGAGGAGTGGTATATTGCGGATTATAATAGGGAGCCTTTTCACCAAGCTACAGTTGAAACCATCGACCTCCTCGTGGCGGCTGGGGTGGACCCTTCAATCATCAGTTTGGGCGACGTTGGTAGAACCTATTCGCTAGTTCAAATGGCAATGAGATTTCCTGTCGGATGTTTACCTATCCTCACTGCTCTCGTATAATCCGGTATGCCCATGGCAGAGTCTGAACTAGACATCCTGCCTGATAATCTGGGTGTGCAGTTATCAAAGTTTCCGGAATGGCACTCCCAGTTTGGTGAGCACTGCCAACATCTTCTGCGAGAGCTCAGTGGAGCGATGGGCACATCAGCCTTCGTGCTCAAGCTCTGCTCGCTGGTGTGGGGATTTTCGATCTCAGCGGGCTTTCAATTTGCAAAAGACCCTTATTCGGTTGATACGCAAATTTCTCTAACAGATGCTGATCTCTCGAGGTGCGCAATCAACTGCGTCAAGCACGGGACCGCCGAGACCCTCGGGAGATTACTTTCTGACGCCAGATTTCGACCAGCAGATATTGATGCTGAATATGGCGAATCATTACTGCACCTCGTCGTTAGATTGTGGTATGGAAAGCCAAGATTTATCAAGGGCACTCAGAACAACAGATCGACTTGGTTATACTCCGTTGGTGCTTGCCATCGAATTAGAGCACGTGGAACTAGCACTGTTACTCCTAACAAACTGCCAGAACGACGCACCCACTTGGGAAAGTCCGACAACGCATGTACTCCGCCTTGCAGCTCGAGCAGGGTCTCTGCCCTTATTTCAAGGTCTTCTCGATGCCGGGGTAGATGCTGATGCTGGAGATCCAGGCTTGTTTTCGCCACTGCATTGCCTCGGATCAGGGGCGACTCTTGAATTCATCGACTATCTTAAATCCCAGTACAAGGACGCCTGCGCGCAGCGCCTTCATGGCAGGCTGCCTTTGGAGAATTTCTTGCAGGCCTGGCTGTGTCAGGAGCATATTCCAGCTGGGGAACTGGATCCCAGACTGATTGATGCCTTGACTAGCCCGAGCGACACGCTCTCCTAGATTATGTCGGAAGGAACAGCGATCTGGCAATACGTAACGAAAGACCTCTTGCCAAAGGCACGACAATTAAAATTTTACGGGACATCTAGAAGACGCAGGGTTTGGAACATGGCGGTAGACTGTTTAGTTAGACTGGGGATCTTGACGGCATATGAGCGTGAACGCCAAGAATCCGGCCTTGTCGCCCTCGAGGCCGTTTTTAGTATAGGCTATAACAGCATGGAGCACTTATATCCACTAGAAAGCCGAACTATTGGCAAAGTCATCGAATCCACGGGATATTGGCGCAAAGTCTGCGATTCCGAGTTACCCACAAGGCTCCTCCGGGCTGCCGTCAGTTCTCAAGACATCTCCTTCGCCAACCTTCTTCTCGAAAGGGGCGCCAGTGTCCACACTCAAGTTTATGGCCTGTCCGTACTGGAGGTGGCGTGTAGATGGGAATTTTGTGAACATAATGAACCAAGTGAGGCTGCCCGAACACTTTTCCGATTGCTGCTAGACAAGGCCGGCCCCTCTCGGATCAACGAAATCAATCCGGGAGGGGCAGGTCTGGGCCTCATTCATCTTGCCCAACAATAATGGAAGATCGACGAGCTCATAACACGAGGGGCCAACATTAATCTCCGTAATGGAGCTCAGGAGTGTCAGCCAGCTCTCATACCACCTGCGGAGACGCTACGATTCAATAGCACTAGCTCTATTGAAGAGAGGAGCTGATCCCACTCTCACTGATAAATTCGGAGACAATGCTGTTTATGTAGCAGTGAGATGGAGCAGCAGCCCGGTATTTCTCGAAGAGCTTCTAGCCTTCGAGAATCCTCCGTGGCAAATCAATTGGCATCACACCAGCAGTCTCTCCATTATTCAAAAGTGTAAATTCAAGGGGTCGCCAATGGTATACTATGGACTTAACCTATTGCATATTGCTGCAGCCCGCCAAAATCTTTCAGGCCTCATATTTCTCACGAACAAGACTCCTCTATCGAATGTCAACTCCAGAACTGAGGATTTTCTCACTCCGATGCATTTTGCAGCCATGATTGGACATGCCGAGATGGTTGACTTTCTTCTCTCCAAGGGAGCAAGAATTAATGCACAAGACGTCCACGGCGCCACACCACTTCACATGGCTATCAGCAATTCCCATCTGGCGGTCGTCAAACTTCTAGTCCAGTCCGGGGCGCAATTTACCGAGGACAGGGATGGATCGAGCCCCCTTACATATGCGCATCGAGTTGGGGAAGCTCCTATGATCGAATTCCTTCGGCTGGTGCATCGACAGCAGGCAAGTCAGCTGGAGGACAATACTCTTGTGAAAGTTGAGACTAGAGCATTGCCAGCTCTGACTAGCCGATACCACAAAACGCTTGCAGCAGCATTCGAAACCGCCATTCTTACAGGCGAATTGGACTCTCTCCGCGAGCTAAACAGGCAGGGGTGTTTCCTCGAAACCGATATGCCCTCCTGCAATGGCTGTTCTCCCCTGCTCTGTGCTATCTTACGCGCAGAGCTCGGGATAACTCAGTGGCTGCTGGAAATTGGAGCCTCCCCCCTTAGGGTTTCTTGCAAGGCCCATGGTAATCTCTCTACTTTGGAAGCGGCCCTGAAAAAGAAATTCCCGAATCCAGTTCTCCGCTCTCTATTGGACAGGTGGCTTGATGCCGGCGGTAACGTGGTTGACGAGTTTCCTAATGCGGTCTATTCGGCTGTGAGGGCTGGAAACTCAGAGGGTTTGTCTTCGTTACTGGGCCACGTGAAGCAGAATTCCAGAATCTATGGGTGAGTCTTTATCGATCCCAGATCAAAGCAGGCCTAACTTACTTTTATTTAGAGAGAACTTGGGCAAGGATCCAGACAGTTTGCTCTCCTTGTGTGTGAATGGAGCAGCCAAGTTCTCTGCTGGGATGAACACACCTCTGCATAAGGCCGTTTTGCGTGGCAACCTCCAAGCCGTCGAACTCCTGGTCAGCAGTGGGGCTGGCCTGCTCGCGTTGAACGAGCGCTTCGACACTCCTTTGTGTTGCACTGCGGAACTTAAAGGAGACGTATCCTCAAGAATAGCTGAATTACTGATAAAAAATGGCGCCGCCGTTGATTCACCAGGTCTTTCAACCCCACTGGTTTCGGCAATCAACTGGGGTAAGTTCGAACTGGCTCAAACTCTCATTAAGGCTAGTACCTCTTTGAAAATGTCAGCTTACTGGGGCCTGAACCCTCTACACGTTGCTAGCTTCCGGTGGGGAAGAGAAGGCCCAAATCTGGCACTATTCTCTGATCTTCTAAGGCGAGGCTTTGACCCTTATTACCGAGCCACGGGGATGGGCCTAGCGACGTCAGCGATCCATAGCGCAATGTGCCGCAAACCTTTCACCGCTCTCCTCCTAAACAGTGACCTAAGAGTAGGGGATAGCGGGCCTTTCCCGTCAACCGAATTGAATATGCGCGGTTACGCATGGCTCACCGATATCTTTCGGCTATATCGCCGGAAGGTAGAGCCTGGACAACTCCGAACTTTGATGAACATGGAACACAGAGGCGGGTGGACACTTCTCTGCAGAACGGCAAGCATCGGGCTTCTTGCTGAAATGAGGACTCTGATTTCCATGGGCGCTAACTTAGACTACGAAGGGTGTCCGTTGGGATCTGCTTTAATTGCTGCCTGCGAAGCCGGCCGCCTGGGATCGGTTAGGTTGTTGGTTCGGAGCGGCGCTGCCATCTCTTACCCCACGAACCAGGGAACGCGGTCCGCGGTCACGGCTGCCAATGGGTCAAAGGCAATACTCAACTGGTTGTTAGTGTTAAGGTTTACTGAGCAGGGGAAACTCGAAAACCCGGCCGAATCGGGAGGGACGCCGTTGCCGTGGGGCGGTGTCGTGAAGGCTGAGCTTATTCTTAGCGGGCGTCGCGAGAGACGCTCTGATGAGTCGTCTCTTGACTACTGGTGCCGTCTCCTACGTATTCGGACAGAGCTGCGGGGAACGGTCATTTTCCCGGGGAGAGGTCATACCTCCCGTCCTTCAAGGCTACAGCCTGAAGAACGTGTACATGTTTCTTTAAACGACACTCGTATTCCTTCAATTAGCTGATATAACTAAATAGACTTCAATCTTCCAAACGCCGCGCGGCCTTCCAGATTTCAGTGCCTTTGATCCATTCTCTTCAAGCTCCACCCTACAGCTTTGCTGCAACCACCCCACCACCCAGACGCTCAGTAACTTCCCTAGCTCCTCTAACCCCAGACCTCACAGCTCCCTCCATATACCCCGCCCAAACATCACTCGTCTCCGTCCCCACGAAATGCAAATTGCCCACCTTCTCAGTTAACGCCTTCCCAGCCTCTGTCAACAATCCCGGCCCGGTGACAGGAGACGGAGCGCCTTTGCTCCATTCCTCCTTAGTCCACTCCTGCTCAAACACTTCAACTGGCTTGAACACCTCTTCTTCATTCCCATAAATCTTGGCAACTTGTTGCATGACCTGGGCACGGCGTTCGTGAGCAGGAAGAAGAGACCACGCCAGTCCCGGATCTCCGCCGAGGAAGCAGGTGAGAGAAAACTGGCCGTCGGCTGCGACGCTCGTGTCACGGACAACGCCAACGGGTGTTTGGTAGGAGAGTGCAAGGCCACACTTTTGGGTCTTAGTCCACCAGGGAGAAGAGTAGCAGAGGATGAGCTTGGAGTAGTAACCGAGTTTTGTGTTGGATGCGAAGGTCAGTTTTTTGCCGGTGAGTGATGGAGAGAAGGTAAGGTCTCTATAGAGAGGTGTGGGGATGCTGAGGATAAGCTTCTTGGCGGTGAACATCCGGGAAGTTGTTGTGGTTGCTGTTACTGATGAGCCCTTATCACAGATGGAGAAAACTGGGGTTGAGAGGTGGATAGTTCCTGGTTTGAGAAGGGAGGCGAGGCCAAGCGAAAGGGATTGTGTCCCTATGCGGTGTTAGTTTAGTCCATTTCGTATTTGTTGGAGAGTGTACCTTTTCTGAATCTCAAATACTGCCCACCACCTTTCCCGTCCGAGCGAAGAGTTTTCAATCCTCCGCCCTTTCCAGTGTACTCGATAAAAAACTGTGCACTCAGTTCTGTCGACTCAACACCCAGCATGACACGACTCCATATCTTGACCATATCAACAGTTTTCTTCATTCCATCTTTGGCGATGACGAATTGCTCCAAACTCATGTGATCATAATTTTCGTCACTTTTCCCTTTAGCATGATATATTACAGAGAGGTCGTGAATGATGTCCCGGATGCGTTCGAGGTCCTCGACTTCTGCATTGGTGAACTGTTTCTCTTCAGTCATTTCCTTCCGCTTCCTTTGTTATGGGCAAGGAAACTCACCTTGGGAGAGGCCTCATACGGGAACACATGAGTAGCACCATCCTGATCTTGGAATATACAATCGCCCTCGATGTTTTGCTGAACAATCTCAAGTCCAAACTTCTTCACCAAGGCAGTTATATGCGTCTGATTCGTGTCGTTGGTCCACGCCGCTCCAATATCGACGCATCCTTTCCCACTTGCCAGCGGCACGCTCCATGTCTTCCCTCCGACTCTGTTGCGGGCTTCGAGGATAACACAAGAGAAGCCTGCTTTTTGGATGTTGTAAGCTGCTTGAAGACCGCTCAACCCGGCGCCGACGACGATCACGTCATGGATCTGCTCTGGCATCGCTACTATTATAGATAATGAGGACGCGATCAAAATCTATATGCGGCCAGCAAAAATCAAGAATATAGATGGGAAAGAGGATAGATATGATAATCAGAAAAATAGCCTCCCACAGTTTTATACTTTTATCCAATCTCACCCCACTTTCGACACATCCTTGAGCCTTGCAGGGATCAGAATCAGGGTTTACTCAACAATGTCTCATATCAGACTCTGAAAGCCAGGCTCCTATTCACGGGGCTTTATTCAAGTCCGGAAAGTTCAACCGTGCGATGGATGTTGGAGGAGTGGGAGGTGGGGAGAAGTGGTCGGGTTCTCTTGCTAAATTTGCATGGAAGCGGGGCGGGGTTGGGCTAAGCGAGAGCTAAGCGAGCCAAGGTAAGGGGGGTTAGGGCGTATTCTTTGACCCACTGTTCGCGACGATTCGGCGAAAAACTGATGTTTTCTTCTTGCTTATGATATCATTCAGGGAGATTTCATTTCCACTCTATTAACTATCAGTTCCCTAAAGTATCGTGTGTTGATCACCGAGCCCAAGCCTATCTAGGCCCCTATTTCGATCCCGGTTGTACGCTCTATAGGTCTTATGTTGCTTCTTGATGAGCCCGACCTTTTCATGTTACTTTCGTAGCACCATAAGAGTCGGAAACCACCTACGTGCATTCATATCACGGAATTGCAGCATTTCTCTTCCCGCAAGTCTGCGGAACCCAGCATCAAAGGTCATTCATCATCCCAATATCAGTCAGCGTTTGGGTGCATGCTTGGCACTCTGTCTTCAAAGGGTAGGGCATGCCGTACCAATCGGGAATCGGGGTAAGCTGATCGCGTGAAAAGCAGTCTATATAAAACCATGCTTTGGGACAACGAACCGTTTGTCCATCAACCTCCCCAGGTTGTTTGGTAGATATCAGCAAGGTAGCCTTCCGCGTTGATGACGAAGACACGGATGGGGAGGTAGCCGGTCGAAATTTCTCCTTATGTGACAGAAATAGGGGTACTGCTATGTGCAGGAGGATGCCTCTCCTGCTATCGGAGAGGAGCCAGGATTCGACCCCGAGGTGGAAGTTTTGGAGCGGAGACATATGATGGAAGAAGATCTAAAGGAGTGAGGCTGAGGAAGTTCCGCGGTCTGCAGAGTATATGTCGGGAATTGTGGCTGCTGAGAGGGCGGTGTTATGCATTGGAGGGGAAGCATTGCCCAGATGGGCGGGACTTGTGGGCGAAGATGGGTTAGATGTAGGGGAGCTAAACACACATTTAAATGACCATATTAAAACAAATCAGATATGTGAAGTTTTACCTGGGAATTGCTGTTGCAAATTGGAGAAAGCCACCTCAGTCATTTTCTTGGCGGAATTCTTGCTCAGTTCAATCCCGAGGGAAACAGCGAGTACAACGGCTGGAGGCCTTTCTCTTGAGTCTCGGGAACAGTCGTGATTCTTTTGATGGCCAGTTTGCTATTGGCGGATGCACGACCCGGCCAGAGCGCCACTCGAGACGCCTCCAACGAAGGCGATTTAAACCTCTCAAGTCGGAATATGTGAAATCAGGCAGTACCTTGGATTAAATGTCTTCATCTAAGCCATCTGGTGATTTCTCTGCTTGAGGTTCTCTTGATCGATACAAATGGCATCGTCCAAAAGTAGCTCACAGCTGTCTTGCTCTCGCATGTGCCGAGTGAATTGCCAGAGGTTATTCCGTACTTTGGATGCTTTGCCCATCGAGGAGATTTTCCTTTGTGTTTGTCGAGCCGGCCCAATGTGTAGGAAAGCGTTGTATATGTTGTGGAATCATGAAGCGTGTGATTTTGGAATCGGCAGGCTATCACCGCGGTCTGGTCGCCTGGCAAAACGTCAATCAGACGGATTGCCTTAGTTTTTAGATCGAACTGTAGGGTTGAGTATATAAGGTGAGAAGTCTTATTGGTGGCCGTTATATCTGAGGTAGATAGAGCATTTGAAGCGAAGAACAAGATGGAAAGAAAGAAGTTTGTGTGTCTGGCTTCAAAAGGTGTCTGGGTGAACGCAAAGATTGCAGCCTTGGTTATGGTCGCAGAGAGCGAGCAATAAACACACCAGTCAGCCTCGACAACAATTTATGGACAGGATATTGCTCGGGGTTGCACGAGTAGAGCGAAGTGGGTGGGGATATAAGATATATTCTATATCTTGCTGAAAATTCACCAAAATAGCTTTGCAACTTACACCTGGCCAGTTACTCAACCCATCACCACAATCCCGGATTTCGTCCTTCAACCACAAATCCCAAAGGCAGGCTGACATCCTGTCGAACAATACGCGGCGCCATTCCCGCAGTATCCATACTGCGAACAACAATAACCCGCCGAGCAAGACACTCCATACGGTGCTCCGCATGCTCCGGCTGGGGGAGAAGGGCCCGGTGATGCAGACAATGAAGTGGATTTCGAGATTGTTTCCGTCGTAAAAGTGCTCGAGGAGGATTTGGAGGTGGTCTTGTTTCCGGGGGGCTTGGTGGATTTGCTGGCTTGTGATGATGTTGATTTTGTCGTTGTGGCTTTTGAGCTGCTCTTGGCGGTCGAGGTAGTGGATTTCGAGGACGAGGTCTTTGCAGAAAATACGGAAGTTTTTGTTGCGCTCTTGGCTGAGGAGGTGGTTGAGGTCGCAGGTGGGCACAGTCGTGGAGGCTTTGAGTCGTATCCCGTCAGAATACTCTTCACTGCTGAGTAGTATGGTCCTGCTGCGTTAGTGTCCGCAGTGGTTGCTTCCCAGATCATCACCCCACCAAATCTCCCATCGCAGTAGCACACATCGACCAGACTGGAGAGTTCGTTTAGACTGAGGTAGTAGTTGCTGGCATCGGGAGCTCCAAGCACCCCAATATAAAGCTTTGCCGCCTTACTTGCAGTTCCGTCAAGAAAGGTCGTCCAACTGTGGTACCCAAATCCACTCGTGACCTCAGGTTTCCCGTCAACATGGTTGGGATTCGCCGTGATCCAGCTGCGTGCTGAACATTGGGGTGTGTTATAGAATTGAACCCAAATGATATCAAACGCCACGGCTTTCATCAAAGCGCCCATGTTCGCATCAGGTGCAATGCATTGGGGAGCACCTGTAAGCAGATACGGCTTGCTTGCTCTTTTGAATAGAGTGCGAAGTCTTGATGCCATGGCAATGTAGCCAGCCTGAGTATCCAAATAGAGTTAGCGGGGCGACTATATTGGCTTGGAAAGAGACGAACCAGTTGAGGGCATCTCAATATCGAAATCAAAGCCATCGACTTCAACTTCTTGGCCGTTGGGTCCATCGAAGGGTCGTGGTTGACCACTTGCTGGCCATGATGGAGTTTGCGGCCCGAAAGCTCCCCAAAGAAAATCTGCAAAGGCAACCCCGTCAGAGGCGCCTGTAAGTTGGTATGTTTGAGATGCACCTCCTAAAGACAGAACAATCTTCTTCGAGTAGGTGCCTTGGCAAATCGGAATATCTGCGACCAAATTCGGGCACTCAGACTGGAGCTGGTTCAAGGTTGGATTGTTGCCCGGTCCGGGATAGACATACGGAGGGCCCCAGCATTGATTTCCGAAGTTTGTTCCCGGAAACCCATTTCCTTGGGCAGGAAAGATATTCACAAACGCAATTGGTATAACGTCGACTGTGGATTTTGCGCAGAAATAAGAAAGGCGCTGCTGGCCCGCTCCCTGGCCCTGTTGGGAATATGAGATGAGAATTAGCTCATTGAGTGGACAGACGTACCCAGTATAGAGCAATATTAGACTTTGAACTCGGATTGTATAATGCTTGACACGAATGGATGAAAATGAAGACAGTAATGATCGAAGAAAAGAATGTGAAGAGCTGCATGGTCGCAGCTAGATGGAATATTTACAGTTGAACAAACGAGTGGAAAGGTGCAAAGACCATGATGTATGCAACGGAAACTTAAACGTTGAGGCAATGAGCTGAGGAGCTACTTCAAAATGGGAATGTTTTGTGTTTCATCCATCGCGAATGTCTTGCGGAGGGCGGGGTTCTTTTTTTCTTTCCTCGAAGGGGAAATTACAAGTCAGCCACCGAGAACGCCACCTCCTGATTAGGAATGTTCCGTCTCTCTGTGGTTCCCCTTTTGTAAATATGAAGAGAAATTTGCCATTTGCAGCGAAGCATGATCGCGAGAAAAGAGAAGGCTACTGTACTAAGTCCCGACGCGTCGTCAAGGCACAACAGTCCCGGAATTCGGAGGACGATTACCACATCGAGACATCCGGCACTGGTGTTCATGTCCACCAGTCTCCATTCACAGATCGGGCCCAGGCCAGTCCGAAGATCGGGTCGACCGGGACTCGATAGTTGAGCGCGTTTTGACTCAGGGCGACGGGCGTCGTCGCGTCCATTCTCAACGCATATCCCGGAACTCACTGCGTCTCAGGACTAGAGGCTACTCTTGATAGACCGACATGGCGAAGAGTGCGCATGTGCTGATTGCAAAGTTGGAATCTGGTGGTGGGTTGTGTAGATGTCACTGGGAGTCGACGTTGTTCTTGATTCGTGAGGTTCAGACAAAAACGAAGAAAGATGAGTTCAGCCTCGTGCACGTGCCATCCCAGCCTCGTGCGATCATGCCTCGAACAGGTCACAACTCACCTTGAGTGCCTCGCCAACAACCACCCCGCATTTATCATCCCATTCAACCCTAAGATCCCGACCAGCAATTCCAACTCCACAAGCTACAAGATGACCACGAGAGTAGCAAGCCACGCCGGCTCGTGGTACTCATCTCGAGCCTCAACTCTCTCGAGTGAGCTCGACGAATGGCTTGCCCAAGTTCCCACGTCCATCGACGGAAAAGAGCTGCCCGTACCAGGCGCAAGAGTCATCATTGCGCCGTGAGTGAGCTTCTCTGTTCTCCCTCCCCTCCCCCAATCTAATAAATTCAAGACATGCAGGCTATTCCTACTCTGGCCCCGCAGCCGCATGGGCATACAAATCGCTCGACCTCTCGAATGCCAAAAGAATCTTCCTCCTCGGACCCTCCCATGCTCTATACCTACCCGGATGCGCACTCTCGAAGCACTCTAAATATGCCACGCCGCTGGGAGATCTGATTATCGATAAGGTGACTGTCAAGGAGTTGCAGGAGACGGGCGAGTTTGAGAATATGAGCACTGGGGCAGATGAGACGGAGCACAGTCTGGAGATGCACCTGCCCTACATCTACAAGATTCTGTCTCAGAAATTCAAATCTGCAGCCGAGTACCCTCCTCTGATTCCGATTCTTGTTGGCAACACAGATCCATCTGTCGAGCGGGACTATGGCAAAATATTCGCTCCTTATCTCGCCGACCCAAAGTCTATCTTCGTTGTCTCTTCGGACTTCTGCCATTGGGGAAGTCGCTTTCAATACACACGATACCTTCCAGCATCTCCCTCTTCAGCAGCCGCAAGTTCGCCGGGAGGATATGACTTGAAGAGACACGATAAGAAGCCCACGAATCCACCGATCTACGAGAGCATTGGACGACTGGATAAGATGGCCATGGACGCAATCGAGACGGGAAAGCACGATAATTTCCTTGGAAACTTGGAAGAAACAAAAAACACAGTGTGTGGAAGACATCCAATCGGCGTGGTGATGGCAGCGATAGAGGTCCTAGAGAGCGAGGGCAAGGTGACAGGTGAGGGAAAAGGACGATTCAAGTTCGTCCGATACCAGCGGAGCAGCGAGGTAGAGGATATCTCTGATTCCTCAGTCAGCTATGCAAGCGCATATGCTGTTCTCTGATAGACATAGACTCATAATCTCATTCGATGATTTTCCACGCCCATCGTTTTCACGTCACGTCTCTGCCCTGGGCTCAACAACCTTCTTCCACCCCTTCGTCGCCCAATCATCACTCCTCGGGAACTCCATCCCAGGCAACTCCGTCCCAAGAAATGCGCAAAGTGGCGCCCACCCCTCCTTCACCTCGTACACAAGCAGGTCTCTTCCTCTCTCCTTCGCCCATCTTTTCACATTCTCATTATGACCTCTAAATCCCCTTCTCTTCTCTTCCTCTCCCCTTTCCTCCTGGGGCCCAAAATGATAGCTCGTGAAGTGGGGAAAGAAGGTTGACTTAGGGGTTGTGAAGAGCGTGCTGTTCATGGATACCAGCCAGGAATCTTCATCTCTGACTGTTAAAATTATCTTGGCCGAGGGGTAGGTATCCATGAGCTCGGCGGCGAAGGTTAGGGCAGGCCAGTCTGTTGTGCTCTTTCTCGTCCATTCCTTTCAGTGGAGATTCTATGAAGGAAGACGGGTAGAGGGAAAGGGGGAAATACAGCATAGCTTCCGATAATAGCGTCGAAATCCTCTACCGTAATGGGGAGACCATCTATCTTGCGTTCGAGGAGGGCTTGCCATGCCTCCGTGTGGTCGTTTTTACGGACATCACGCATGTGGTATATGGGTTTTATGCCGAGAAGGTGGAGGGCGTCTGCTAGTGCTGGGAATTTTCAGTGATATATTGAAGAGAAGAGGATATGTATACATTGGGTTCCTGTTCGGCCCATTCCTAGGCAAAGGACTTCCACGGGGACGGTTCTTGCGCTCATCTTGAACAAAAATGGTATTCTATGTCAGATTCAAGGATTAATGTGAGAAAATAAGAGAAGGACTTGAGTTTTAACGTTTCCAAGGAGCTACGGAGTATACATTTATATGAGTATCAGAAGGCCGAGAAAGGAAGGTGAAGTGACACTCATCACGGGGTTCGTCACTTATCCGGATGTTTATCGTGAGCTTCATTGCTGATTGGAAAGCAGGCTGGAAATTCGGACAGAGCCGCTCACTAACTGTCTCGTCTTGGCCATAAGGTGCGGAGGAGCCAACATGTGAGAAAGGTTCCTCGAGGAGCTGGGAATAATCGGCTGAGATTGGATTGTACAGAAGTTGATGTAAGTGCTCAGATATACTGGTCTCGGCGGCCTTCGCATACTTTTCAGAACACATCTTCAGGGATCATCGCTATGCCTCGGCTATCTGCAGGGATGCTTATCGTGCTGAAAGCGCCGTCATAGATTCAAAACAGACTTCACTATTGGAACTTCCTCGTCAATATTTGCATACAGAGTTGACCGATTCTGATCTATCGCCTTCCTTATTAATCTGCATCTATGGCAAGGTATTGACCAATTATATCTTCATTCTCCCGCCAAACTCCGCTCGCCAAAGACTCCATCAATCCGAACATTGCCCCGCCTCTCCTCAAATTCGACATCAAAATGGTATCAAAAACCTCAATTGGGCTTGCAGATTTGCCCAACGAGGTCAGCCTCCTCGCTCCATCAAGATTCATATTTTAACAACCTATCGCAGATCATAATTCATATCCTAACCCTCTTCCCAACCCGCCAACTCCTCCCCCTCACAACCATCTCACACCGAATCCACGCCCTAATCCTCACTATAATCCACACCCGGATCCTCGCAATCACCTCCTCGCCCTCCAAAAGGGTAATCCTCGAATGCTACCACCCATCCGCCAAGTTATCAACCCCGTATTTCTTCTGCGACTACCTCTACACCGAGCCCTTCGCCCTCTCCTCCGCCTCCCCCACCTCGTCGCCCTCATCCCTTTCCCAACTCCGCAACCTCTACTCCTATTTCCGCCCCACACCCCCAGAAGGCGATCGCAAAGTCTGGCGACCACGGCCCTCAGGCGGTTGGTCATGGGTCCCAATCTCCTCTGTCCTTGACAAGGGAGAGGAAGAGGGGCAGGAAGGAGAGGAACTGGTCAGTCAGGATATATATCTAGAGAGTCACGAGCTGTTTACCCAGTTGCAGAGTGTAGTTAATGTTGTCAAGACGGGGCCGACGAAGGATTTGTTTTTAAGCTGTGTGACGGTAGGCGAGGGGCTAGTGAGGGTCTGGAGGGATTGGTTGAAGGAGAGGGCTGAGGGGGTGGCGAAGAGGAAGGGTGAGGAGGAGGAGGAAATTGAGAAAAGGTTATTGTGGAGCGATACACAGAAGCATGTGGGCTTGAGGTTGAGGGTTAATGGGAGGCAAGATGAGAGGGTTCCGGTGTTGGTGAGTAGGGATGAGGATCCGAATGTGGGTTATACGTTGCAGTACGAAGGTATGTGCCGTCTGCTTTCCGTCAATATGAGAGATACTTATAGGAGAACAGAATTGGTGGTCAGGAGTAGTCAGTTGCTGCTTATGATGGAGGATTCGCTGGACCGAGATATTGGGAATACGGGGAAGGCTATTGTGATTGTGTCATAAACAGTAACCAACTGGGGTAAATCAACAATATTTCTTTATGTACAGTACAGCTGCAGTCTCATAAGGTTTAGATGCATTTCCAATTGCCTTGAGGTGACTTTTGGTTCTTATGCAGGGATTACCAATCCCCGGTGCAGGAGGAAGGTTTTCCGAAGCGGACATATAACTCGAAAGAGTGAATTCTCCTCCTGAACGTTTCGTTGCACGTCGCAACCCAAAGTTGATGTCTGATATTGATATCGGGGTTGTTGAGTGAATCTCAAGCGAGGCGCCCTAGCACTCACTCTGCTTTAGTGAATCACCCTCTCCGGAAGTTTCGTTGCATATCGCACTAACGGCAAAATGCACCTTTTTGTCGGACCTGAACATTGAATTTTTGCTAGTAATAACGGCGGGGGGTTGCGCAAATCTCAAGTCGATCACCTTCACCTGCTGCTATTTCCCAGCTCGCAGCTAGCTAGTAATTGTGAAGTCTCTACTTAAACTAACTCTATACCTTTGGAATTTAATTGATTGTCTGTTTAGCCTGAGGTATCTCTGAGACTCTGAATAAATAGTGAGGTGCTTTATCGCTTTTGTTTGTTATCTTGAGATATCTTTGGAACGGCCACAATTAGAGAAACGCTTATTTAATGTAATCTTACTTTATGTAATTTTACAATCTCTTGAATTAGTCTTTGTTAAAGATATAATGGGCTCAGCAAATTCTCGATCTTTTTAATGTTGGACCATGGTAAAAGCAAACTTAGGTCATTTAAGTCTAATATAGATTCCACTCACTAGCACAATGAGATTTTCGCTACATTTTTGCACAACCACTGTTTCCCTTCCTGGCCATCCCAATATTGCTCACAGTGAGTGAGGGGCCGACCGACATGACCAAAATGGCCAACAAGTCTGCATCTGTTTCGAATAGCCTGCTCTCGAAGCGGCTCGGCACTCCTCTGTTCTCCGAATCCCCTCAATGCCTAATAATCAGTCGGCTAATCCTCATGGGAAACCACAGGAAAGGCGTCGGCTTCATGCCCGACTACTTTATCCTGCATAACCCGAAACCCATCCTGCATACAAAGCAACAATTGAATCTACCAAGCCATTCATCGTCTATAAGGAAGAACTCAGTCTCGAGTTCGCTAAAGGTGAATGTTTGTACGATATCTTGCCCACCCCGGAAGCTTATGAACTAGTCAAACCCCGCTTCCTAGTTCGTGACCCGATCCGCACATTTGATAGCTGGAAGCACATTGAATGGGTCGATATCGAGAGCTTCTTGCAATGCTATCGTAACATCTTCCACATGCTTCACGCCTCTTCATCTTCATACGTCCTCCCCTACGAGAAACGTATCTCTGCGCTGGAAAAGGAATTACAAGTTCTGTGTGCTTGGTGGGAAATTTCTCTCAACCCCGCGTGCTGGAATTCAGCAAGCCCTTCGGGAATTTCTGACTCCAGACGGAGTGCGAAAATAATATCTATGCCAAAAACCCACCTGGCCTCTTCTCCACCGTCAAGCCCAATTACCATATATCTCCTGACATTCCGTTATATAGCCTCGTATCAAACCACGAGAAAGAATAAATCGAGCGCTCGGTAGGTATGTCATATATCTAACTCTGTGAAGAAAGCGCAAGCCAAATTCGGAATGAGATGCTAGAGAAAGAGTGGTTCGGATTCGGCCTCGATGCCACGCTGCATGAATTTTGAAAGGCTTCGGGCGCCGCAACCCCGGCGACGCAGGCAAAGGTTTCCGAGGTTCACAGAGACCCGATTGAGAGGTTAAAGGAGATTAATGCTCGCGTTCTGAAGCAGGAAAACTACGCAAGTTTTCACGGGTAGCAGGACGTCTGATGAGTATACAGAGTAGGAAGGGACGCTTTGCTGCTGTTCTGGATGAAATCAACTTCCAGCCACCAGTCGGGTTTGTCGACGAACTTGCTGCCAATTATAAGAGTGCGCTTGAGATTGTTCTGGAGGCGGAACCGGGAGCGCTCAGTTTGCTCAAGTACTTGAAGCCTATTAGAAAGGAGGTTTCGATCATTTTGGAAGGACCGCAAGGTACGCAGGAGTGGACTATCGAGAAACTCGGCTTTGAGGTTGATTTCCTGGCTACGACGAATTTTTTTGGTGTTTCGGAGGTCGATGGGCTTTTTGGAAGGATGTTGGAGAAATTGAGGCTCGAGGTTGGTTTGCGTGGATGATAGTGAGGAGCGAGATGTCATCCCTGCGAGGAAGGACGGGATCTTCATGGTTCACTACTCAGAGAAGGAGAGTGTTGAATTGGATGTAGACAATATGGAAATCAATACGCTTTGGAGATTGGAGCATATCTTGAGGGCAGAGAGCACTCAGTAATGTGAAGGGAGGTTGTTTTTTATGGGATTCTCGCTTCGAGATTTTGGAGAGCAAACATGACTGCGACCGCATCATTTATAAGTAGAAAATAGACTCCAAGAGTCGCTCGGAGTGGATATTGTGTATAGTATCTGCAAAAATATCAATGAATTATGCGAGTAAAAAGCCATTAGCTCTTTCAGTCCTTCGATTCCCAACTAGATCCAAAGTGAGCTTAACTCTTTACCACAATCACTCTCGCTTCGGTCTCTGAAAGGGGGCCAGACAAAATCAAGGGTCAACAAACCCCTATCTTAATTGACCACATTCATCTTCCTGTTCGCGTTCGCTCTCGCCATCTCATTTCCAAAGACCTACCCACCCACCTGACCGCTCCGCGCGGGGTAATGCAATGTGGGGATTCTTCCGCTCAAGAGCCCCACAAAGGCATCCTCCCCCTCAACTGCAAGTTCACCAAGGAGCATAGAAGCAATTGATTCGATAGGTCTCAGAACCTAGTCTCAATCCTGCTGCTGCTGTCGGCAGTATCGACACCGAACTCGGGCAGTGGCGACCTAGTATTGATGCAGCTCGGAAAAATGTTTCTGGTGCTGAGAGCTTTATCGCTCTTGACATTTGAATGTTCTGATTCTTTGGAGAGAAATTCGAGAAAGAAATCTGTAGATAAACCTGAGTGTTAAAGTTGGTTGGTGGTTGAAAAATAAAGACAAAATGGCAGTCACGGTAGAAACCAACGGGGTCCCAGGACCACCAACTGGAATAAACGTGATAGTTGTCGGTGCAGGTCAGACCATTACCCATCCATCCCGCCTTCGTCACAAAATTCGATTTCGAACTGACTTTCAACACAGGATTCGGCGGCCTTACGGCAGCAATAGAATGCCACCGCCAAGGCCACCACGTCGAAATCTACGAGTCATTCCCTGAGCTCAAGATCCTCGGGGACATCATCTCCTTCGGCTCAAATGCCGGACGGATTTTCTACCGCTGGAGCGATGGCAAAGTCGCCGCAAAGATGCGCGCGGTGTCTATCGACCTGAGTAACTATGGTTTTAAGATTCATAAGTATGATACTGGGGAGGTAGTGGCGGATCAGAAGACGCCGCAGATGGACCCCACAGCTCCGGTCTTTAATGGGCATAGAGGGGAGTTACACGAGATTGTGTTTGAGTATGCAAGGGATGAGTTGGGCATTCCGATTCATTTGGGGAAGAGGGTCGTGCAGTATTTTGAGGGTGAGGGAAAGGCAGGGATTGAGTTGGAGAGTGGTGAGAAGGTACTTACTCCCACCCTCCCTCCAAATCGTCTTCCCTAAGGAGAACATGCGTGGAGCTAATTGAGAAATAGATAATAGCAGATCTCGTCGTCGGCTCCGACGGCGTTCGCTCAAAAGCACGCACTCTGGTACTGGGCTACGAAGACAAGCCCAAGAGCAGCGGGTACGCAGTCTGGCGAGCCTGGTTTCCAAACACAGACATGAAAGCCGATCCACGAACGGCGCAGTTCTGCGAAAATGGTGATACATTCAACGGGTGGATTGGTCCTGATGTGCATTTCTTGTTCAGCACGATCAAGAATGGATCGGATTGTTGCTGGGTGCTTACCCACCGTGATGAACATGATATTGAGGAATCGTGGTCTTTCCCGGGGAAGCTGGAAGAGGTGTATAAGGTGCTTGAGGGCTGGGATCCGATGTGCAAGGCGATTGTTGAGAAAACGCCCAGTTTGGTGGACTGGAAGTTGGTATATCGAGATCCGCTCCCAACCTGGGTTTCGAAGGAGGGAAGGATTTGCCTTCTAGGAGATTCTGCACATCCTTTCTTGCCAACCAGTGCTCAAGGTGCGACACAGGCGCTGGAAGACGGAGTCACCTTGGCGATTTGTTTGAAAAATGCTGGGAAACAAAATATTCCAGCGGCTGTGAGGACGTATCAGGAGATTAGGTACGACCGAGTGAAGGCGGTGCAAAAGACTGGAGAGACGACGAGAGATATGTGGCACAAGACAGATTGGGACAAGGCGAAAAAAGATCCGAAGGCAATTGAGTTGCCTAGGGAGGATTGGATTATGGGGCATGATGCTCAGAAGCATGCTGAGGCGGTGTTTGGTGAGACTGTGAAGAAGTTTCTTTGAGCCGGGTAATGCATTTGGAAGATATTGTTTATAGAATGGAATATCGATCTCCGCGTGAATCGAAAATGGCACTTTCTGTTGGACCACAAGACACCCAGAACGTGGTCCTGGAGCCAAATTAAATACTGGTCTGACTACATATAAGATACGAATTTGATGACCCCGCCACCTTCTTTGCTATATCCGGAAGTACAGTACTTACTGTGCAGAAGCTCCTCTGTTTCACTTGAGCCCCATTTTTACTATTCCTTGGCAGACTATAGGGTGCAGCGCATTTCAAACATCACTTAAATTGTCTTCCAAGATGTCTTCCAAGACGTTGAAGTTTGCAATGAATCATTGTATAATTCAAGATTAATTCGTCCACAATCATCAAGCACCACGTTCCTACTTAGGCTGCTTCTGATATATGCCTTCCAATTTATCAGCGATCCTTCCATTGTACTCTCACATCAATGTGGTCACTTATTTCACATTCGTCGTAGTCTCCGCGACTGCATGCGGGTTCGTCCAAACAACTTCCTCGACAGAGACTCTGGTCTGATTCTTCTCATCAACAGCAAAGACAGCGGGACCGACACACTTGTATCCGCGGAACTTGCGAGCTGGAAGTTTGGCCATGAACTACCCAGGAATTAGCAAACCCTACCCCAAAATCTTCAACAACAAACTCACCATCTCATCAATCTCTTCGAAAGTGCGGTTCTTGACCTCAGGGAGGTAGAAGTATGTCCAAAGAGCACCAATAATGCAACTTGGTGCCCAGATATACCCGTACTTGGGACCCCAGTTGAGCGCATCGGGGTTGATGAAATATGGGGCAGTGAAGGTGGTGAGCCAGGCGCCGAAGAAGCCGACTGAGGCGGCGATGCCGAAGGTGAAGGATCGGAGGCGTTGGGAGGGGAATTCTCCGCCGCAGAGCCAGGCGTAGGAGGAGACCATTCCGTTATAGCCCATGATGTAGAGGACTGAGATGCCAACGATGGCCTGGAAACTGTTAGTTAGGACCCTTGGAGCTTCGGGTTGGGGATTCTTGCCTTCCCAGTTGCAAGTGTGCCTGGATGAGTAGTGTATATAGCAGCAACGATTAGCTGGCAGAGGCCACAGATAAGCATTCCATTGACGAGGAAGACTCTGCGACGGCCCCATTTGGTAATGATACAGCTGTTGATAATGATGACGACAACTCCCACGGCGGTCAAAATACAAGAGTTCATAAATGGAGATCCGACCTTAGCCATTTGGAAGAAGTATGTTCCGTAAGCTGCAGGGATGTTAAGTTGCGGTACACGCAGATGTTGGGGGGCTGATTCTTACAGATCATATACATGGCACCAGAAGCAGCCTGAAGAGTGACAGCACCAACAGCTAGAAATGTTCGACGGCGGTCAATCGGATTGCGCCAGATGTCAATAATTTCAGTGTTAACCGCAAGGAGCTTCTCGGCGTCGATTGCAGCTTTCATTTCCGCGAATTCAGCATCCACAAGTTCGGGAAATGGTCTCAGCCATTTGAGAGCTTTCCGTGCGTCCTCTTCTCTATCCATTTGCAATAGCCATCGGGGCGATTCGGGGATGAAGAGCAAGCCGATGGACACAAGCCCGGGAATAACGTAAACAATACCAAGAGGTATGATATAAGCTTGCTTTGATGGGATGGATTTTGTACCGTTGTCGATGACTGTGCCAACGAGGGTGCCCAAAGTAAATGTTAGTAAGACAAAACACATTAACTAAAGCAGAGTTCAAGGCATACCAAGTGAGACCCATGTTTGAAAGGATGCAATTACAAGACCTCGATACTTTGCTGGTGCCACTTCCTGCTCAACAGTAAGTAATCTCCTCCGATCAATCCCTGCATCTTTATTCATACCTGCAAGTACAGTTGGGCGAATGTCATAAAAAGACCGTTAGCTAAACCAATGAGAAGGCGACCAGCGTACAGGCCGCCAATCTTATCCGTGGTCATCATGATGACATTGGCAACGATACACAAGACACATGCAGACCAGATAGACCACCTCCGTGACAGATAGAGAGCGATGGGGCCTGGAAAGAGTTAGGCATAAGTCAAGTGAATCCTCTGCTCAAAATAAAACCGCAGGCAATGCATACCAGCTGCGCTAGAGGCAAGGAAAGCCCCGAGAATCATCAAGGATGAGATCAATTGTTGGCGGCCGGGCGAGATATTCCATCCGGTGGGGGACAATGGGTCTTCATGCCCAAAGACCTGACAATGATTAGAATAGCTGGCTGTGCGCTTGTGATAGTAGAACATACCTCCAAGAATCCCTTCATTGCCTGAAGACTGCCAATGATACCGAAGTCTACTCCATATTGGAACGGGCACATGGACATGAGGGTGCATGCTGCAAGGCACTTCCAATGAGCCGCAAGGTTGTCCTTTCTGTTTGGTGTTGGTGAAGCCATTGTTGACTATTCTTGTTGAGAAATTGATCGTAACTCTCCGATGAAGTGACTCGATCGTAGAAGAAATCTTGTGAGGGAAAGAGCTAAAGTTAGAAAGATGTGCCAGTTGCAGAAGGTAAGAGATATAATGTAAAGATACTATGCAAACCGCAGAACTGCCGTCCCCTGCGTACATACAGCGGGGTAATAAGTCGAAGTCTACTCCTAGTGGACACATCTTTCCAAGAAGTTCGTTTCGGCTCATCTCGTGCCTCGACATTATTGCCCCGGTTTGTTGTTCGGGAGCAACCCTGGTAGTGAGGCGCGAAGCTATATGGTCGGAAGCATTGAAGCGACGCAACGTTCGGACCGTCACAAGGAGTATGAAACAGGGCCAGTCCACCTCTAAACCCCAAAGAACTGCCCTTCGGCTCCAACCGGATATCGAGCCCCAAAAAGCTAACTGGTGGCGTCGTCCACATGAAGAATCTAGTTAAGTCGATCAGATGTGTCGGGATGCGGCCAGTCAGCGCGAGGGTATCTGCAGGCAAGCAGTGTACAAATGGCACGGAGGGTGAAAACCTGGCCAGATAGGACCGGGGTCTAGGTCGCTTGACAGGAACAGCGCTAGGCCCCACATTCAACAGTTGTTGATGTGGGGGGACTGGAGAATTCTGGGGAAGTGGATCTAGACTTAGGGGAACTACCGGGACCGCCCAGGCGGGTTTGTCGGTTCGTCAGATGTGTGCATATATTTCTTATGTGAAGTCTGCGGCCGTCAGCGCCAAACGCCACATTCTCATCTAAATTTCTGGCACAATCAATATCAGATTTGCCAGATCAAAATCATTTGGAGGAGTAAGGCCCCGTGTCGCACGGCCGCACGTCTTTTGAATACTGGTAATTACAACAACCAAATGCTAGCTTTTATTACTCGATAATCGAAGCTACTGTAGTATTTGACAAATTAAAAGTGTTTCGCAAGAAACAAACACTCAATAATTATCGTAATTACGGAGGTTTCAGCCTCTCTTCGCCAGCGTATTCAGCCTCTATTTTTAGCCTCACGAATCTCCTACTTCTCCTTCCCTAATAATTAGTAATTAATCCCCATAATTTCAGCGTCTCAAAGCCTAGATTTATTTTATTATTAAATAAAAAAGTAATAAATAAAATAATTATGTCTTCTATTACTCACTAACTAAATAAATCAATGTGAGATGTATCCTATTAGAAGCGCAAAATATAAAGCTTTAGAAAGATGTTATGCTCTAGAGAGGCCTATTTGTTCCGCTAGTAGGAACAACTTTTATTAGCGAATTTTCTCATTAGTTTAATCTGAAATAATTTACTACGAAAAGTAATAAAAGTTAATTCCTCTTTAGGATTTCTAAAGTACCTTTTTTGAGGCAATGAATACTGATAAAAATACATTAACTTACATTATCTAATAGACTACTGCCAGTTCTAAAGTTACTTATAGTGCCTTTAATTGGGTCTCTCCATCCATCTGGACTGGCCGCACTCTGCCAAGTTTCGTTGCCGGAGACGGACATTGCTGCTAGCCTCCCTTGCCATTATTTTGGGTATTTGGGTCAATTAATGTATGATGCGGTTGCCCTTCGGCTTTGGAAGGACTGGTTGTATATTTCTAGAGTGCGTAAGTTTCTAGCTATTGGAAGCAGAGCAAGACTAACGGCCGTAGCCTTTGGCATCTTGAATAAAGAGAAGTTATCGCAGTAACTACAAATCGGAGATTGTAGTTCTGAATCGATATTCTCGGGCAGGTCTTGTGTTGTGTGAGGACATACATTTACCAGAGCAATTGGAGATGGACACGGTGTAAGAGGTGTGGTAGATAACTCGAAGGTATATGTTTGGGTGTTTGGTAGCCAAGATGACTTAATGCGAAGTGCGAAGGTGAGATGCAAAGAAAACTAAGTGCACAGGCAATGAAGATCGATATGTTGAATCACTAGTTGGAAAGATGGATTTTGCACTATTATTGTCGATCGTGACCCTCTTTGACTATCAAGGACAACGTGAAAGTGTTGGGGTTGTAGACTCCGCTGATTTCGGTTCATATACTAAAACAGGATTTCAGCAGAATACCTTGTCAAGATGAAACGCTCTAGAGTGCGAATAACCTTTATGTTGCATCTCCGAAGGTGATCTGGCTCAACCTGGCCAACAAAAAGCAACTAGAGCGTGGATCCGCACCTTAGATCGGGAACGAAGGGGGTGACGTATTGAAGGGTCGCTAGTAGATAAGTCCTTGCTATCCCCTGCATATTTATTAACATTTGCAGATTAATGCCAGATGGTGCATTTAAGACAGCTTGATTAATAATTGATTATTGAATTGATTGAGTCTGAAGTTTAATCTAAGAGAGGGAGAGGAATTTTTGAGATTATATTACAGTGGGATACAAACCAGCTTTGAATCTAGTGAGACATCGATTTTTGGAGCAAAATCACGTGAACGGCACCGTCTATTAACCATCTAACAATTAGGGGTCGAATAGGCAAGTGAAAATGCAAAGAGTAAAAGCAAGATTTCTCTATAATAAGGAGAGGTAGAAAGCTATATGAGATATATTTTTGAAGTATTAAGAGGCCCTTGACTCCCCCGTCGGCATAAAAGCGTATAAGAGAGCGTATTCTTTTAATATCTTAAGAGGTAAAACTAGTCTTTAATCCTGGAAGGACACCCCTAACACCCCCTAAAGAGAGGAGGGAGCGCAAAAAGGTAAGGATAGGTAATTAATTTTTTTATTAAAAAAAAAACCTCCCTTAAACCTCCAGCGGTTTTTTAATTCTTAAGATCAAGCAATAGTATCTTTCCGCAGTCACATGCAGCAATTTCCACACAAGCCACGTGGCGTAACCAAAAGCCTCGCTTTCGATAAGTGAAAATCTTAGTTTTAATTAAAACAAGGAGGTTGGGAAGGACATTAGAGTGACTACTCCCCGCTATTCACGATCTTGACTCAGATGTGAAAAGGAGTATACAAATAAAGGGATTAAATCAACATAATCTACACCAAAAATGATAAGGGGGAACTTTTAAAAGTGGACCAGCGGATGTAATTTAGGCTTCTAACAGAATGGACCATGTACCCCGCCCACGCCCACGCCTTCGAATCGAGAGTATCTTGCAGGAATTATTGCATAGCGACGCCTCGATAGCCACAAAGCAAATCATACAAGGTTTACAAGGCGATTTATTTTCAATGCCTCTAATTTATCTCAAAAAGCCGACAATACAGAAGCCACAATTCCTCAACAATTTGAGAGAAACATTACTGTCAACAGACCCTTAAGGGATTGTGAATTGGACTGTTACTGACAAAAATTCTATCACTCCGTTCATAATTCTCTTCAGTGGGGTAGTGTTATTAAGCAGCCGGAAGTGCCGGAGATAGGGAAATCGTACCATTTCCCCGTGTTCGAGCGGGGAAATTGAAGATTAGGTATTTGGTAGTGCGACTAAGCGATCACAGCTACTTGCGTCGGACCTACCGAACTCGCAATCACTTCCACTGCCGATGAACCGACCGATCATACAGACCCGAACCGATGCAGAGACTTGCGATCATGATACCGATCATGCAGCCGGAGCCATTCCCTTCTCAGATTGCCCGCAGTTTCCATTAGCGTCGTGAAGGGATCAATGCAAAATCAAAAATTGACAACAGAGACTGGTTGGTGAATAGACGTGTGGACCTTCTCTCCGGTCTGAGAGGGGTTTGTCACTGGTACGTGGAATGGATCGACATTAGTATGCAGTGTCCCACAAATACTCACTTCATGCATCGAACAGACCACCTTTTTAACTAATCCCTCCGAACCAAATCAGGGAGAACATGAATGTGAGTTTTATCTTGGATCGGCTTTTATAGCGAATGAGAACGGAACGCTTTTAGCCCAGGGACCCGAACAAACAAGGGGTCGACCTGACGATGACGACGGACAGCGGTTAGTTTCTGTGATGTCGACAACGGCGCGACATATTTCTCAGGCAAACGACGGCTCTTTTGCCCAGTAACTGACTAGAACAGGGCATTTCAGTCAAATGCTTGAGTAGTGTACTTCAAGTTCATAGTGTTTAGATTTTACTAGCGCCATTGGCGGTGTGTCTCACCATATTTGCAGGTGGTGAATTACCAGTCTGGACCAATCGTGCACCAGGAGGAACTAATTGGGCCTTCGGTAGTTGTCCCGTCTGCCGGCGTTTTGAGCACCCACTTTCGATCGCGATCTGGGGGGGGGCCGGGGGGGGGAGCAATAATAAATAATCGGCACGGGACGAGGGCTTGTTCGCTGATTCGCTCCAAGCACTGCTACGTATAGCAGCATCTAGAAGGGAGACCTTGTGCATCTCCCAGGTACCTCTCAGCGGTCCCTATGGTGCCTGCCGTGCCATTGTCCCTAGACGCACTCGCCAAGTACTTCTTCAGGGTCCATCTTTCAAACCATTGTCTCGGAACCGAATTGAGTGAAGCTTGGCGTCCTTTCTTGAGGTTGACCTTAACCCATTGCGGTTGCTTCATTCCCTTCATCTCTGTGCTGCTCAGCAGATGCTACTCGTCGCAGAAAATGGTCCGGCCCCCTCGAACTTCGATCGACTGCATGAGAGTTACGGTGGCGACGGTCCTGAGTTTCTTTCGCTTGTGATCAGTCTAGCAGTATAGACTTTGATATTATATCCTGCCATCAGCGCAAAATGGAAGGAGGTAAAGACATAAGCTTCATCTAACGAGCGATCGTCGCCTCTAATACGCAGAGCCAGGGTTGCATTTAGAGCTTGACCAGGCTTCACATCGTCGGAGAACAGAATGACAGAAGTCTCTTCTGTTACTGCCCAGCCTGATTGGAACTATTCTTTCTCGTCGCCCACACTTCATCGTTCGTATTCCCAATCGTCATTCCTTGTGGGCTCTTTGTCCTTCCAACCTCCTCAAAAGCCTCGCGTCGAGGCTGAATACAGCTGTCGGATACCAGTCTCCGTTCACCCGCCCGGTTCCTCGAGTCCTCGAACGGCCCATACTGACTGCTGGGATTCGCCATTGCTTAAACCAACACTGATCACCAGTGACCCTTACACCGTCCCACCAGCGTCCGGTAGCATCCCGATAAACAATTCATGTCCTAGTACTCTAGTTCCATCTAAGCACGCTGAGTTCGCCGAGGACGACGCTATGGTACAGGTTCAGCCTTCACGACATGTCGACTATCTCTCTTACGACTGGAAAGAGGACGATATCTGGTCGACGTGGAAACACATTCTCTCGAACCGAAAGGTGTGCAGTAATAGTGCGAGACTCGAGAACGCGGCATGGCGAGCATGGGCGAAGTCGAAGTACCGGCTTAAGTCCGTGTCCCCTGAGTCTGTGAATTGGTAAGATTTTCACGATCAATGCTCTAGCGGATTCGTAACCTTGTTAAAATGTACTAGGCTGAAGGATCGCGACGTAACATGGTTGTACGGTCCTCTCCAGACAAGCTGCGCCAAAATATCAACGCCACCTGCTTCTATAACCGGCGTCGGAATATCGAAATCGGACTCTTTGCTCAACAAGAAACCTATCCTGAAGAAACGAAGTGACTTCGAGATCATGCTTCGACTGTCGCCATCCTCGGCATCACTCCTAAATCCAGCAGCATTGAGACAAGGCATTGGCAATGAATTCCCCTCCGCCACTACATCGCGGGAACGGTCACCAGCAGCGATCGAGAAGCGACATATTCATTTCTATGACAAAGTTGAGCAGTTTATCGCAATGGGTGTCGAAGATGGCGATGGCGACAAAGACCCAAGAGAAATCTACAGTTATGATGATGATAGCTCGTCGGACGATGGACTTCTCATCATGAAAAGGCCATCGAAACCGAAGGTTCTACAACAAAGCAATCGAAACTGCTCGCAGACCAGCTTTAGTCCTAAGAGCAGAACGATAGCAATCCTGCCATCCACAACGCTAAAGTCCGGAGTAGATACTTTGGATCTAACTGAGCTAAAAACAAGAGACGACGGAAGGCTCTCTTGGTATCTCTCGCCGGAGACATCTCCATTAACAGAGTCAGCTATAGACATACTGCTCGAGAGCCACGACGAAATTGCAGACGTATCCTGGAACCTGCCCAGTGCGTCCGCCAACCACAAGAACCGTATCTCTATGGCACACGATAGTTTACTACAGAACTCTTCATGGGAGACGAGCGGATGCGAAGCGCATAGGCATCTGAGCTGCAATCCTCGTGGGATGTCTATGCTCTGCAAAGAAGGCGACAATGATGTGGTAGCAGCGGGTCTATTTGGGCGAGTGACGGATGGTATGAATACTGCAAAGGACATCGCATATGTCTTATGGAACGTCGGATGGGAGAAGTAGTCTTCAACCTCCCCAGTCCCACATGGCTGTACAGGTGGGCGTTACCTATGACTTCGACAAGGTTGTATACAGCTCTTAATTCTCCTTCCAACACATCATCACTAAGCCATTTGCTTATATGAAGATGACGAGTAAGAGTTGTTACTTTGTGTCTACTTTGCTCGTAGTTTTCTGCAATCCGTGCTTTTGGTTAATGTATTTTGGGGCATGCTCTCTAGGAATGTGGCGATAGTGAACAGAAGATACAATGTGTTGACCCCGAGGAGGTATGGTTTAGCAAAAGTCAAAGAAGAATGCAGCCAAAGCGAATGTAACCTCACTATTTAGGACATGCACTCTAGTCACATATCTCAGACCAAAATACTTAAGCAATAGTTGCGGTTGCCACGTTGTCCCCTACTTTCGTGAACGGGTAGTTGGGGTTACGTCACTACAGTACTTGCCAGCACGATGCGAAACGCACACGGCGCACCCTCCAGCACTACCTATCTCCTGGTTAAATCAACCTGCAGCCTCACCAACTGCTTAATTTCACGTGTCAAGGTCTCTTTGGTTGCTTCAAGCCACAGAAGCCTCCTCTCTAGCGCTACTATCTCCTCGTTGCAGGATCCAAACCCTGCCCTTTGCTCATGGGTGTGTCTTGCCGAGTTCTGTGAAAGCCACCAACCTGAACCCGCCATCATGTCATCCGAAATCGCGCGTGAAGTAGACTCTCGAAGAGGTTGTTCAAACGCGTTCGATATCGCTGCTCGGTATGGTTGTATGTGTTTTCCGTCTGCGTGCACAAATATTATCTAGAGAGTAATTTAAATAAAAGTAAATATACTAGAAACAGCATATTATTATAAATCTTTTAGGGGTAATTAGAGTAACTATTAGAGCAAATAAGCTAATTATAAAGAAGTATTTAAAATCTTTAATACTAGATTATAATAAGGTTTGCACTCTATTACTGATAAGTACTATTAGTATAGCTTATATAAGTATAATAAATGAAATTATATACTTATTTTATTAGAGATTTAAAATTAAAATTTAGCTAGCAACTGGAGAAAGCCATAGCGCTACTATCCTCTACAAAGTAGCAATATAGCCTCAATTCCTTCTAATAGGAATAAGAGCACTACAAATATACGAAACTTGCTATCTAGCGAGCAAGAGAACTTAGATGCGCTGAAACACAGCCTAACAACCTGCGCGAAAAAAAAGTGAATTTCAAAGCTCAACATAGGCCTCGTTATCCTCCTAATGAAGGGTCAACAAAGCCGGCTGAGAAATAAATATAAGCTGATGAGGCTTGCATGTGAGTAATAGGACCGTAGGTACCCACTGGAGTTGAGTTCGAGGCCGAGTTGCTGGTTGATGATAATATTTCGTAAAGTAGCACCCAGTGGGTTGATGCTTTTTGGGGATGAGAAAAAGTCACACCAGGTTGTAGAGAAAGAGATGCCGAGGACGGATCTTCAACTCTGCTTGAGAAGGTGTGTTGGTGAGGTGCCCAGGCGTTAGAAACCTACAGACTATAAAAGAGATCAGTTACTACGGTCTAACCAGGAACTGAAGGGGAAGAACGAGGTACAGCTCTTACTCGGAAGTAAGAGAGATAGATATGGAGGGTGAGTCCTTCTGCTTAATCGGCCTGCCCTATTTGGGTGGGGTTCCGACGCCCTTCAAGGTTTGTCCGCTAAGCTTGACTCCCGTTCCATAGCGGCCCTCAAATTCTGGCTCTACTCTCGTCCGAGGTTCTATGTCTTTCTCAGTACCGATATGACGCGACAGTTGCTGGAAGGATTCATCAGACAGCTGTCCAAACACTTGGAACGATCTGGATCCAGCTGTGACGCGCCTTGCTGCGATCAGAGCTCCCACCGTTGAGATGATCACTTGCTGGCCATCATCCACTAGGGATATATCCTCGTAAACATTGGCATGATCTTGGTTTGCTTGCTTAGAGGCATCAACGCAAATGTCTAAGCTTTGTCGGATGGCGTCCCTCTCTTCTTGCATTATTTCTCGCTCAGCAGCCTGCTCGTTCGATAGGTCTGTCGGTTGCAAGGAGAATCGGTTTAGTCGATTGTTGATATCTCGGAGTTGCCTTTCGAGATGAGTGGTTGTATCGGTGAGTTTCTCTTTGCATGCCTTAAAGGTAGTGGCAGTGAGTTGTTGAGCCGAGGTAAGACCACTAAGCGTGGTGACGGGTGGATGATGAGCAGACGAAAGGTTTATAAAGGCGTTGGGCTGGAGTTCATCTATTTGAATCAAGATTTTGGTGCAGATATCAAGGCACTGTTTAGTGCTGGTTCTCTCCTCCTGTATTTGTTGCCGCTCGTCCGTATCTGCATTGGAAATTCCCGTGCCTTCTGAGATGATCCGTAGTCTATTGTCAATACTTTGGAGGTGCTCTTCGAGGTCGGCAGTCGTATTTGAGATCATTTCTTTGTATTCTTTGAGCACTTTGATGGTAATAGCAGCCGTACGCCTATGCGGGAGAAACATCAGCTTCGTCTACACGGGGTATACATCAAACTCACATGTTTGCGTTGCCGAGCGCAATAGAAATGGTAGACTTATACCCCGCTAGCATGTTTTTAAATCCAGCGATATCGCCTCCCAGGTACTTTAACTTTGCCCAGTCCCTAAAACTCGTCCTGGGGCCACTAGAATGCTCTGCACAGCTGAGAATCACCGCTTCGAATTCCTTGCAAGCCTTGCCGCATCGGAGGAGAGGAAGCTTAAGCGCTGTAAAATCAACATCCGTGCTGACCGAAGTCTCTTGAAGAGACTGTAAGACTTCGTTAAGGGCTCTGAGCTCTTCCTTAAGCTCGCGCACATTCCTCTGGTTGCTGCGAAAGCTGTCGACTAACTGGTAGAGAATAGTAGTTGATTTAAAGGCAAACAGCGTCAATTGTAATACCCCAGAAGCAATGCCTATTGGATCTGCCATTCTAAGGATTGAGCGGGAAATGATAGGACGCAGAATTTGTACAGTATATGAGCAGGTCAAAAAGGCGGGAGGGGGCGGGGAATTGCGCCAAGGTAGGCGCGGTCAAGATGTTAAATAATCTGACGGTGGCGACGTTGATGGCTGGCGATGGCAGGCTCGTAGGGAGAACGGTTTGGGAGATGGCAAAGAGGCGAGGGTCGGGATTTGGCAGAGGCGATGAACGAGGAGGAGAGGAGCAGCAGCCTTGTCGTCGCCTTTCCTGCTTTTTGGCGGCAGGCGGCTGTTCCTCAAATCCCGCATGATTGGCAAAACCACATTACTAATCATGACCCCACGCTGTACGGAAAGCCGTAAGGATCAGATGTGCCAGCGCAACTTCGAACTTCGCACTGGTAGCGATGAGAAGCCTATAATTATAGGGCTTCCTTTTCCTCGCGACTCACGTGTCTCGAAGCTCACTTCTCACTTTTAACTTACTCGCCCTTCCCCCCTAATATCCTTCCTCTCCTACCCCTATACTTACATACATAAGAATAAGAATTAAAGAGAAAGAGTAAATATCCTAAGTAGTAGAAGAGGCTTAGTGAGAGGGGAGGGGGAGGGGGGGGGGCGTGTTGTGAGGCCTGAGCGATTTTTGGTGGGGTTCGAAGTTGCGCTGGCACATCTGATCCTTACGGCTTTCCGTAGCGCTGAGCCAATAAGCAGATGAGCCAATGAACTTCCACGGCGTGGACCACAGACGTACAAGTGAGACGTGGTCAAAGAGTGAAGATTGGTTGATTTCTAAGAATAGAGAAGGAGAGCGGGGTAATATGTGTGCCCTGCTACGGGCGCGCGGACCGCCGGAGGTCACATGACCTGCGCCACGTGACTAAGAGAACCGAAGTCCCTACCATTGTGCTTTTTACTCGCCTTTTGTATACGCGCCAAGGGCCGAAATATAGCTCGAAAATGAAGCCTTATTTTATAATAAAGTTATGGAAAGTCGCTTTTTAAGAGAGGGAAAGGAGGCTAGAATGGAATCAAACTCTCAATTCCATAAGTACCCTTCTAGGGCAGCTTTAGAAGGGTGCTAGCATATATCTAAAAGAGACTTAATTCTTGTCGACTGCGAATATGACTCATCAGTGTTCATAGGACGACTCGGAAGTTATCTGATGGGGGGTGTTCGAGCGGCCAACACAGCCACAACCCTACGGGAAATACCCACATGAAATAGACTCGCAAACCAGCGAATAATACTTCGTCTTGAGGTTGCTTCTCGCAACCAACCTCATCGGAAAGTTCTATCTGTACTAAAATCGTGGCTGAGTTCAGCTTTCAACCCCGAACTCAGCTAAGTTGCTAAGCGAGTTAATTCCGATGGCTTGCAGCATCAAGTCAACACAGCCTCACTGGCTTCCGTATTCTCCTGTCTGGGATTTGGAAAGACTCAAAAGGAAGGGGGAGACTCTGGCGAGAAAGTAGCAGACTCAGCATGTCCGAATCGGTGCAGCAAAGTCGCCAGAAGTATCGCGGAAGCAAGTTCTGGGAGGGGAGGCTGAAATTGAGTACGAGCTGTACTGAATGCCATAGGAGGAAGCAGAAAGTGCGTTATCCTTCTTTCATTTTGTGCAATGGATGGGAAGTAACTTCCGGAGAAGTGATATAGATTCTAACACTTTCAGTGTGACCAACAACAGCCATGTAGACAGTGCGCCAGAAGGTACCCACAGCCAGAATGCATTTATCGGGACGTGAAGTAAGCATTCTATCCTCAATTATAGATGGCTGGAAACTGAGGCAGCAGAGAATACCGGCCAATAAGCGAGAACACCCATCTACCACTGTGATCGCAACTCCTCTTGTGAGAAAGCCTGCTCTGGAGTCTGTGGGAGTCGAGGAAGTCACAGAGACGAAGGGCGCAACGATCTCGATCGCTACTTTACACCAGTTCGATACTGCAGAGGGTTATCAGCAAATGTTAAGCTCTATGGTCTCTCAATTGCAGTGCAATACACTTTCCGACCACCAGGTTGACCAAGATACTGCCAGCCCCAATTTGAGGGCCAAATTTACTTGGGAAGGCGGCTCCAATAACAGTGAAAGCCAATGGCAGCTCCAAAAGTCAAGACGCAAAAAAAGCAGTGTATCTCCCCACGATATAGCCATCTCCTCCGTAGATCCACTACACTTTCTTGGCATCACGCCGACAACTCAGAATGCAGGATTGCTCCATGCTTGTAAGACTGCCACTGAAGCTCCCTACAAATGACACTGACCGGTCTAGTCATCAACATCATAACCAAATACGTATTTTCGATTGATGGAAAGCCAGGACCGAATCATTACAATGACGTTTGGATTCCCTGGGCAATGAAAAGCCCACTGCTGGCCTACCTGGGAATCTTCAGTTCGGCATGCTACCAAGCAGAAGCCCAGAGATCGTCTCCTGAAAATGCAGCGCTTGCTCTAGGGTACAAGACCAAATCACTTCGCCTTCTGAATGAAATGCTCAGTGATCCAAAATTGGCAACTTCCAACGAGGCGATTGGTGCAGTGGTGAATATCATGATCACAGAATGGTATTGGAACAATCACGAGGTCGTCAAACAGCATATGGAAGGGTTAGTTCAAATAATAAAATTGAAGGGAGGTCTGGACGAGCTGGGACCAGGTCACTGTTTGCGAGAGATGATTTTGACGTACGTTACAATCACCACAAATTATCTCAGTACTGATTTCTTCAAGTACCGATTACTGCCTATGTGTCACATATGATTGGGAGCCATTGTTTGAGCACCTAGTCAAAGACCCGTCCGAATATCCAGTCCACATCAGCATCCCGTTCATTGACCCACCGTCAAGCTTTGTCGAAATCGCATCCCAGCTGAAAATCAGCAAGGAAACAGCAATCATTCTTGATGACATGCGCTTTCTCTTTAAGACAACTGTGCACCAACTAGACGGCGATGTTTCTGGGTTAGAGAAAGCTAAAATCGCTTCAACATCGACTTGGATTCAGCAGAGAATCTCCGATATGCCAGACGGATCGCAAGGCCCTCTCCTCGTCCAGGACTTCATCTACAAATCCTGCCGCATAGCAGCATTGGTTTACTGTAACGCAATTGTCTCTCACATTCCTCTGTCGAAAGCCTGTTCGCTCACAGATCTGAACCAACTTTGGGCCGTTATGTGGCAAGTCAAATTATCACGATGGAAGCAAATCCCAGGTATCTTTCTATTCATTATGTTGGCTGCAGCGCCAGCAGCCCAGCATACGCCCCATGGTAGATTTTTGAAGAATATGATGAAAGCGACGGCTTTGAGTATGATGCTGGATAGCTGGGAGGTGGTGGATAAGAGTATGTACACATATGTTAACTTGCAAAGGTGGTTGAGAAGGGGCAGCGAGGTAGCTATGGGGTCGAGTACGCCAAAGGCTCTGGAGTTCTTGCATTTTTATCGAATTTAAAAGTTTTGTGTGAGTGACATTCAACGTTGGAAAGTGCAGTGTGTCAAATGAGTAGAGTAGAGTAGAGTAGTGGGTCCTACTCATACTTTACTCAGCCAAAATATGTCCTACTTATACTCTACTCAATACTCATTGAATGTGTATCTAAGTAACTTAAGTAATAAGTCACGTATAAGCACGTATCCTTATAAGAGGAACCAGCGACTTAATTATTAGTTTTAAAACTTACCTTAAAAGGCTATATATTTTAGTAAATATACTATTATATATTATCTTATAAGTATTTCCTCTTTAAGAGCTTATAAGCTTAATATTATATTCGATTATCTTATTCTAGTAAATAATACTAATTCAGAAGTTCTTTAAATTAATATTATTGAAATTGAAAATAATATATATATATATAATATAATATAATATAATATAATATAATATAATAAATTCATTATTAATCCAATAAACTATATTGAGAAGTAAATATTAAATATACCGAGGTATTATTTAATATAGAAAGAAACAAGAAATAAGAAAAGAATTAATAATATAGTAAATAAATTATAAATAAGAAAATATAGGCCGAGATATAAAGAAGAGAAGCTCTTGAGTGCGGGAGCTTGGTATTCTAAATACTAGGACAGCCACATGCGTCATCGCAGTCACGTGACGCTAAATTTACCAGTGAAGCGGCTGAGCGTAACAAAAGAGAGAGATATATATATATATAAATCATCTAAAGAAGTATATAATAAGTATTATATATAAAGAAAATAAAAGAATTTTCTGAGTTTATATTTTGAATGTTTTTCCCTTATATTAAAAAGGGGCCTTATTATATATAGAAAAAGGAAACTTTATAAGAAAAGAAAGATTATAAAGCTAATCTCAATACGAGAAATTTATTAATTAAGAAAGTTAATAAATAAAAGTAAGAAAAGAAGTAAAGAAAATAGCTAAGAAATTAGAAAAAGGCTTATAAGAAGGCCTTTAGAGAAGTACAAAAAATATAGAAGTATAATAAGAAAACTAGTACTTATATTATAAAGAATAAATAAAAAGAAATTAATTAGTATTAATATTAAAAGAGAATCTTAAATAAGAAGCTCTTGCCCTTTATAAGGGAATATTAAAAGAGTTATTTTAATACTCTTATATAAGAGAATAATATAAGACCTTATAAGTTATATTATTAAGGAAAGATTTATAATTTATAAAAGATTATAAAGATATTTTGGCCAGGAAACTTATCTAATCTCAATGCAATTAAGAAAGCCTGGTTCTAAATAAAAAAGGAAATTACTAAGCAGGGACCTACTAGTAATAGAAAGAAGCTGAGAATGAGGTGAGAGAAATACTAGAAAGATCTTTTTCAGAGCAAGATTCAAGAGTAAATTATAGTAATTTCCGATTATATAAAGAAGATAATATATTTGGAAGGGGAGAATAAGTATAAAGAAGGTAGAAAGAAGGGTCAAGAAAGGTGGCTATATATTAGATAGTTATTTATATAGATAGAATCGAACCAATCAAAAAATCATCGAAATCGGAGGTTTAGCGAGGTAAGCCATATTTCAGGGGACCCTTATAGGGCTTACAGGGGACTAGGACGAGCTACAGGGAGATTAAAGTAAGACCTTACAGGGCATTTAGTGGCCTTTATAAAATAATGCCCTGTTCGCGATACTTTATGCCGTTTTCTTCGTACAAGGACCCCAATCTTCTGCTTGCGAGGGAGGCGGAGTGGCTTCAGGAGCCAGAGGGGAAGGGACAATATCGTAAAATCCGTCGCCACGTTAAACACACCGCCAGCCAAAAAATTGGGTTTGAAATTTAGGCACTTTCCGGGGACTGAGAGATTCCAATAGCTTTCTATAGGCCGACACATGAGAAGAAAAGTAAAGGCGCCCCAGAGGGAGTTGGCACATACAACAAACATAACGATATAGATAACGATCTTGAGGTGCTGTTCCGATGGGAATCGGAGATAGAAAAGGAGAATAGAGCATTTAATGAATAGTGTTACCATTCCGTATAAGGGTCCGAAAATTCCACCAACCTGGGGAGGAGTGGCTTAGAAAGACTGCCGGTAGAAGAAGGACTTTTACGTACGAAGAAGTATTTTTCATACTTAGTCATAGTGATATCCCACATGTGGTACCCTGATCCGTTTTTCGTTTCTGCGAAGCTTCTTAGTCTCGAATAGTACAATTTAGAATGGCTGCCGTCAAACTCACGATACATCTGCAAGATTGAATGTGCGAGTGCAAATGGCTGTAAAAGGATATCAATTAGCAATCGAAGCAGCGCACTCGGCAGGCTTGGAGGCGCACCAGTGCCAATATAATCATGTCTATCCATCATGGTCAGCCTGAATCTTTCTCCTTTTGGGACGTTGAAGCTGTACTTGCAGTCATCTGGGTGGAACTTCTTGATCAGAAATATCTTTGCATAGAATCTTGCCAGCAGAAACGGGATTGTAAGGATCGGAAAGACAGTGCCAACTATCACGATGCGATATCCAATGTAAGGAGGGTTCACGAAGTTGGGAGTGACTCCTGGTGGTGGGGGAAAGAGCACCGACGAGGGCTGTCGTCGAGTTCATGGCGAGAGTGACCAAGTTCAGCCTCCGTTCCGTGAGCGGTTGCAAGTCTGCGATGACGGTTGTGTCTATCCTCGTTTGCTGGACTCGAAAGTTCGAAGCATAATCGCCATCGGAGACCTTCTCCGTCTGAGGTTCCGTGTCCTGCACCCATGCGTGGAGGGTAAGATCACTTATACTAGAGATCTACGCCAAGGACTAATCAAGAAGTTCTTGTGGCCCTCTTCAGCGGAGTGCTCCATGTGGTGGGGGCGCGGGGTGGGAGGGATGATTGCGCGGGCGGCCGGTTTGGTGAGGGAGCAGGGGGTGGGGGGCTAGGGCGCGAGGGGCTTAGCGCGGAATGGGCTGGGACCGTTATTTTGGGGGGGGTTCAGGCTTAGAAGGTATCACCCACCAACCGCCCAAACCCCCTTTCCGCTCAACTTGGATTCTGGAGACCTTAACGCCACAAAATCGAAAATTAATGTGATATTCGCAATATTTCGAGTATTCTCTATAATCTAGCAAATTTTTAGAATTTTCCAAAGACTTTGAAAAATCGAGAAAATTTTGGTGGGGTAGGCGTGGGCGGAAAGGGGGTTTGGGCGGTTGGTGGGTGATCCCTTCTAATTCTGAAGGTGCCACGTACGCCATTGCTTTATAGCCAATAACGCCCCGATCTCGTGCGATAAGAGCCCATGCCATGGGCGATAGAGGCTCTGCTCTACTCCGTACAGCTTTCGCTTGACAGCGCTGGAAATACATTACATGCGATACACTCATCACCTTCGATCGCGACCTTCGTACAGCTGATTCTATGCCATGAGGGGAGCGAAGCAGGGCTCTGCCACAATGTAATGCATTTCCGAGGACACTAACGCCCAACAGCCTCGATTGCGCAATATCTAATCGTGGTTAGCTACAACTGGTCCGTCAGCCTCATTCCCTTCACCTCTCAAAGTCTCAATGCTCTATCTGCCCTGTCTCAGCCATTCAAGTCGAGGACGAGCTGACGCAGTCGCCTATTCGATTTAAGCCGCCAGCTAGTAAGAAGGCACTATATTTCTAGGAATGCGTTGGTGCCCAGCCCCCAACTTCCCCGTTCCACGATTGTTGATCGCTCACCGAAATCAAAGCGCCCTGTGGACTGTCCAGAATCACCGTTTGAAACCCGGGCCCCGAATGTCAGATTCCACGCTTCACATACTACTCGTCAACGAAGATACATGTGCGACAGCAAGAATGAATGCATTGGAGGAATTGGTGAGGCTTCGGAAGAAGAGAGCGCCAGGCGCTGGAAAGGCAGATGATGTGGTTGGTTGTGAGTGGCCTCTTTGGAGAAGAGAAGTTGATGCCAGGAAGCTGTTGATGCCCTGCTGGTCGGAACGCCCGAGTTAGGTAGCCAGCTGCACGGCATTGCGACCCGACCCTTCTTTGAATCTCCACAACGTACTGCGCCCCCGGCGGCTTAGAAACCACAATGGATACCAGATGCAGGTGAGGCCAAAGCCGATTTGACCAATGGAGCGGTATGCGAGGACTGAGAAGAGATTGAACCGTGAGGTTGGTCGAAAGATATCATGGGATCCATCTTGTGCGTCCTCCTTGTCCACTATGCGAGCTTCAGATCGTCCGTTCGCTGGCATGGAGTCACGGTGGACATTATCATTTCTCTTAGACTTGTGTCCGGATCCAAGAAGAAGTGCTCTCTCCCCCTGATTCTTCTTCTTCAAGACGCTGTTGAATCTCGTACCATTTCACTGGGGAAGAAACCGCTGCCTCATCTTGCCAGCCGGCATGCTTCAGGCCGAGATCTCGAATCTTGATTTTTACCATTTAAGCATAAAGTCGATTATCACAACTTCTGCATCCTGTCGATCTCTTTGGGGGCCGATATCTTCGACCATGATTGGCTAGCATTTTATCTAACCCAAACCTTCCCTCTTCACCACCTCCAATCCTCCTCACGACGACGAAGAGAAACTGGTGGAAGACTTCATACCATACAGAGATGGTACTCTTGAAAGGGGAGGATTTGGATGAATTCCTGGAAAATTTTTGGTATCCCGAATTCTCAACCCTTCGAGCGCTTAATACCAAGACGACGCTAGGCAATGTTAAAAGCAGAGGAGATGAGGTTTATGACGGGGAAGAGATCGACCTCTTCTTCACGGATTCTAGCGACGAAGACTCTCCACGTGAATTCGAGGTCTTGACAAGATACTGCCGAGGTACCTGCCTCGAAGACGTTCTATCAGGCAAAGGAACGGCCGGAGAATTTCGAGTAGTTTGGGTAGACGATAGGACTAGCAGTCCGGCTGAAACAAAGTGTACGCTCGCAAGGCAACATAAGAATCCCCTCACAGCCACTGGACTCTACCGAGTGTTGGACAAAGCAAGATTCGACCACGAACAATTGCCCGATGCCTCAAGGAGGCTCATGTACTTCTCCGACCTCAGTCCTGCCTGCATTCGGGCTCTTGCAGCCACAGTCTCATTTCATCATGCCCCTGGGTTGAGAGACGCTATCTACAAATATCTGGAATTTCAAACTTCGATCACTGTTCAAATCAGATCAGCTGGTCTCCTGACATTCCAGTTGGATTTTCACCTGCCATTCTTCATTTTGAGCAGGTCTTCACCCCCATTGGAGAGTTTTGACAAGATAAACACAAAGCCACGGAGAAAATGGACCGATCTTTCATTTCTCAATCTGGATAATCTAGATTCAGAGGCGGAAGGACGACTAATCGGAGAGATTTGGGGAATTCAAGAAGCTCAGATCTCTTTTGCTGTCGCTGGATATGATGATTGGCGGTGGATCGGGTATGGCTTCGTGGATTCCGAGGTCGACGGCATTCTGGCTGAATCAACAGAGCAAGATCTACAATTCGATCAGATTGCAGCGGGAAAAATCGATTCAACCCGGCCAATTCAGAAACCGAGAGACTACTGGATCAGAATTTTAGAAATTCGGATCCTCTATGTGAAGAAGAAGTGGGATCACTTAATTCATAAATTGGAGCTTGGAGTTGGCCAATATGTACGTTATCAACTACAGAAACGGGAAAGGTTTCCATCGTTTCAGCTGCTGACTTCCTTCTAGATGAAACAATACCCACTGACCTTGTCCCGTCGTTCCCGGACGGCGCAAGAGCGGGCCCGCCAGATGGAAAAGGCCTTTGATGTCAATTCCGAAACGATGGAAGTATTGGGCCGGATTGAAGGCGTTCTCTCGGACACCACAAAGGCATGGAAATCGTTTCGTTCTAATGATTCTCACATGGGCTTTTTCCATACAACAGAAGATGCAGCCATCTCAAGCCATTCCAAGCGATGTCTTCAGGCTATAAAGGCAATCTTCCAAGAGATGGAAGGAGATCATAACAAGATAATGTTGCTTAAGCAGAAATGTTCCGAGTTTTCAAGCACTGTGAGCCACAAACTCTATTTCTTTCCTTCCAGTTTACTTACAGCCGGAGCAGAGAGTCTAATATTACAAATATAGTTGAAGCTTCGCTTGATTCTAGAAAGCAAGGCTGCGGCAGACGAGAATGGTAAGATCTCGGAGTTTACCATATTGGTAAGTACTTGTTGGTACACGCTAGAAATCACTCTTGCTGATGCCGGCTTGCTTCAGGTCCTCTACCCTCCCGCACTTGCAGTAGCGATATTCAGCATGCAGAAGTCTGCAGTACCATTTGATTTAACTCCTCAAGCTTTTGCCTTTGCTCTTGTCGTCCTTTTCATCATGGTGTACGTCATTCGATTTGTAGGCAGGCATGTTTTGCCACATTTCAGAGTACTTCAAGAAATTTCGGCCGCGTGGCTCAAGAACAGGAACCTGAATGGTAAGGCTCATGCAGTTGCTGACATCGAACTTGGAGAGATTGTGGCAGATGTCAGTGCAGATAGAATCGTGGTTGGTGAGGAGACGAATAACTCTAGGTCATGAGAAGCTAATGTATGACTCGGGCTGCGAGAGGAAGAGTGGAAGATTTGTGTTTTTATGCGAAGGAAATATTACATGCACGATTACGTCTTTCCCAGCCTCTCGAATGCTTAGCAGTACTGGTATCCCCTTGGAATAACAGAGCTGACACTGTGGGATAATTTTGGATCTGTGAATCGAGTTAGTAAGGATTTGTATTTGCGTGCATTTGTGTGTAGAGTTTAACCATGAGACTTCGCACTTCGGATGCAAGACGTACAAGGCCAAAGCAGGGCTGTTATCACGGTGATATACAGTGCCAGCAGACATCCCTCGTATTTGACCCTGATTACCAATTTTTGGTAATGTTTGTACGGCGTGACTCCGATCAATTATATCCATGAATTGGGAAAATTTAGTGAACCCCAGTACCAAGAACCAGGTATGACAATTCCAGGGGGGTATGCCGTGCTTCAAAGTCTGCTGTCACATTCTGGCAGACAAACAAGACTAGAAGGACGATCTGCAGTCATCCGGCTGCTGCTTCCGTTGACGTACTCGATCATGATCACCAGATCGTAGTTGTAGGATTTACAAACTCCAGAAGCGATCCTTGGAGCTACCACTGAAAGGCACCCACCCGTGTCCTCTAGAGAATGTGGCAAATTCAGTTTGATGAATGATGCCCTGAAGAGCCAATGCTCGGATACTCGACCAGAATAGATTTTGTGAAACGGGAATCAAGCATAGTCCTTACGAGCCGGGTCCCACTAGTCTGTGCGTACAGGGCTGTTTTCAGGCCACACTTTACCCCGCACCCACCACAATTTCCTGAATACCATTAAAATGACTACTACGCCCCCGCCAGAATGGATTAATCAATTGATTCTAAAGCACGCGCACTGGATATATGCATTAGCAGATCGTAGAGAGTGGTCAACTCCTAATTAAATTAAATGATTTCGTATCGCGATTTGCGCTGTGAAGTGTGTCTAGAAGCCTGTACGCACAGACTAGTGGGACCCGGCTCGTTACACCTGAGCTCTGGCTGTAGTGTCCATCCTGGGGTCCGTAAATAGGGTGTCGCGAGGTCAAAATCAAGCGTTCACATGAAACTGCTGTGCCTGTCTGCAGAGAAAAGCAGACGCTCAGGTTCTGCTGACGTTTTATCCGTTCCGCCAGTTTGATTCGGAGGTACAGTCGGTCTGATCCAAAAGCGACAAAACGGTTGCCCTTTTGTGTCCATAATAACTTTTTAATCACAACCCCGAGTAATTAATACTAAGTAATGCAATTATAGAAAAGAACCAAGCAAATAAAACCTATTAATCAGATTTTTAATGCGATTTGTAGTTAATTAGTAATCGAGTTTTAAAGTATATGAATATTTCTTGCTTATTTCATTTCTGATTATATAAAACGCAAAAATATTTTACGAAAGTTATATATATATAAGTAAATAATAAAATTAAACTTAGACTTATAAGGCCTTATAAGGCCCTTTAAGCTTTTATAAGCTTAGTATATATAATAAAAGCTCAAATTATAAAAGTTGCTATTAAAGAAAATATTAAATATTAAAAGTATATGGGTGTGATGGGTACACGTGATGGCGCATGGACAGGTATCAGATGTCGTGGATCTAGTTTCCTATTTTGGGTAAAGCTTGGGATCGGAATCGTACGAATCGCATGGGATTTCCTAATTAAGTAAAGGGCTTCGCATACTTGGCTAAGTACTAGGGAATATATAGGGAGACGCTCCTAGCTTTGAAAAGGGGTATCGATTAGTCTTTTATTAGAATCAATTCTTGGAATCAGTTATACTTACAAGCGTCACTCTACAGCTTACTTACCTTAACTACTTATATATTATCCTACTATTACGTGCCTAATAATGGGTTTAATTATATATAGCCTTATATATAAGATATAATTTTTTACTCTTATTCCTTTATCTATTGAAACATTGCTATATTAGCGGCCGTATATAAATATCCCTAATTTGGATTATATTTTGGCTGAATTAGAAATATTTATATACGGCTGCTAATATAGTAATATCTCAGTAAACAAAGGAATAAAACGCAAAAATTTCTATATAAGCTTATATAAAAGTAATTACATGCTTTATAACTCCCGTAATATTAAAGGCATTAAAAATCGGAGATCAGGCAATTAATTACTATAAGATATATAATAATTCCGATTAATACAATTTATATCAGTTAGTATTTTAGTAGACTGTTTTTTTACTTTATTGCTCTTGGATCGAATTGACTACGCAGGCGCAGACTCTAATATTTGTTATACTGCCTTGTATTCTACTGAGTAAAAGTCGGCTACAGTGCATTGCTATAGGGCATTCCAGTGCAAACCCCTGCAATGGCGGTATAACAAACATTAGGGCCTGTACCAGTATATAACGTTACTTGAGGCTAAGCAATTCAAGCCAGTACTCTCAATAAGTGATTTAGCTGGACTTTCTCGCTAAAATTCGCGACCTGAACAATTTATAACTAGGTAATTTTGGAACTAGGTTAGCCCGGTTCAGTTATATTAAAAGCAGTTTTTTTTAAATAAATTTTTTTTGCTATATATATAAAAACGCGTAAAACTTAAAGTAAAACTATAGATTTCTATAGAAAAATCTTAAAAAAATCTTAAAAAATCTGATTTTGATAAGCTAAGCTTATTTAGGCTTTAAAGTACAGTCATAACCCCCCCTATCGGGCGAACCTGGTCCTTGGGAAGTTATGACCAGGACCACTCATTGGGAGTACTGGTTCAAGCTCTGGGCAACTAAATCAATACTTACAAATCAGGGAGAAATGTGTCGCAGGATAGTAACGTAGCATTTAAAGTAGCGGGAACAAACCTCCCGAACGTTTGCATTATTGCATGCAAAGCAGTATATCGTATTATCTGGCGCATATAGTCGGTCCGATCCAAAAGCAACAAAACAGTCGCCTTTTTGTATCCATAAAAACTTTTTAACCGCAACCCCAATTAATTAATACTAAGTAATGTAATTATAGAAAAGAACCGGGCGAATAAAACCTATTAATCAGATTTTTAATGCGATTTGTGGTTAATTAGTAATCGAGGTTTAAAGTACATGGACGTTTTTTACTTTTTTGATTTTTGATTATATAAAACGCGAAAATATTTCATGAAAGTCACGTATACCTAAGTAAATAATAAATTAAACTCAGACTTATAAGACCTTATAAGGCCCCTTAAGCTTCTATAAGCTTAATATATATAGTAAGAGCTTAAATTTTAAAGAGTTATTAGTAAAGAAAGTATTTCTTTATCCGGTAAGACATTGCCAGGCGCTAGCAAGGGGAGTATAGCTATATGCAAGCCTCTTAAAGTATAATAAAGCAAGGTGAGGCTTGCGTGCAGCCACACCCCCTTGCTAGCGCCTGGCAATGTCTTATAGACCAAAGTATAAAAAGTTCATGATTTTAATTACATATAACCTCGTATACTATACGAGGTATAATTTTTTACTTATATAAAACGCGAAAATTTCTATACGAGCTCATATAAAAATGGTCACGTGCTTTGTAACTCTCGCAATATTAAAGGTATTAAAAATCGGAGATCAGGGAATTAATTACTATAAGATATATAATAATTCCGATTAATACGATTTATATTAGTTAGTATTTTGGTAGACTTTTCTTTATTTTATCGCTTTTGAATCGGATTAACTATCCCTTCGTCCGGTGAGACATGGTCCGTACTAGCAGGGGAGCCTGGCTCAGGGCGAAAACGCGATAGATGACTAATAAGTTTCTAAGTAAAGGTACGCGTTTTCGCCCTGAGCCAGGTTCCCCTGCTAGTACGGACCATATCTCACCGGACGAAGGGATAGTATACAGGTACAGGCCCTAATATTTATTACACCACTATGAGTTCTGCTAACGAACTAGGGGACAGAAGCCCGTGCGTTCAGGGCATTTTCTCGCCAAATTCAAGTGTTGTTCAGGCACTTGAAACATCAAGTCACTATAATTGCTAGTATATATTTAAATTGTTATTCAATTTTAAAGCCTTGAATTCTGGAAATGAGTAAATATTTGGAGAATTATCACTTTTATATAGACCGAATATGCAATATCAGTATTTTATATTTTTATTTACTAGTAAAATACCCTGAACATACAGACTTTTGTTCCCTAGTTTGTAAGCAAAAGTCGGCTATAATACATTACTACAGGGCATTTCAGTGCAACCCTTGCAAAGGCGGTATAACAAACATTAGAGCCTGTACCTGCATACGGACGTTGTCTTACCGGACAAAGGGATACTATCTCATTTTTCTTTTTTTTAACTCCTATACTGGGTTACTCCAGGGGACCGAGCATAATTGCGCGATTCCACCGGAAGCGATTGCTCTAGTGCCAAAAATAGGTGCGGCACCAATCCTCAGGTATCAAATCACGCAAACTAGGCTTCTTTTAGAATAGCTAATATAAAATCGAATTGTAACCAGAAAGCAAAGCCATATACAACCACCCAAAAACAGACTTTTATATAATATATATAATATTTAAAAGATTAGTATTGCTACCGAAATTAAGCTATTAAAGCTCTGCTAATCTCTGATGCCTTTCTTTGCCTTGAAAGCTCTTTACTTTCAAAGAAATTATCCTTACTACTTTCGTTAGCTTATCGGGCCGGCAAAGTGGCCTATTAGGCTGCTATACCTCCCATAATATCGTTAAAATTAGTATTAAAATTTGGGGAATTAATATGTAAATGATTACACTTTTAATAGACCTCAGATATTAAAAAATTATGAATTTTCATATTAATTGCAGCAAAATGGGACAATTTTTGGCGGTAGATAGCAAGTGCGACGTCCAAATTCGCTTATCAATCGGTGAAGCCCTGTAGGCCCTAAACGATGCGCTCGGTCCCCTGGAGTAACCCAGTGTAGGAGTTTTGTAAGGTTTGAAGTTCAGACCCCTGCTAGCGCTATATGAATACTTATGGGCTGTACTCTCTCCGCCCCCCCCCAATTAAATGTAACAGTGGGTCCAAGTGCAGGGGTTTTTTGGTATGGCAACTGGACCGTGCCAGGCTGGTTTTGCGGGGACCCACTATTACATTTATTTAGGAGGGGGGAGGTACCTCCGTATGATTTTTGGAAAGTACTCCGTAGTGATTTTGGGCGGTTGGGTGGTCTGGGCGGTTGGCCAGTGAACCCTTCTATGGCCTTATCTTGTTTTAAAAATTTCCTGCTCATTCCAACGAAATTTGTTCAAAACTCCTATTAGCAGACAGGATTGGCCAATGATTTTGAAGCTGTTCCTCTGTTACTTACTCCTCTTCCTTAATTCATGGATCAATGGCACCAAGGGGGATCCTGCTATCCATCAACCAATCACCGCCCTCACGATGTCCCTCCAACGACTGGAGCTCGAGCCAGAGCGAGTACAACCCCAATCGAGCCTTATCTGCACCGCACACATGTGTCGATCCAATAACTCCGTTCCAGGAGATGAAAGTGGGTAGACTAGTCAAGCTCGCCGTCTGCGGGCCTTCAATGGGTAGAAGAAAAGCTAATAATTGATCGGTAGCCCCCGTCGAAGCGGAGGACAGTCTACGTCTGGGAATGTGTGAGGAAGAGGATACCGCACGGCACAAGGACTAGCTAACGGTTTGAAGTGTCAATGTGGACTTGCGGCCATTCGTATACAGACAGATCCATGTCCAGAGTGCTCCACCCCGCGGTGTCCGCACTGTCTGACGAGCAAAGTTCAAGTGCGTTAGATCAACGAATCTCAAGCGCATATCAAGGAGAAGGGCGCGGGATTGCGGTGATTGGGAAATGGGTATCTGGTGAGTTTTGAATGTTTTAAAGAACTTGGAGCGGAACTGACGGCTAGAATGTAGAACACAGAGCTCTACTCGAGATCGGATCCTCCGAAATATACTTTCCTTCACGGCTTCACTCGAATTCGGAAAACAGCTATGCATGCACCAGATATATTTGTAGCCAAGATGTGCGGTGGCTTAGATTGTACAGGGTTTGCAGAGAGGCAAATTGGCTCGAGAGCATCTCGCAACAGACTATCAGATGTGCAGGGCTGCAGGGTCTGTGGTCTTTTTGGACCCATGCACGAAACTTACGTTCTCGCTCTGGTTCTGCTTATTGGTCTATGCCGAATCAGGAGCTATATTTAAAGTTCTACCTCAGACAAGACCACAAATTCCAAAGCCTCCACGATGACTTCGATATGCGGCGCGAGTAGCCGGGCTAGGTAATCCCTTTGTCAGAAGGCTCCCTCTTTCCAGAACCGTGAATAAAGAGCTGTGGGCTCTTATAGCTATATTCAATTATACCCCACGCGTTAACCGGTGTAATATCCCCGCGGTGAAATACAGCTCTTATTTCCTTTTAAATAATATATATAAAGACGGGATACTGCCCCCTTATTAAGTGTTACTGTGAGAATCACTGATTTGGGGCTAGCGCGATCGCTCTGCTTAGTCAGGATCTGTGCACTTATATTCTGGAGCTTCACACTTCACTTAAGCTCTTTTCTAGCTAGTTCTCAATTAACTCTTTTACTATTAATACAACTCCCTACTCTGCAATCTTTACGTGCATTAGTTATAAGCCCGGCCTTGTACTAATAAGCTTCTAATTAGTATACCGCAAAGAGCATTCAAGAGCTCATTTAAGTAATTTCTTTAAAAATCACACTTTAGTTCGCATTTCTATTATTAATTAATTAATAAATACTCTTTTTATTAGTTCTATTCTTTCTATAGTTCAATTGCAATTATATTAGAAGCTATAATAAAGATTATTATTTTAAAGAACTATAGTTTCTAAGTAAACTAGTTTAATATTCTTTATAAAATAGCTAGTAATAAAGGTATTTAATAATAGAATAATTAAAATAAATATAATATCTTCTTTTAAGTCTTTTTCTATAATTAATAAATATATATTATAGGAAATAAAGATTTATTATATAAGATACTAGATTAAGGTAAAGAATGAAAATAAAGACTATTAATTTATAAATAAAAAGAAATTAAATCTCGAATTTTTATAGCTTATAATATTCGGAAATATTAAAGATTATTATTTAATATTCTTCTAAAATTATAAGATTAAGAAACTAGATTAAATAAATAAGCTAGTATAATATTATATAATTAAATAATAGCTTTATTAAATTATTAATATTAAGATTCTTATAAACTTTATTTTAAGATTTAAAGAAAATAAATAAATTCTTATTTATAAGATTTTTAAGGCTTTATTAATAAAATACAATTTTATAAATATAGATTAAATTATTATTATTAAAAAGTATATAACTCGGTTTTATTATAAGAAAGCAAAGAAAAAATTAGTTTAAAATACTAGTTTATTAATTAAAAAAAGATATTTAATTATATTAAAGCTTTTAAAATTACTAAAATTAAAAATATTTTAATAATAATTAAATTCTTAATTTCTTTTAATAAAAGTTTATATTAATTTAAATAAAATAAAGCTTCTAATTATTATATTTAAATAATATAACTAATAATTTTAATTAAATAATTTTAAAGAATTAGATTATTAAATATTTAAAAGAAAATTAAACTAATAAAGAATTAAATAATAAATCTAATTCAAATAAATAAAAGTAATATATATATAAATTATAAAATACAAAGTTATATTAAATAGTAAAAGAATTAATTAAATTAGTTAAAAAAGAGCTTAAATAAAATATAAAGCTTTAAAAAAATAAATATATAAATTCTAATTAAATAAAGTAATTATACTAGCCCTAAAATAGTAATTTTTATTATAATATGATTTCTAAAAAAAAAAAATATTATTATATTTTACTTGTTTTATTTAATTAAAAGACTTTAAAATAATAAAAATTATTTAATATATAAATTTTATAAAGCTGTATTAATATTTCGAACTAAATAGACTTAGTATATATTATTTTCCTAGATTACTAAATTTTAAAAAAGCCCTATATAAAGCTTATCTTTTTACTAATACTAGAGCCTCTAATTAAATTACTTTTCTTTAATATTTTTCTAAAACTCTTTTTTTAAGCTTTTAATTATTATAAATATATCTTATACTAGTTTTATCTCTTTTTATACTATTATTAAATTAATTCCGGTTTATAAATTCAAGATATTTTTAACCTAAAATATATTTTTATTTTATTTCTTACTAACTTTAAATAATATTAAATAGCTTATAAATTTATTATAAATATAATAGCTAATATTATATAATTAATTTTAGCTAAGATTTCAAGCTATAATTCAAATTAAGCTTACTTTTAAAACTCGGTATTTTAATAATCTTAGCTATATTTATTTATTTATTATTATATTTTATTTCTTTTCTTTCTTAGTTTTAAATTCTTAAAATATTAGAATTATTATTTTTTATTTTATTATTTTATTACTATTATTATAATAAATATAACTTTTAATTATTAATATAAAGCTTATATTTAATAGAATATTAAAATTAAAATTTCTATTAAATCTTTTAATACTTCTAATACTCTTTTACTAAAAACTAAAAAGGCTATAAAAAATCCTATATTTTTTTATTTTATTTATATTAATTTTAAAAGAATTTCTTATATAAATTATTATAAGTATTAGTTTACTAGTAATATATAGTATTATTATATAATTATAGAATACTATTTATATAAGATTAGTAAAGTTATTATTTAGAAGTAAGAATTATAGTATTATAATATTATTATATAGTACTAGTTATATAGTACTACTGCACGTGGCTTAATATATAGCCAGTGCTTTTAGCCCGGTATATAGCCTTTAGCTCAATTCAAGCTCTTTACTACTACTATAATATTACCTTATTATAACAAATATTAATATATAATTCCTAAATCTATTAAGCTTAATAGAAACTAGCTACTAGTCGAGTTATCTATAGAATATAAGGTTATATAACTATATCCTATATTTTATATTTTATTATTTATATTCTATTATCTATATTCTATATCTCGAGTTTCGTAATTATATATATAACTTCTAAAGAAATAACTATACTAATACTAGAATCTTTCTAAAAATACAAAAAATAATATTTTCTTCTCATTATATATAAATTCCTTAATTCGGCCTAGTACTAGATTTCTTAAATGCTTTATATATCTATATCGCTTTTTGAGGTATTAGTTATATACTAAAGGCTATAGCCTTTTATATATAATTTCCTCTTCTATAATATTCTTCTATTTCATATATTTATTTATTTCTATTTTATATATCTATTTCCTGCTCTATTTATATTTAATCTATTTCTTTATATTCAATTATATTATATTTGTATTAATTAGATACTTAAGGGCATTTAATAACTTTAATTTCGTTATAAAATTAGTAGAATTCGATTTTCTTTTAATCTATTTAATTTCTATAATCTCTTATTATTTATATATTTAGTAGAGATATATTATATTAATTATTAGGTATTTCTCTTAAATAGTACCTAATTTAATAAGGCATTTATATAACGATTTCGAATCTATATAAATAACTAGTAAAAGTTCCATTTCTAGTATTTTATTAATTATTAATTTAATAGAAGTACCTATATTAAAACTATAAGCTATACTATAAAGTTCCAAAGCTGGAATACTTCTAGTAACTCTCTTATATTTAATAGAGGACTAGTAGATAATATTAATATATCTAGTTCCGTTTATTAGAACTAGAATATATCCGATTTAGGAAAAGAGATTTCTATTATTTGCAAATAAAGTATTTATAAAAATAATTAAATATAAGAACTTCTTTACTAGCTTTATAAATCTCAGTTCTCTAGTAATATTCTCAATTTGCTATTAAATACACTTATTAAATACCTTAATATTAGTTTTTAAAGATTTAATAGCTTAAGCGGTAATTAATAGATTATATAAAGCTTTTAGTTAATAGATTAATATAATATATATTTTCTTAGTATATTAGGTAATATATTAATCCTTAATAAAGAGATCTTAATATATAGTACCTCTATTACTTATAATAATAGTATTCTTAATTAATATAGTTCGGAGGTTTTTATATTAATATTTCTATATAAGGGTAATTCTAGTAGTTTCTATATAAATAATATTTCTATTAAACTTGAGATTATAGTTAAAAGTAAAGTATTTATACTTTTTAGTTAAGAACTTAGCCTTATAAAGCTTTAATTACTTTGTCTTTATAAAATTATTATTTCTAATAAATAAGATATTATTAGTTTAAAAGCTAATAATTCCGAATAGTTACTTACTATAAAAAAGGCAAGGGTTATAAATTAATTATTCTATAAAAAGCTTATTAATATAGTAGAAATAGTAAGTCTTAAACTAATAGTTTCTAGCTTCCGGTATATTATATAGTAATTTTATAACTTTTAGAACCGAATTATTATTCAGATTCAGCTATCTAGTAAGCTTATAGAATAGATTAAGATAGAAATTGCAATTAAGTAAGGTTATTAATTAGATATAAGCTTGTAATATATTCTATAAGTATAGTTCTATAGTTCCCGTAATTATAATAGTAATATAAAGAATAATTCTCTGGTTAATTTATTAGATAATTAGTAATTATATTAATATTATATATTTCTTATTATTATTATAAGCTGAAATAACTAGTCTCAATTTCTTAAGTTCTCTTTCTGTATTTTTATCCTTAATCTCGTTAATAAACCTGAAGTTAAAGATATATATCTCCTTTAATATTTAAGATCTGAAAATAACCTTAAATATACCCTTTTCTAAAAGACTAGTAGTATGGTGGGGTTTTTCGTCTCTTGTCCCGTGACTACCGTCACGTGTCCTGCTTCCCAGGCATACTGGCGCTAGTTTAAGGGGTTGCATAAGACCTCCGTTCATATATACGATTAGCCTTCCCAATACATTAACCTTCGGAGCCCCTTATTCTTGACCATTCGTATTATTTCGTTACTGGTACTGAGAGTCTTAATATTATTACTTCTACTTATTTAGCTTCCTATCCTCTTTACCTCCACCTATACATCCAATGCCTATATATGGTCCGATATTCATATAACAATCAAATCCCCATTACAGTAGCTTTAACTTAATAAAAGTTCTTATATAGGTTATTATTCTATAGAAATACCGTAATATTAGAGTTTTATAAGGGTATCCTCTATTATACTTTAGTAAAATAGCGAGAATAATAAAAGGAATTATATCTGTATTACCTTTAGCTTTATTATAGAGTTCGGAAACAGATTTAAATTCGGGGCTATTAGTACTAACTTTAATATTCTTTTTATAATAGGGCTTTATAGAAGTTAAATAAAAGATAGTAT